ATAAATTATCGATAAAAAGTAATATAAAAAGGTATAAGGGATTAATAAAAAAAAGCGTAAAACTCTATAGTAATTATAAGCGGAAGAGTTAAAGAAAAAAAGAAAATAGAAAAAGTAAGAGATATATATATACGCTCTTTATATTATAGTTACGCGGCCGATATATAGGCGATACTATAATAGTTACTTAGCGGTAACCGCTAGTATAATAACTATTAACGTTATAGAGTATAGACTAATATATACTTATATAGGTATATATACGCGATATATAACCGAAACTACCTCTCTTCCTAACCGAATATATATAGCATAGCGAAAGTAATATATATTAAAGATATAGCTAAGATATCTATATAGGAGGGGGGATAATTATAAGAGCGCTACTAAGAGGTATAGGCTAATAAAGTACTTAGGTACGTAGTACTAATATATTAGTAGGGTATTAGTAAGGAATTATACTTACCCCGCTTATATATTATAGACTACTTACTACTCCGATTAAAGAGGAGAAATCCCTCTTCTCGTAAGCTTTAGTCTTACGACAAGAAGAATATAATATATATAGCGTAGTACCTTTAGCTATCTCTACTACCTAACTAATCGTACCGTAATACGTGTTCCCTTATAAAGGGGGGGGGCCGCCTCTTAGTATAGCTTTTACTTCCTATAGTACTATTAAGTTAAAGCCGGCCTAGTAGTAAAGCGCTAACTAAGCTAGCTTATATCTCTTTTATATATTTTAAAATAGTACTTTTAGTTATATATAAGTAGGGTTAAGGTAAAAAGGGTCGTTTATATAAAGAGGGAGGCGCTCTATCTCTTAGCGCTTCTTTATTTACTATACCTATAAATATCGTTTATACTTAGTTTAGCCTCCCTAGCCTTACTAGCCGGCGGGTATCTTAAGCTCGACCTTTTATCCTAGCGTAGTTTACTTAGTTCCCGCTTCTAGACTATAGTCGATTTAAGAACGCCCTAGGTTTCGATAATAAGGAGCACTTATTACTTAGTATACGTTTAAATATTCGCGAACTATTAAGGTTAATATAAGTAGTTTTCCCTTACCTTTTCTTAGGCTTTATTCGCTATAGGGTAGGTCTAGGTCTATAATAGGTAGTCCTCTTAGTATAAGATATAGTTATAAGGGATTTCGCCCTTCTTAGCTTTATATTTATCCTTACCTCTATTATATATTATACTCCTATATTAGCTATAGAGTTATATCGATATATATCGCCTAGCGATATAGCTATATCTATAATAGTTATAGTACCTTTATAGTTAGACCGACTTATTATAGGGTTTATATTAAAAGATCTATACTTTAAGGACTAAGCTTAAGTTATAGAGCCTATTAGCCTCCTTTAAGCTACTAACCTTAATAAGTATAGTTATCGCTATTAATATCTTAGATTAAGGGTATAGCGCTTAGGCCTAGAGGACCTTAACTTTATTCGCCTCTATAATCTTATAGAGCAATCGCTCCCTATCTATTATCGCTACCCTTAAGGGGATATTCTTTATAACTACTATATACGCGCGGTAAGAGATTATAGCCTTTAGTCTAAATACGGCCTTAACCTAGCCTTAGTCCCTTTAATAAGCTCTTACCGCGGTATTAAATATAACTACGATATCTTTACTTTAAAGGCGCCTTACTACTATAGCGCTCGTAGCTTTTAAGGCTATATTTACCGCCTTTACTATATCCTTTAGTTCGCGGCTTAGGATTTCGGGTAGTGCCTTAGTAGGGACTATAATAATCTCGCGTTTATAGCGTAGTAGGACCTATTTTACTATAGCTTCGTATTAAGTCGGTCCTTTAGTCTTAGCTACGACCGCGGCCTAGGTTCGCTTAGGGCCCCCTAAGCCTAAAGCGATGCCTAGGCGGAGTTCTTCCTTAATTACCTCCTTAATTATATCCCGGATTATTATCTTAAAGCTCTCGTCCGCGTAAAGTACCGCCGATAACGTGCTACTAGCGCGGCTCTTTACCTTAGAGAGCCGTTTAACTACTACCTATACCTTACTAAACTATACGCTTAGGATAAAGCCCGCGAGTTCGTCGTATACTACTTTTTTTAAGGGTTACTCGGCGCCTAGGCTAATATCGTATCGCTACTTTAGGTTTATTAACTCGCCTTATCGGGGTATATAAATTTAGGTAGCGTCTCTTTATACTACGTGCTCTAATCGAGCCTAGTACGTCGAGGGCCGCTACTATATCTACCTACCCCTCGGCCTTAGCGTAGTATTATTATTAAGGGTAATTAATACTATTAAATTAATTCCTAGTATTAGTTAGTGTTTTAGTCGCGATATATACCCGCTATAGGCGTATATTAGTTTTATAAGAAGTTTTTTTAAAGAGGGCTATTAATAGCTCTTAAAATCCCTTAATAATCTTTATATTAATATTAAGGTAAAAGAGCTTAGTATTATAGTTACTAATAAAGAAGCTATATTAAAGAAGGCTCTTTTAAGTATCTTCCCTTATATATAGTAATAGCTATATATCTTTTATACTAATAGTAATATTTAGGTATAAATCTAGTCTTACTAGAAAGATACTATAAATCCTAATAGTAATAAAAATCCTTTAAATCTTAAGATACCTTTAAAAGCTAAGGTAATCCTTACCTAAGAGGCTATAGCTAATAAAGTAAATAATAGCGTTAAATTAAGGCTTAACCTTAATAAGGATCTTAACTACGATCGTAAGGGTATATTACTTACTTAGCGGCGCGTTATCTTTATATATATAAAGGCGGATTTCTTTAAGTTATAGTAGCAGCTTAATAAAGTCTTTAAATAATACTAAAGCTATATTATAACCTATATTTTAAACGAATATATACCCTTATAAGAGTAGTAAGCTTAGTACTATATTTACCGCTATTATAACTTTAGTTAATAGGTTAATAGCTTAGTTAAAACTACTTATAAGGATATAAAGTTATATTTACTTATAAGTATAGCTAACCTCTTATACTTTTATAATACCCTTATTTAAATAATTAAAAATAAGGAAATCTTATACTTATAAATAGCCTTATAATAAGTAATATAATAATAGTATCTTTTTCTTAGCTAGTAATAGCTTAAGAATATTAATATTATAGTTATATACTAAGTAGTTAACCTTCTTATTATATAGTACTAGCTTACTATAGCCGCGATACCTTTATTTATATAAGAGTTAATACTATTATAGCCTTATAATAAGAACTTTATATATTAATTTAAGCTACCTTATACTTATATTATCCTTAAATACTTTTAAGCTAGCCTATTACTTAATAAGGCTAATATTTTTCTATAATAGTAGCTTAAGAAGCTATTAATAATACCCCCCCCCCTTTTTAATAGGTTTCTTATTAATTCCTATTACTAAGACCTTAATAAGCTATTACTTTAAATCTATAATCCTAATATTATTATAGTTATATAAGGCTAGCCCTATAATATAAAGTTACCTATACCTAGCTCGCTTATAGCTAGGGTATTATAAGTTATAACGGCGGCGGCTACTATACTAGTAAAAGTAATAGTAGCGGCGATAGCGATAGTAGTAGACGCTATAGTAGCAATAGCGGCGGTAGACGCCGTAGCGGCAATAGCGGCGATAAGGGTATCACGGCGGCTACCTAATTCGAGGGGCAGCTCGAGGCGCCTTAACGTAAGTATACGACGGTACTAGGGCTAAGATAAGATCGACGAGCTAAGCTAGAGCCCTCGGTCCTTTATAGCGTCCTAATAACGATTGCCCGCCCAAGGAAATACTAAGGGAAGGGGATTAAGAGGAGGATATAGCCGGAGGGGCATGCCTATAGCCTCGTAGCCGGCAGCATCGTCGCAGCTAGCGGCATCGTCGTAGCCGGCGGCATTATCGTAGCCGGCTACTTCGTCGGGCGTTAGAGGGATCGTTAAGTGGCAAGCTATTAAGTAGGTGCCGCCGCCGCCGCCGCCGCCGGCTATATAGCTATAAGGGCAGCGGCGGCGGCAGCGGCGGCAGCTATAGCCGGGTTAATTAGTAGGCTATTATAATATTAACTTAAGGCTAGAAATACGTTATTTAAGCGAATTAAGCGGACGCGTTATACGGCCGTAGCTACTCTAGCGGAAGGGGCGTAAAGTATATATATATATATAAACGAGGGTATTTAAAAGGTATAGGTACTTACTAAGGCAAACGCGGTATAAGTAGTACGGGGGCCTAGCGCGGGTATATATTTAAAAAATAGGTCTATTATACTAATAGTAAAAGGGCGTTATATAAATAGCTTTACTTTATAATAATTACTCCCTTATTATAATTACTACCCTTATAAGAATTAAATATCTTTACCTTACTTATCTAACCCCTTACTTTTACTTTTACCTTTATATATTTTTATATATACTTCTTATATCTCTTTTTATAAGAATAATACTAGCTATTAAATAAATTCTCTTTTTATTATATTTACCTTTTTTATAAAATACTATTAAGAGCTTCTTTTTTTTAAGATAGCCTCCTTAAATAAATAATAAAGTAGTTAAATTTAATATTAAAATAGCTTTATATTTATTAAATTAAGGTTTCTTTTACCTATTACGTTACTATCTAAAAAGCTTAAGTAATAAAGGGGTATATTAAGGAGTAAGTATAAGAGGCTAGAGTTATACTTAGTAGACTTAATATTTTATATATAAAGAAGCTTACTTAAGTAATATAACTCCCTTAGCCTAAGGATATAATATAAGCCTAACTTAAGTATAGGAATATCTTAATACCCTCTTTAGGCTAGCTCTTTATAGTTACTATACCTATATAAGCCCCTCTCTTATCTTAATAGATAGACTAAGATATATATTACTAAATTCACCTTTCTATGCCCCTATCTCTTCCACTGTGCTCTTAAGCCCCTGCTTAAGAGATACGTATAGTCATAAAAGCCGGTGTGCCGACTTTTGAGATCTTTATAGGCGAGTCCAGCTATGGACGCTCCTTTAAGATGGCCAAAGCAGGCTGCACAGGGCCAGACTGCACGTTTCTCGGCGACCGACTCAACTCACCGGCAGTCAAGGGGCGATGCACGGACACGCGTGGATACGTTGCCAACGCCGAGATCAACGAAAAGACACTTCTGGGCGACAACGTCAAGTCGTGGCACGACCACGCTTCCAGCTCTGATATCATGGTCTACGACGGTAGGTGACCATGTGGCAACAAGGCCTGTATAACTGCTCTAGTTGACGTCTGTGTATTGCTATAGGCACCGAATGGGTCGCCTACATGTCGCCGACGACCAAAGCAACCCGGCGCAACTACTGGAGGGGCAAGAACTTCCGAGGCACCATTGACTGGGCCGTCGATCTCCAAGACTTTCACGACGACGACATGTTAGGGCCCGACAACCAACGGCCCGACGATCCGCCCCCGCCCAGAGAAGAATGCAAGGGCGTCTATGACAAGCTGGAAGACATCCCCCTGGACGCTTCCTACGACTGTCGTGGTCTCTACGTCCTCTACGCCCTTCGGAGCATGCACCGAGACTCGTTGGAGAAGTATGACAAGCTGTTGGACGGCGGCTACGACAAAAAATTCAACACGTATGCCGACGCCGTCGTCCGGAGCGGCAATAAGCAGGTCATCAACTTCATGTACACCAAGGGCAAGGAATATTTTGACTGTACCATCACAGAGACCATCAGCTCCTGCAAGCTGTGTCGCTCTGACGGCCGTGCCACTAATAAGGGGTGTCGTTTTTGCGAAGACTGGGATTGCCGGGACCCCATTTGCAACAACCCTGAGGTCAACTGCGACGGCGTCAAGTATCGATACCGCAACATCACGGCCGCCTGTCCGCCTGACTACTCGGACCGCTCCGAGGACCAGCCCGACTTTGAGCACAATAGATTTACCCGTGCATCGACGTATTGGACCCTGAGGAACGACCGACAAGAAGCCTTTTGGAGCGATCTCTACCTGGAGACCGGCATAAAAAAGGAAAAGATTGCCTGGCAAGACGTGACCCGGTACGAGTGCGAGCCGACAGAGCCCAAACAGGAGTGCCGGAATCATAACCACGACTTTAATTTTCCCGTTACGTCTTCGTACAAGAGAGAAGACGTCCTCAACCCCAAGGATGTCTTTACCAAGGCGCACGGAAAGCTGAAGACACTTGGTTCAGATCTTGACGACTTGGTCCATCGTGTCAAACGTCACCTTTTCCTAGGCAGCGTCGATGACTTAATCGACGCCCTCAGTCTGCCCATCACCATGGTCAGGCAGGCCGTCGAAGGTATGTCTAAGATCGACGATATCGTCGACGAGTGGGAGGCGGCCAAGCGTAAGAACATCATCCTGGCCTTCCTCTCGGCCATCTTCTTCTTTATCCCCATCATTGGTGAGGTAGATGGCGCCGTGGCATCCCTCGCCGGCGTGGCGCGCATTCTCGCCACCATTGGCGTCGCCGGAGACGTCGCCCTCGGCATATACGAGATTGTCGACGACGTCCACAACGCGCCCCTTGCCATCTTTGGCCTGATTCTCGAGCCCCTGGCCCTTGTTGACGTGGCTAAGATTTCAAAGGCCGCCCGCGTGCGCCGTGCCATGTCCGTCGACGATGAGCGGAAGCTGTTTGGCGCAAAGTCGGTCGAGCGCCTCGATGCTATCAGAAAGGTCCACAACATCTGCAAGCTGGGAAACAAGAAGCGCGAGTTGCCCATAGGGTCCTTGCCAATGTCAAGTCTAACGGGTGTTTCGTACGATTTACTCGATGGCAAGTTGGCAACCTAACTTGGATATAGTAGATATTTCTACCCGACTTAACAGGTATTACTATTTGAGTAGTATTGTAGTAGGGCAAGTCTCTTCCTACGTCCGCCCTTTTGTGCCCGGGCCCACAGAGTAGGAGGGTATCCACGTCTTCTTTTGCATGCCTCTTTCTCATCTTTATCGGCTGTGTTCTAATCGACCACATTTGCTTCGTACATGGCCCCAATTCCACCCCCATCCCTCTAGAGGTATACGTGGCCAAAAAGAGCGGACAGAACAAGCTATGGATGGATGAGCTTGACGGGAAAAGATGTTCCACCAATCACGTATGTTCCAATTCTTTGCCGTCATCCTTAGTAACCCGTCAACCCGTCCCTCTCTTCGGCGGGACAAGCATGGAAATTGGAATACGGCAGGCAGAACCGGATCTGAGGGTTTTCCAATTCTGGTAAACCCCTTTCGCAAGGACGAACCAATTTTAGAAAAGGGAGACATTGCCCCTAGACTCTGCTCGCGTGGGGATGGGAAACAAAAAGAACGTGGGACCGGTCATGCGGGGGCCAACGCGAGGCTGCGCGAGTCGTTCACGGCCTTTAGCATTACCCGGCATTGCCATCTTGGGCAAGTCTCGCCGGCCGCCGACCCGGCTGCCAGGGGCGGCTCTTATTATACTTCATCGCCCGCCATCTCTCCTCCGTCATTTCTTCTTCTTCCTCTCTCCATGTCCCTGGTTTCTTCCTTCTTTACTGCTGGCTGCTTTACTTACGAATCCTCGGCGTTCGTACATATGTCCGTCTCTGGAAACATCACACAGCCAGCCCCAGTCGCATAATGACGGCCGTCCTTGATGCGGCCGACGGTAGGCATTCAACAGAGGCCCAATTCACCCTCTGGGCGCTCGCTGACTGCCAGCGCAACCGACAGTCGCAAAGCACAACACGCCCGACAGCTGCTGGGTCGTCCTGTACGGCAATGTCTACGACGTGACCGACTTCCTGTCCTCCCACCCAGGCGGCTCCAAAATCATCCTCAAGCTCGCCGGCCGAGATGCCACCCAAGAGTACGATCCCGTCCACCCGCCCGGCACCCTCGAAGAGAACCTCAAGCCCGAGGCAAAGCTGGGGCGCGTCAACCCAAACAGCCTGGTAGAGCACGCTGTCCCGGCCGACAAGGCCGCAGGCGACACGTCGGAGCCCCCGCCGCTGGCCTCGCTCTTGAACCTCGACGAGCTCGAGGCAGAGGCCACCCGGCGCATCCCCAACAGGGCCTGGGCCTACTACTTTTCCGCCAGCGACGACCTCTACTCGAAACAGCTCAACCGCGCCGTCTACCGCGACATTCTCCTGCGGCCCCGCGTCTTCGTCGACTGCACCGTCTGCGACCTGTCGACGTCACTGCTCGGCAACAAAGTCGACGTGCCCTTCTTCATCGCCCCGGCCGCCATGGCCCGCCTGGCCCACCCGGATGGCGAGCGAGGCATGGCCCAGGCCGCTGCTCGCTTTGGTGCCATGCAAATCATCTCCAATAACGCCTCGATGACGCCCGAGCAGATTTTCGACGGCGCGCCGCCCGACCAGCTCTTTGGGTGGCAGCTGTATGTGCAGAACCATCGGGACAAGAGCATCGCCATGCTCAAGCGCATCAGTTCGATGCGCCGTCGCATCAAGTTCATTTGCCTGACGCTCGACGCGCCCGTGCCGGGCAAGCGCGAGCACGACGAAAAGTCAAATTTCGAGCGCAGCGGCCCCATCGAGGCGGCCGCGCCCAGCAGCAGTGAGGAGAAGCGGCCGGCCGCCGGCGGCGTGGGCCAACAGCTGTTTTTCGGGACGGCCTCGGACCTGACGTGGGCCACGACGCTGCCGTGGCTCGCTCAGCACACCGACCTGCCCATTGTGCTCAAGGGCTTGCAGACGCACGAGGACGCCTACCTGGCAGCGCAGCACGCACCGCAAGTCAAGGCCATCATCCTCTCCAACCACGGCGGGCGAGCCTCGGACACGGCGCCGCCCGCCGTGCACACGCTGCTCGAGATTCGCAAATACTGCCCCGAGGTGTTTGACAGCATCGAGGTCTGGGTGGACGGCGGCATAAAGAGGGGGACCGACGTCGTCAAGGCCCTGTGCCTGGGGGCCAAGGCGGTAGGACTCGGGCGCGCGCCTCTGTTCGGCCTCGGTGCCGGGGGGCAAGCCGGCGTAGAGCGCATGTTTGAGAGTGAGTTGGGCCCAGATGGCACCCTCAAGAGCGCAAAGACGAATTTCTATTCTCCCCGTCCTCCCCTGGTCTTTAGGCGCTCCTGGCTAACGTCGGTGGTGCAACGCAGTTCTCGAGGCGGAGACGGCCACGTGCATGCGATTGCTCGGCGCAAGAAACATTTCGGAGCTGGGTCCTCGATTGGTAAGTCGGAAGGTCCTAGTGCCGGCCGGACGCCTTGGCCATGTCAGCTGCTGATGGGCGCGTCTTCCCCGCGATTTTAGATCAATAGCCGACGTGTGGAGAGAGACATCTACGACGGGGATCCGGGGCTGGATAGGCAGGGTTTGTGGACAAAGGCCAAACTGTAGTGTAAAACTGTAGTGTAGCCTTGTTGACGGAAAGGGGGACGTGCGGGCGGCGGGCTGTCGAGGTTCACGGACAGACTCTCGGCCTCGGCCGGCGATGGAGGTGGGTGTGCTCGGGCGCTCGTGTTGGCGGAGCGGCGTCATGAAGTGTCATGAGGCTCGCTGAACAAGGTTGGGCTTTTTCGACGGGAGCATGTAACGTGTTGTTGAACAAACATGGCTTTTGAAAGGTTCCGTGTCGAACCATGTCGATGATGTCGATGATGCGCACCGCAAGCCGGGGAGATTCTGGAAGGAGGTTCGACAGCCAGAGGGGGCGGCCACGGCAGGCCTGGGCGGAACGTCTTTTCTCCGGGCTGCTGTTGACACGTCGCATTTGCCAGCCAGATCAAGGTTTCTTCACTTGAATAGATGACGCATTGTGCTTGCCGCCTCTGATGCGATTGTCTCCAAGCACAGTCAACAGGCTTTTCAACAAAGCAAGCTTCCACCGCGAGAAGCGGGGAGAGGGGTGATTCAGACGTCGTGTCTGGGGAAGACACGGTACATGACGGATTTGTCGATGCATGGGAATAGCATGTGCCTGTATCTGCTGTGCTGTAAGGCGACGGCTTGCCTGTGTTACAGTACGGGCAATACGTGCTGTGCTGCGTGGGTGGGTATACACAGACGCCCATGCCTCGCCATGCCTTATCTCTGCAGGTGCCCAAGCAGCTTCTGCTCGCTTTCTTGATTTGGCTCATTGGCCGGCGTACGATGATATCAGGCACGGAACATGGAAAATGAGACAAGACGAGGCAGCTAATGTAAAGCAAAGAGACTGTGTGCGGGGATCTGCCTTGTCTGGCCGTGTTAAAATATCCGGACCGCTACGGCAGAGAATGACGTGAGAGGAGATTCGAGATGCATCTTCACATGCCATTTGCTCTCAACAACACATTAATTAGCCGAGGGATCGCGGCCTGCTCAGCTCTGCTCTCAGGGGACCAACCCAAGGCCTTGCTTTGCATTGCAGCAAGGCCAACCAACGGAAAAGGAGAGAGGGAAGGTACAGTACAGTTCTGTAGGCTGTAGGCTGTAGGTACCGCAGGTACATACCTACAGCACTACTGTACCTACAGCACACAAAGCAAATAAAGAAGGAAAGAGAGGGGGAGGCCCCACCTGCCAGCCTCTTCAAAAGCCATCCCCCCCTGCCAATCAATCTCCAACGCGGCTCTGCATCTGCGGGGCCAAGTCTGGGGATGACCGGCCAGTTGCCGCTTCCGGCTTAGCGCCCTGCCCTTTTTCCGCGACGGATTGTTTACCCCGGGGGTGGAGCGGAGATGCCGGTCTAGGTCGCATGTATTTCGTAGCTTTGTGTCTGTACCTCCTCTAGCTCTCTCTCCAACTAGCGAATAGGCAGCACGAAGAAGGAAAACAAGGGAAGCGTACCAAGACAACGGGACCAACATGGACGGACGGCAGGCTACGTGCTCTTCTTGTCTGAACCCTTCGGGCCGCCGGCCTTGTCTGCTCTGCTCTGCTCTGCTGTGCTGTGCTCTGCGCTGCTCTGCGCTTCTCTCTGCTCCAGCCAGAGGCAGCCCGCCCCTCGGCGCTGTCGTCTCTTTACGGCCCATAGCCCCATCTCGGATGCCACCACACTTTGTCAATGAACTGGCGATGGCCCCGGAATCTTAACACGGCTCACCTTTTTGCTTAGACTTTTTCACCTCCTCTACTCCTCCTCCTCCTCCTCCTCCTCTTCTTCTTTTCCCACTTCCCCGCCTGTTCTTCCTCTTCTTCCTCTCTACTACTAATCCGTGGTCCGCCGTCGTCGCCACACGCGCTCGCTTTACTGGTTGCGTCCACGGAAAAGAGTGATATTGCACTTTTCCTTGCCCCTTCCCCTACCAGTTTTTTTTCTTCTCTTTCTCTTCTCCTCTTCCTTCACCGCAGCTTGCCTTCACTCATCATGTCCGACTCCAAGTACGAGGTCTCACAGGCCGAACATGGCGTCCCCGCCAAGCGTGGCAAGAAGCGCGCCTGTGCCGATCACTGCAAGCGCTTCTGGTGGCTGCACGTCCTCATCTTTTGCTGCGTCGTCGTCCTCGTCGTCTGCCTCATGTAAGTGACCTCCAACACCCATCGACGGGGCCATGGCCTAACTTCGGACCCCACCACAGAATCTTTGTCGGCGTCCCCAAGATTGCCCAGAGCAAGCTGAATGAGGCCGAGCTGCAGATCCAGGGCGTCAATGTCCTGCAGACCAAGCCCGACTCGTTCCTCATGGAAATCAACTCGACCATCACCACTGACGGCAAGATCCACGCCGACGTCGACGCCTTCGAGGGCACCATGTCTCTCGACGCCGACAACGCCAAGCCCTTTGTCACCCTGCAGTTCCCCAAGACCACCGCCGACAAGTTTCAGACGGTCAACATCAGCCAGACGGTCCAGATCAAGGACATGGAGGCCTTCAAGGAGTTCAACGTTGCCTTTTTCCAGCAGGAGAAGCTGCGCGTCAGGGTCCAGGGCAAGACTCGCGTCCAGCCCAAGGGTCTCGACAGAAAGTACGACGTCGACTTCAAAAAGACGCTCGATATCAACGGCCTCAACCTCTTCAAGGGCACAAAGGTCACGGACGGCACTGTCGACATTATGGCCACAAAGGGCAAGCCCAACTTTAGGGGCACCGCCGAGATCCCCAACAACTCTCACTTCACCCTCGACATTGTGAGTGGCCCGCTGACTGTCCCTGGCTGACACTTGGCACTGACGACTCTGGAACAGGGCAACGCCACCTTTACCAACTTTGCCGATGGGCAGAACCTTGGTAATCTCACCATCCGCAACTTGCTCGTCCGCCCTGGCATCAACAAGGTTGACATCGAAGCCGAGCTGGACCAGGTCAAGGTCCTCAGCATCGTCAGCAAGAAGCCCTACTGCGACAACGGAGTCGTTCCCTTCCAGCTGCTCGGCACCGACGTCGAGAACGGCGGCCAGAAGCTCGATTATTTCACCGCCACCCTCGCCAGCGCCAACCAGACCGTCGACATTGACATTGGCTCCATTCTCAAGAAGACGATCAAGGGCTTCCAAGTCTCGTGCTCCAGCAGCTAGGCGGCGCCAAGGGGGCCATGACGAAACGCATAGAGGGGCCGGTGTCTTTTCTCGTATGATTTCTTTCAATGTGACTTTGTCTACCTTGTCTCTCGGTGTATCTGGACGGGGCAGGTTGCCGCCGTGTGCAAAGGCGGGCAGGAAAGCGCGGCTGGCGGGACGGCCTGATGAATGAAACCTCGCTGCGCTTTTCAGCGCGGGACACCGCGATATCTAATTTAATGTCCAATGCATTGTCTCATCAAGTTAGCCCGGACTGTCTGCCCGTTGCTTGAGTCTCCTCATGCCATTCTGGCATATCCGTACAAACAGCGCGATTCATTGCTGAGGCCTCACTTGGCCACACAAAGAATCTCCTGGTCTCACCTCCAGCTGCTCCTACTCTTATCTCCCCTCGAGAGACCACTGGCTACCGACGCGTTGGCATCGATCGTGGCCGTCGAGGGTACAAAGTCAACCGAACTCCTTGCGCCGCTAGCCTTGTCCGCCTCCCTCTGGTTGGCAATCTTTTCCCGGCTCTTCCTCAGCTTTTCCACAAAAGCCGTCTCGGGAAATGCTGCGGGATTCCACAGATCGGGCGACAGCGTCGTCTCGTACTGCTGCCGCTCGTCCAGCCCCACAAAGTCCATGAGCTTGTCCATAACGCCTGGGTTGCGCAGCGCCGTCGACTGCTCAAGCTTGGAGTTGAAGTGCGTGCCATTTTTCTTGAGCGCCAGAAACTGCTCAAAACTCTTGCTCGCGCGTGGCGGCGGTGAGCCCGAGGGCGAAGGGGGGATGTCGAGGTTAGGGATGGAGGGGAGGGTGAGGTCGTGGATGAGAGCGCGGTTGGCCGAGTACGGCGACGCCGGGCCCTCGGCTTGGTACCAGTCGCCGGCCATTGCAGACGCTTCCATGGATGGTGGGAGTGAGGGTCCTAGGGGAACTGCGCTCTGGGAGACGGGCGCGATGACGGGAGGCTCGAGCTGCTCCGCTTCTGATGGCAGCGGCGGCCCAGAGTATTGCCCGACTATAGGGTGAAGTAGAAAAGCATCAGCACCAACTATAATCTTTAAGACGCGTTGAGATGAGTGCAGTCACGGCATGCTCACCTGGTTTGGCTTCTTTCTCAGAGTTGGCAGATGCAGTGCTTTGCGCCTGGTGAGCAGTGAGCAGTGAGCAAAAGCGTAGAAAATCAGAGTCCCCCCGCCGGAAGGAATCGTACCTCTGCATCATGACGTAGCCGCGGGCTTTCGTCTCTCTCGTCATCACTACTGTCGTAGCCGACGAGACCAGCCATGGTATTCCCCACGCTGGGAGCCACAGCGAAATGGGAGCGTGATGGCGCGTCCAAGGAGCTGAATGAAAGTTATAACCGCCCAGGTACTTTCCCCGGCTCGCAGGCCCCTGGGGCGGAACATGATTGGTGCGGCAGAAGCTCGGGCTCGTCCAGCCTGGCAACCCCACTCGTCGCCTCCTGTTCACAACCTGACTTCGGGCCAGACAATCCAGCATTCGACTCATTTTCCTCGACACCTTACACCTCCCGTCACCCCGTGCAACCGACGAACGTCCATCGACCACCAGCTGCACGCTCGCTCTCTCGCACAGCCAACCAACCATATTGCTCGCAAACACCCTCCCAGACCCACCCGGCCGCGCCGTGTGGGTCGCAGTCGCGGTTCCTGTGCACGCGCGCACCTCGAAGCCAAAACCCTCTGCCAGCCGTACGATCCCGACCAAAAAGTACCACTCACCACCAACGTAGCGTCTTTCTGAGCTTGCGCCACCACCATGGCTCGGCCAAGAGACTCGCGCTCACCAGCTCCTGCAGGAAGCCATGACGGCTCTCGCCGCCGTCGCAGAGATGATGATCGCCGGGGCAGAGACCGGCGTGATGACGGGAGGGACCATCGACGGCCCAGCCGCTCGCGCAGCCCGGATGTGAGGCTACCCCTCCCTGACCTGACCCCTTTTTATTTCATGATGAAGCTCATCCGCCCATCTTCCCCCTCGTCAGCGCCGGCAGCATGATCGCGGCGGGCGTTTTCGTGACCGAGACCAGAATCGAGACGTGATCCGCCGCCGAGAGCGCTCTCCGGACCGACGAGACGATGGCTATCATCGTCCTGGTCCTCCCCGTGACTATCGAGACAGGGACAACAGAGATAGGCGCAGATCCCGAGATAGATATGCTGAGAGACCTCGATCCCCCGACCGCAGGCGGAACCGAAGCCGCGAGAGCGAGCCGAGCTTCAGGAGCCGCGATGCCTCCCGCGACAGGGCCCGCTCGCGCCGTGAGGGAACAGCTGACTCGTCTACTCGCAGCAGCTTCCGGCGCACTCCCCAGGGCGACGGTGGGAGAGGGGGCCCCGACGAGGTTTGTTTTGTTTCCTGCCCGTCCTTGATCGCGGCTAACGAGTTTCTGTTACAGCCTCAAAAGCCCAAGCAAAATGCCCCCCAGTCGGATGCCGACAAGAAGGCTGAGCGTCTCGCCAAGCTCGAGGCTTGGAAGAAGAAGAAGGAGAGCGAGAGCCAGAAGCAAAAGGCACAGAATCCGGGCGACATGAGCCAGGCCATCAAGCTCCTGGCCGAAATGGACAAGAAGACCAGCATGGGGCCGCCAAGCTTGATCACGACCGCCACGCCGTCCGTCACCTCGCCGGGTGCCGCCCCCAAGCCGGACATCGCGTCTCTCGCGCAGCCATACGCTGGCAAGTTTGACCCAAAATCTATTGCCAAGAAGTCTGCTGCGTCGCGATCCCATGACTCCTCCAAGTCTGTGCTAGGTTCGCTCGGTGGTCAGCCGGGTCAGCTTGCGCCGCCACCGCTGTCCCATCCAGCAGCAGCGGCAGCGGATAATCAGGCTACCACAGGTGAGTCGTGGACTGGAGCGTGTCACTCAGCCCTGGCTAACGGCGCTCGAAAAGCGTCGGCTCTGCCAGCCAACCGCGGGAAAGCAAGTGGGTTCGGCTTTGGAAGGACTCAGGCGGACAGCGACAAGCTTCCCAACAAGCGAAAGATTGATCTTGACGAAGAGGATAATGTCCAGCGCAAGCTTCAGAGGCTTCCGGCCTTGATCGTGGAGGATGATGATACTCCCTACGCTGATCAAGACGAGGATTACGGCTCCGGTGACAACGTTGCCGAAAACGAGGAGGAAGCTGTCGCCGCCGCCCGCGCCGCGCACGAGAGACGGCTGCAGGCTGAGAATCAGCCAGAGGACCAAGCCAAGGAGGGGGAGGGGGCCACTGACGCCGGTGCACAGCCCGAGCAGCACACCAATGGAGACGCTGTCGGAAATGACGAAGCTGCCGTTGCGGGCCCTCCCGGGCAGGCAGCCCGTCCTGAGCCAATGGACCTCGATGAAGAGGAAGACGTGGACCCTCTCGATGCCTTCATGGCCGAGCTCAAGCAGACCGAAGTGGCGAAAATAAGCAAGCCAGCCCGTGACTCAAAGAAGTTGCAAGAGCCAGAAGCATATTTCAGCGACGAAGAGAACGTCTTTGATAAAAAATCAGACGGCAACGCGGACAACATCCTTGCCATGGCCAACAAACGCAAGAAAAAGGACATCCCCATCACCGACTTCACCAAAATAGATATTGAGCCGGTTCGCAAGAACTTTTGGGTCGAGCCCGCGGAACTGAATGGCTTGTCGGAAGCCGACGTGGCAGACCTGCGACTGGAGCTCGACGACATCAAGGTCAAGGGCAAGAGTGTGCCAAAGCCGGTTCAGAAGTGGTCCCAGTGTGGCCTGTCGCGTCAGACCTTGGACATCATCGACGGTCTCGGCTACGAGAAGCCCACGGCCATCCAGATGCAGGCCATTCCAGCCTTGATGTCGGGGCGAGATGTCATTGGGGTGGCCAAGACGGGCTCCGGCAAAACGATTGCCTTTCTGCTGCCCATGTTCCGACACATCAAGGATCAGACCCCGCTCAAGGAGACGGACGGACCTATCGGACTCATCATGACACCGACACGCGAGCTCGCCGTGCAGATACATAGGGAATGCAAGCCCTTCTTGAAGGGCATGGGCCTGCGCGCTGTCTGTGCATATGGAGGGGCTCCTATTCGAGATCAGATTGCAGAGCTCAAGCGAGGCGCCGAGATTATCGTGTGCACTCCTGGCCGCATGATCGATCTCCTGGCCGCGAACCAGGGAAGAGTCACGAACCTCAAGCGGGTCACCTACGTGGTTCTCGACGAAGCCGACCGAATGTTCGACATGGGCTTTGAGCCCCAGGTCATGAAGTTTTTTGCCAACATGCGACCCGACAGGCAAACCATTCTGTTCTCAGCCACCATGCCACGTATCATCGACTCTCTGATCAAAAGGGTCCTCAAGAGCCCTGTCGAGATTACCGTCGGCGGGCGCAGCGTTGTTGCCAAGGAGATTGAGCAAATCGTGGAAATCCGAGAGGACAGCACCAAGTTCCTGCGCGTCCTGGAGCTCCTGGGCGAACTCTACGATCGGGACGAGGACGCTCGGACACTGATCTTTGTGGAGCGGCAAGAAAAGGCGGACGATGTTCTGAAGGAACTCATGGTCAAGGGGTATCCGTGCATGTCTATTCATGGTGGCAAGGATCAAGTTGATCGGGACTCGACCATTTCCGACTTCAAAAATGGCATCGTTCCCATTCTCATCGCAACCTCGGTCGCTGCGCGCGGCCTCGACGTCAAACAGCTAATGCTCGTCATCAATTACGACGCCCCCAATCACATGGAAGACTATGTTCATCGTGCCGGACGGACCGGTCGCGCCGGAAACACTGGCGTGGCTGTCACGTTTGTGACCCCTGAGCAGGACAGTTGCGCGCCGGGCATTGCCAAGGCGCTGGAGCAGAGCGGCCAGCCAGTGCCGGAGAAGCTCGATGAAATGAGGAAGGCGCACCGTGAGAAGGTAAAGGCGGGCAAGGCCAAGGACTCGTCAGGCTTTGGCGGTAAAGGGCTCGATCGCCTGGACAAGGAACGCGAGGCCGCCCGCCAGGTCCAGCGCAGGACACACAGAGCTGAGGGCGAGGAGGATGAGGAAAAGGAAGAGAAGAAGGACGACGGAAAGGGCGAGAGTGCACTGAATGCCATCAGAGCAGCCGCGTCGGTCGTGCACGCGCGCGACAGCCACAAACCCGAGGCAGAGCACAACAAGCCCGTTCGCAGTGGCAGCGATGCGCCGGCGACGGGAGACAAGATTAAGAATCCTCTGGACAAAGTCAGCTCGGCCGTCAGCGCCATCAACAGCCGCCTGGGCAAGTCGGGCCAGCTTCGATCCGGTCAGCCGATCGACAACAAGGGCCCTGACGCCGGAGCTTTCCACGCGACGCTGGAGATCAACGACTTCCCGCAAAAGGCAAGATGGGCCGTCACGAACCGCACCAACGTGGCCAAGATTCTTGACTCGACGGGCACTTCCATCACCACCAAGGGGAGCTTCTACCCCCCCGGCAAGGAGGTTCCTGCGAATGCCGATCCGAAGCTCTACATTCTCATCGAGGGCGACACCGAGGTGGCTGTAAGCTCGGCTCTGCAGGAGATGACCAGGCTGCTGAGGGAGGCGACGATTGCATCGGTGGATGCAGACAACAGGGCTCCCGCGAGCGGACGATACTCTGTCACCTAGTAGTTGCTAGGCCCGTCTGCTACCGGAAAAGGGGAGGGGAGATGGACGTCAGAGCATGGGAAATTGTGAGGGGTTTCAACAGGCAGTTGCTAATTTGTGTTGGCTTGGGGGGCCGCATCATCTCAGGGCAAAATCGGGTAACAGTACAGGGGGGGATTTGTGGTGGATTCCGTCCGCCTATCTACTCCTTGCCCCAGTACTCTCTGTTCAGTCGCAGCAGAGTCTCCTATCTAATGAGTAGCTGAGGAGATTCGGTGCGCAGTATATGCCTGAATCTTTGATGGTAAATGTGAGAATGATTGGGCAATGGACATGGGTCGTGCTGGCCAAGTCCAAGGTGACGCGAGGCTCGTACAAGAGCGCTTGCGTGCTCGAGAGGGGAGTAGATGAGTGATCCACTGACTCGAGCAGAGAGCATGTTGCCGCGCCGGGGCTACAAAGGGCCCAAGGCCCCCCGTCCATTTGTGCTTTGTCATGGAAAGGTCTGTGGACTGTGAACCAGGACAACAGATGAGGTCCTGGAAGACTCGACAAGGGGAAGGGGTATTCGTCGCTTGAGCGTGCGGGAACGGCGACGATGACGGCGGCGATGACGGCGGCGAGGTCTATGGCTGATTCTGTGGGTAGGTAATAAGGTCTAGTCCCAGTTGCGGGCGCGAACGGCGTCGTCGGCGTCGCGGACGCGCTGTTCCTGGGCGCTGGCCCGCTTCATGGCGTCGGACCGCGATTGTCTCTTTTGGGCGGAGAGCTGGGATTGCAACTTGCCGCCTTTGCCGGCAGCTTGGGCGCGGGCCTGAAATCGGGATTGTGTCAGGACAGTCGCCTTTCCCCCTCTCGCTCTCTATATATCTTGGATGCGAGAGGTACTGACCTCTGCTGCCTCGGCGGCCCTCCTCCGGGCGTCGTCGTGGGTGGAGGACGACTCGCCGGAGGATGCTGGCGGTGGCCGTGGCGGTTGTTGTGATGCGCCGGCGCCGGAGCCCAGGGTGCGCGGCGGGCCGCCGACCTTGGGGGGCACGGAGGAGGTGGTTCTGCGGGCGGCGGGGGGGGCGGAGCCGAGGCGGCGGCCGGGCGGGGAGGCTTCTTGGGAAGCGTCTTGTTTGCTGCAGAGGCCGCCCATTGTTTTTTTTTTAGTTTCCTGTTTGCACGGCCGGGCGGTTGAATGTCTTTTGCGGGCGGTGGGAGGGACCAAGGACGGTGAGGTGAGGTGACGGGAGAGAGGTGAGGTGACGGGAGAGAGGTGAGGTGACGGGAGAGAGGTGAGGTGACGGGGGAGGAGAGGAGAGAAGCGGCGAGGGATTGAAATTGCGTACAGTACGTACGGTACCTCCCGGGGACACGAGGCTGTGCTTTTGCAGATTGTCGGCGACGCAAAGGGGTCCAAGACAGTGTGGAGAACCTGGTCAGGGTACGAAATATTAATTAGCGGGGTGACTGACGATGTTGTTTCCAAGACGAAGGCGGCTCAGCCTCGTGGGCGTACGTAAACACATGTTTCGAGGCACTTGATGGCCGTCATGGAAGCTTCGGAGTAAAAGACAAACAAACAGTCAATGACGCTCCTCGGCAGTCTTTGATATTCTTTCGATACGTGGTGTAGCTCCTACCCTATACCGCGCAACTAACGACAGCGTCACCGGCAGAGAGGAGCGGTTCCCGTCGGACGTTGCAGCCGCTTGTGTTGCACGGCGAGTAGACGACAATAATCGAGGGCTCGCTGGCACGTCTTGGCTCGGAGGATCTGCCTAATGGGCCAGCGCATGGCAATATGGCGATGGCCTATGACTAGTAGTATTTGCTCTTCAGAGACTTGTCAGGACAGCGCTGCGGTGGAGACGGGCTCCGAACAGCGTATGTAGTAGGTATAACAGTAAGGTAGGTAGGTATGTACTCATTCTGGGCACTTGCAGCGGTTCAAGCGCAGGATCTGTAGGTATCTAGGTAGGCAGGTACAGTACAGTACAGTGCCGGTACGGGTTCACAGCAGCTCCATTCCCACGATCCCCTTCCAATTCACGCCTCTATCCCAAATGACAAGAGACAAGACGTGGTCTCACTTTCCCAGCAATCAGCTCTAGCGCCCGGCGGGCTGGTGGACCCCGGATAGTGGGAACCGCCGAATCGACCTCTCGTAGGTGCCCGAGCAAGTTTACAAGTTTCTCAGGTGCACTGTAAGGGGGTGTTTGGAGGAAACGTGACATTTGCTCTGACTGTATTTGATACACCAAGTACGTACAAGAAGCAGGCGAGATGAGATGCAGAAATGCCGCCTCAGAGACGCGTATGCATGTATGTTCTGACAGTGACAAGAGCGAGTACAGTACTAATCCTAGATATGTACAGTACATACACATGTTGGCTCATCGAGTTGCATTCGGCCGTGCAAAGAAAGCTGTTACATCCACGACTGCAAAAAGGTCTTCTCTCATCCGACACCGGGAAAAGCTGCAAATGGCGGGGCAATCGAGATGTTGTATTCGTAAATCTGCACCGACCTGAATGTATACGAGGTATGTACTTACCTCTACCTACCTGTTTCCGAGGCTGTCGAGCCAAGGCAGGGCACTACCCTGGTCTACCTGAAGGGCCCCCGGTCGCGCAGGCGGGGTAAAGAAACATGGCTGGTCCAGTAGTGGGTACGTGCCTGCCTAGAAATGGGTACAGTACCTAGGTACTTACTGTACCTACGGAGGGCGGCCATGCTGTTTTTTGCACCCTGCCTCGTCGCGCTGCACTGTATTATTAACAAGTTGCTCGTTCGTGCCAAAAACGGTTGTGGCCCGATAGCGCCGAAACAGAAAAAGGTGTCGGGCGGTTCGTCGTAGATAGGTACCTCTACGTTTGTCCCGACGCTTGTCCCGACGCTTGCCCGACGCTTGTCCCGACGCTTGTCCCGGTACCGGACTTGCGCACACGCTGATTGGAAGGCCCGCCAGGCGGGTGAGGCGCCAGTATCACCGCGTGCCTGCCCCGCCACGGCCTTGGCACCCATTTTTCTCTGCCCTTCTCCCCAAAGACCTCGTCAGACTCGTCCGTGGGCCATCCGGGTCCTCATGCCTGCCTTGTGCTCGCTCGAGCAACTTGGGAGCCTGGGCCCGGGGCAGCAACCACCACCCACAGAACTGCTCGGAACTGCTCGCGCCTGCTTCTGCGCTGCTACCGGGACACACGCCCTCCTCCCCTCATCCTCCACCCTCCTTCTCTTTGCCGGATACTCCGTACTTCCAACATCATCCTCACCTTCACCTTCGCCTTCACCTTCACCATTGCTTTTGCTGCGACTTGACGCCAGCCAACCATTGTCGACGCCGCTCCCATACCAGGTCCCATAAGCGCCGGACATGCATCGCGAACCTTAGCCCTTGCCTCGCACCACTGCTCGTCTAGCTTGGACTTCCGAGGCCTCATTTATTGGCCCTCGCCATGGACCCATCGCACATGGCCTTTGACGGCCACATGGATCAAAATGGCCCGTCTGCCAACGACATGCTCAACCTTCCCCTCGACCTCGATGCCATGATGGCTGCAGACAATACCATGTCGACCAGCCTCGACAGGTTGTTCGCTCAATGCGCCAACGACGACTCATGCCTCGACCACCATCACCACCTCCGCCAACTCAGCTCCAGTCACAAAGCCCAGGCCAGCTTTGCGCCTCCTCTGCCACAGCAACACCACTCGACGAGCCCCCTTGCCACGTCGTCCTCGCTCCAGGCGCACCCCCATGATTATACATGGGAAAACTTCCTCAACGACTCTGCTCTCGGCAACTCAGCCTTGCATAACGGCGACCTCGGCCTATGCCAAGCTGACGACTGTGCCTCGGAGTGCAGTTCCGAGTGTGACGGCTCCTGCCCCAGCCAATGCGGCGACACTGGCCATGGCGTTTGCTGCGACGACGATGCTTGCGGCAGTCCCCAACTGTGTCTCGATGAAGACTGCCAGGGTGCGCGCCGCCCTTGCATGGACGAGAGCTGCCTGACGGACACGACGCTCGGCAAGCAGCCGTCGTCTGGCCACGCCATGACGGACTGCGACAAGGCTGCCGCAGCGGCCCTCGCCTCCTTTGGCGGCGATGGTCCGCTACAGATGGTTCAGGCCGGTTTTATGCAGCCCCCGGCCTCCGCCTCTGCGCCATCACGGACCGCGCCACTGTCCTTCGTCCCTCTCCCCGAGAGCCTTCCTTGCGGCAGCCTTTCCATGGAGTCCATGTTGACCAACGGGCCCTCAGGTTTTCCCAACCAGCCTTGCCAGATGGCTATTGAATACGCTCTTGCAAGCCACATCATGCAGTACCATGATCCTTCTCACGGTCTGGCCCATACCGGCAACTGTGTGGCTAACGATCCAGCCCAGCTGATTTCCCGCTGCACGCTGCCAAAGTTCCATCCCAACGACAGTGCCATGGACCCCTATTTGTCTCAGCTCCAGGGCCACGAATGTGGCTTCCAGGTTCAGGATCCAAATGCCTTTGCGCAACACATCTTTGAAGAGCACCGGCCAACTCCTATGCTTCAATCTCAAATATCTAGATTTCCAGAAGCCACCCACCCTCAAGCTCAAGTTGGGAGCAACGCATCCTATCATTGCAAGCCTCGCGCGGGATACAACGCGACTTCCCGCGCCCCCTTTGGCCAGCACTTCTCGCCATCCCCGTCGCCCTTGACCAACTTGTCGGTCGGCCATTCTCTTTCCACGACACCGTCCTCGCTCACCACACCCTCGCCGCTTGAATCCGATGCTGGTGTGGCAGAGCTTAATTTCTCTGACGTCTCCAAAACCCCCTTTGGCGCGTCAGAATCTCACCATCTGGCCCAGGAGGACCAGTTCCTCTGCCGCTGGCTGACGGGCAACGGCGATGGCATCTGTGGCAAGCGCTTCGATGACGACGAACAGCTGCAGAAGCATTGCAAGTTTGACCACCTCAAGCAGTTGAAGAAGGCTCGCGGGGGGTTTCGATGCGGCTGGGCAAACTGCACAAGGGATACGTGCTTCACCCAGCGGAGCAAAGTGGAGCGGCACATGCAGGTACACACGGGGTGTAAGTCGGCGGCTGCCATTGGGACTCACCTTGGAGAAGCTGACGTGGAGCAGACAAGCCTGTCCGTTGCGAGATTTGCGGGGCGTCCTTGTCCGCCAAGCAAGCCCTTGACCAGCACATGAGGATTCATACCGGCGAGACACCCTGGGTCTGTAAATTCCCGGGTTGCGACTGCGCCTTCAAGCAGCAAAGTGCCCTGAGTGAGTTGTGAAAACTTCCGTGTCGACCACGAGAATCGCCGCTTACTCCTAGGCAGCCATGCACGAGCGAACTCACACGGGCGACAAACCCCTCGAGTGCGAGATTTGCCACAAGAGATTTAGCGAGTCGTCCAACCTGTCCAAGCACCGCAGAACGCACAACGTCAAGGGCATGCACGAATGTCAGCTCTGCGGCAAGGACTTTCACAGGCTGGACCAGCTTCGGAGGCACATGGGCACGAACCACAAAGACAGGGCTGCCGAGGTAGACGCCCTTCTCAGCAGAGCCATGCCCAAGTCTCAGATTCACAGGGTGTCGAAAGCAGCCAAGACCAAGGCAGGGGCCAGGGGCAAGGCAGGATTGAGGGGCCTCGACGCTGACACGCTTGAGGTGATTGAGGATCAGCTTCAGAGGGTCATGATGGATCAAGGGTCTTTATGACGGTGAATGGAGGAGGGTGAGCGGAAGCAACCGACCTCTACATTGATGATTGACGGCAGCGATGCCGGTGGAAGTTGAAATCTTGATCATGCAGTTGTCACAGCGTTGAAGCGTTGGCGTTGATGGGAGCTTTGGGAGAGACGAGGAGGATATCGGTGCCTGATGTTTGCATGTACAGGATTGATCCATTTCGTTATCCAAGCAAGGGAAGGAAGAGGGCATTGGAAAGGATGGTTGGGATGGAAGGTGTCCTTATACCCGAGTGATTATGCAGGAGAAGGTTGGGAACCGTGTCTGAGATTGTCGGAGTTGAGACTGATTCGACGAAAGACACGAAGCAGGAACACGGGACGCAGATGGTAGTGAAATGTAGTCCGACGTACGATATACTCGGTGCGTCACTGTAGACGCTTATGCAGTCCTGGGTGAAGCTGAACTCAGTCTACACGTAGCCGCAATTGCACTTGCAGAGGTGTTGACGGGTGCATCTCATCCGAGAAATGCCTCTTGACTTTTACTCTCGGAATCGTCATCGTCCAGAGGGCCTGGGTACAAGTTCGAGGAAACAGTAGTTTCGGGCGGGCCTCGTCGGCAAACAAGCACAGAAAGCACAGGAGCATCGGGTGAAAGCAGACACCACGAGTCTTCATCATGACCTCATTTTTTTGCTTTCTCATTGATGGACTGCAGGTGGAGCGGCCCATGGAGGACGATGTGTCGTCACCCCAGCACGAGGCCTAAACCGGGAAACAAGTACAAATTCAGACCGAGATTCCCCAGAGCCATGCGATGCAGCTTTCGAAGCCTTTTGTTCGGAGAAAAAAAAGCACGCCACGCCTCGATAACCCCCCTTTCCCTCAACCCGTGATGCTCCGTATGCCCCTCGAGCTACTGCACCATTACACTCAGGCAGCCTGCGGCAAGTTGTCTGTCAGTGACCAAGTTCACCGCTGGAGTACCTTTCTTTTGGTTGCATGACGTAGAAAGGGCGAAGGGAGGCGTCTTACCTTGACGGCAAACTTCCGTTGGGGGAAATGCGTGTTGCGCTTCTTGGTCTTCTCCAGCACGCGAGCCTTGTCCTGGGGTGACAGGCGGCGACGGATGGCGCGGGTCTGCTTGGGGCGGAGGTCGAGAGGGGCGTACTTCTTGTTCTTGTAGAAGAGGCGCAGCTGGGAGCGTTGCTTGGCGTTGATGACGGTCAGGACGCGGGCGATGGACTTTCGCAGGTCGTGGCTGCGCATGGGTCAGTATTTCCCGAATCTCGTGCTCCCCCAGCGTGGGGTTTCCGGGCGGCCCAGGCAGCGAGGGCCGCTTTGGAGGGCGGCGACGAGGGAGGGCTGCTCACATCTTGGTCAGCTTGGTGCCGGACGAGGCCACCTTTTGGATGCGGAGCTGGCCAAGCTCGGTCTTGAGCTCGGCGAGCTGCTTCGTCAAATCATCCTTGCTCTTGTCCCAGAGCTGGACGACCTTAACTTTGCTCGACGACTAGTAAGTAAAGCATCGTCAGCGGACACGTTCCTCTCCCACACACAAAGGTAGTGACGAGTATAAAGGCGAGAGCGGCGGCGGCGGTGGCAGGTCGTCGTTTCGTGGATTGGTTTTTGCAGTCGTCGTTGGCGAAGGGCGGCTCAGGGTGCCGTCGGAAATGGCTCGCCACGGGCCATTTTTAGTCGAGGGCCGCGGCGACGACGAAAGGCCGATGCTGTCGAGGGCGGCCGAGGCAAGGGAACAGTTGCAGAAGGCGGTGCAGACTCACCATCTTTATGATCTTCGATGGGGGAATTTGCGAAGCGTGTCGACCGAGTGCGTTAAGTGAGAAGGCAGCCTCGAGGATGGCCGTCCGAGTCGCAGCGTGGGCCCTTTCGAAAAATCAATCGAATTGGGAGGGGAGGGGTGGCTGCCAGGGTGGACGACGAAATTTTGCCCTAGGGTTTCCGTTGTGTGCGCCGGACTTGCGCCGAGCCAGCCAATTGGTGTCGGTGTGGGGAGGCTGTGATTAGCTCAGGTGAGGGGGTGGGACGAGGTCACGTGTACAGGGTCATGGTACTCAAGGTTGGGCGGTGAGGAGATTCTGCCGCCCGGTGACGAAACGTTATGTAAGGTAACTACCTCCATACCTCTCCAGTAAAACTGCTGGATCTGGCGGCGCAGAGCGTATGCCCCGACCCGCCGCCTCTCGTGAGCGACGTCAGTTTCATCACCAAGCTCGCAACCATGTCCGCACCATCAGGAAGCGGAGGCTGGACCCAACTGCGGCAGCAGGCCAGGACGCTGGAGACGCAGGTGAACACCCCCCAGATCCGAGGCTGTCTCTGCTACTCCCCCTTCTCCCGCTTTCCTCTAACCGTCCGAGCACCAGACCGAGAGCCTCTTCCATACCTACTCGCAGTTCTCCGCGGCTGCCAGCATCCCGCCGAAACCGACAGAGGAAGAACGCCAGACGGAGGCCAAGATCGAGGAGCTGCTAGAAAAGGTCAGAGCCAAACCCGAAGACAGCGGCAGATGGGGGGGCGATTCCCCATCCTAGTCGACTAACTTTGGGGGGAGTACTCAGCGCGAATCCGTCGTCTCCCAACTATCACGGCTGCTCGACTCGGAAGCATCCCTCACCTCGTCGGCCCTCAAGCAAAACAACCTCTCGCTGCTGCGCGAAAAGCTCTCCGCCCACAAGCGCGACCTCGGCCGCCTGCGCAGCACCCTCCAACAGGCCCGCGACAGGGCTAACCTTTTGACCAACGTCCGATCCGACATCGACCAGTACCGGGCCAACAACCCCGAGGCTGCCGAGGCCGAGTACATGCTCGATGAGCGCAACCGCATCGATAACAGCCACAACATGGCGGACAGCGTCCTGAGCCAGGCGTATGCCGTCAACGACAACTTCGTTCTGCAGAGGGAGACGCTGGCGAGCATCAACCGCCGCATCACCATGGCGGCGAGCCACGTCCCCGGCATCAACAGCCTGATTGGCAGGATATCGGCCAAGAAGAGGAGGGACGGAATCATCATGGGCTGCTTCATCGCGGCGTGTTTCCTTGCATTCTGGTGGTTCATGTAGGATCAGGGGAGAGTCATCACGGGTCGCTTGGTCGGTATGTGCAACGGCGTTTAGTGGGGTATCAGCGTTCTATCTCTATTTGTACGGGAAACCTGGCAGGGCCTCGGTCACCACTATAGAAGTGGCCAGGTTAATTTTTTTTGGGTGGGGGGCAAGCGGAGAGGGATATCCAGCTTCTTATGATACCCTCGACTTGACAAGTGGCGTTTCAATCAGCCTCTCCGTGCCGTGGCCGGAGAGGTACTTCTCCTGACCTCGTCGACCAACCGCGTGACACCCCGGGTGAGACCGTCCCTCTCCTCGGGATGGCTAGGCCCACTGCCCGCCCAGCGTATGCGGCAGTGTTGGTCGACGAGGTACATGTAGCCGACCTTTGCGTTGAGCAGGCCAATGGACTCGCGGATGTCGTCAGTGATACCCTTGCGCACCAGGAGGTACTTGCCCCAGTCCTTTTCCGGGAACCTCTTGCGCAGGGAGCGACGAAACAGGCGGACGAGCCAGGCCTTGGCCGCATTATCCTCGTAGTTGATGTGAACCATCTGGGCCACGTCGTCGTTGCGGGCAACGGTGTCGTGCAGCGCGGGGTTGGCCTCGCGCGAGGCAAACGAGGCAACCTGCCGCTCGGCCCACTGGCTGCTGAAGATGCCGACGACGGAGACCTTGCCCGCCAGGAGCGGCGTTGTGTCGCGCGGCGCCCGGTCCGACTCGAGGATGGGTTCGCCGTAGAGGTTGGGGAAGAAGAGGGAGACGTCGGCCTTGAAGAGGCGCGGGGGCGCGACGAAGGACTTGCCCTCGTGAAACTGCAGGTTGCCCCAGTCGCGGAAGTAGGGTCGAGATATCTGGGCCGTGCTGTCCATGGACATTGTAAGCTCTCCATACACATAAATACATGGGAGGAGCCCAGCGCGGCGGGCCTGACTCACAGCTCTTTGCGGCGCTGCAGGTGCTTGTCGTAATCGACAAAGTCGTCACGGCGCTCCCTCAGTGTGCGGCCGTCGATGCCCGTGTTCTCGCCGGCCTTGGGCGGCAGCGGCATGCCGATGGGGCGCGGCAGCGGCTTGGGCGTGAAGCCGCCCTCGACGCGCTTGCCGTAGCTCCGCGGCGCCTCGATCGGCGGCCCGGCGACATGGCTCCGGGGATCCATGGGCGCGCCGACGCCGGGCTTGTCGGGCTTCGGAGGCTTCGGCGGCGGTGCTGGGGCCTGCGGCCGAGCTGCCGACTGGGCGAGGCCGCGGCGGCCGCAACATTGGCGGGGACGGGCATGGACGACCGCCGGGGACTGCTGCCACCACCGGCGCCACCACCAGCAGTCGGCGGTGGCGAGGCGGGTGACGGCTGGCTCCAGCCCTCGCGGAGGCATGGGAACGCGATAGACTGAAGTTGGGGTTGCTTCGTTTCCTGTCGTGTGTGTCTTCTGGTGAACTTGCTCCCCAGCTTTTCTGGGCAGGCGCGCGTTTGCGTAAGCGCGGGATGAGCCGCGCTTGTGCGGTGATAAGATTCCCTACCTCGAGGGCTCCACTCTGAGCCCCGTGCCTTCGGCTATTCGCGGCGGCTCCTCCTCCAACGACGCAATGCCGACTGAAGCCATTAGGGATTCGCCCTCTCGCCCGCTCTCCGTGCCTCACATACCTTGCTTCCTCACACTCTGCTCCTTTCTATTTCACCCTCGGTAGCGGCTTTCGTGCGCGGCGGCAATCGGTCTACTCTTCGGAACCCCGCATCTCTGCAAACCCGCGCTCACCGCCACCGCTCAGCTCAGTCTCGTGGGTTTCGTCGCGTCTCGGGCGGGGTCCATTGGCAGGCACAATGTTCCTGCAGCGAGGCTCCAGGATGCTGCGCAGGCAATTGCAGGCCTCAAGGGCCATGGGCAAGATGGCCGTGGCCAGGGGTGCTGCCGGAGGTCTGGCCGGGCACGCGCCGAGGTGGTTCACCGAGTCGAGGCGGCTATGCGCCGTGAAGCCTGTGCTCCTGGCCGACATTGGCGAGGGTAAGTCTGCCCAGGCCTGCTTTGAGGGACACGGCTCAAAGAAAACACTGACTGGGTTGCGCAACAGGCATCGTCGAATGCGAGGTGATACAGTGGTTCGTCGAGCCGGGCGCACGGGTCGAGGAGTTCTCGCCGCTGTGCGAGGTCCAGAGCGACAAGGCGTCGGTGGAGATTACCAGCCGCTTCACTGGCACGGTCAAGAAGCTCTACTACGAGGCCGGCGACATGGCCAAGGTGGGGAAGCCGTTTGTCGACATCGACATTGCAGGGGAAGCGGCAGCAGAGCCGAGCACGGGGGGCGGCGAGAAGGAGGCGGCGGCGACGACAACACCGACGCCGGTACTGGAGACGCCCGCCCAGCATGCCTCCGCGGGGGCTCCGGGCGCGCCCAGCAGCAGCAGCGGCGGCGGCGGCAGCGGCGAAGCGAAGAGCAGGCCCAAGGGAAAGATGGCGACACTGGCGACGCCTGCGGTGCGGCACCTGTCCAAGGAGCTCAAAGTGGATATTGCCGAGATTGACGGCAGTGGCAGGGACGGGCGGGTGCTCAAAGAGGACCTTTACAAGTTTGTCAAGAGCAGAGAGTCTGCTGGCTCGGGGCCACAACCGGCGACGAGGGACGACGGGGCCGCGGCGCAGCAGCAGCAGACGGAGACGCGGGTGGCGCTCACGCAGACGCAGCAGCAAATGTTCAAGGCCATGACGCGGTCGCTGGCCATTCCGCACTTTCTCTACGCCGACGAGCTGGACCTGTCGAACCTGGTCGGGCTGCGGGCGCGGCTCAACCGGGTGCTCGCAGAGCAGTCGTCGGCGGGCCTGGGCTTGAGCTCGGACGAGGCCAGCCAGCAGCCGCCGCCGACCAAGCTGTCGTATCTGCCCTTCATCATCAAGGCCGTGTCCATGGCGCTGTACCAGTTCCCGCTGCTCAACGCGCGCGTCGAGGTGGACGCGGCGGGCGGCAGGCCGTCGCTGGTGATGCGGTCGCAGCACAACATCGGTGTGGCCATGGACACGCCGCAGGGGCTGGTGGTGCCCGTCGTCAAGAACGTCGGGGCGCTGAGCATCGTGGCCATAGCGGGCGAGCTGGGCCGGCTGCAGCGGCTGGCGGCGGCGGGCAGGCTGTCGCCGGGCGACATGTCGGGCGGCACCATCACCGTGTCCAACATCGGCAACATCGGCGGCACCTACCTCAGCCCCGTCGTCGTCGAGCGCGAGGTGGCCATCCTCGGCATCGGCCGCATGCGCGCCGTGCCGGCCTTTGACGCCGCCGACCGCGTCGTCCGCAAGCACGTGTGCAACTTCAGCTGGAGCGCCGACCACCGCGTCGTCGACGGCGCCACCATGGCCCGCGCTGCCGAGGTGGTGCGGCGCGTCGTCGAGGAGCCCGACGTCATGGTGATGCATCTGAGGTAGTCTTTTTCCCTGTCGCTTTCCCTGTCGCTTTCCCTGTCGCTTTCCCTGTCGCTTAATTACCCTGTCGCCACTTGCTCCGCGGCCGCCAAAGACGGAAGCCATGATGGGGACTCGGACTCTGGGGAAGGCCACATCCGTGCATAAGTCCGAGCGATGCTTCATGTCCTGCCTGCCTCAGGCGTGGCCATGTGCCTCGCCTTGACTGCCCGTCTGCCTGCATATCAGGTAGCGTCACCACCTACCCTACCAAGTAGGTGTCACATAGCCCCAGGCAAGCAAATCCTCATGCCCGGTCTTCTCTTGCCGTCTCATCTCGACACACATATACGTGTATGTATGTGCACGTGGCCTCCTCGTATGCGTGTGTTTCCTGGCGCATGGCCCCATCCCATGGCATCTCGTCGTCGTCATCGTCGAGAGTCCGGCATTCAAAACGTCTCCCCGTCGAGTCCCGTCTTGGGCGGCCGGTTGGGGATCGGTTCACAGGGGAAAATCCAGGTACATGTGCAACAAAGACACACACCAATACACACGTGGGTGTATATATCCCTGGCCTTATGCTGCGCTGTGCTATATGCCGTCTGCGACAACGAGCCTCCTCGACACTCTCTCTCTCACCGCAGCTTCGTCCGCAAACATGCCGCAGCCACCAAGCCCTTCTTCTTGTCTTGCATCATCCCCGCGTGTGCAGAGGGCTATCGTATTCGTGCAGGCCGCCATCGATGGCTAGTCGACTTATTACGCGTACCTCAGCAGCTGCCCGTTGGGCGAAGGAGAGGAGATGGAGGAGCGAGGCAAGGCGGTGAAGCCCTGCGGCAACCACACACGACTCCCGGCATGGCTTCCCGCTGGGCCGGCGGACAGCGGCTCAGGGACATCTTCGTGGCAAAGATGGAGGGTCTCATGACAGCCGGACTATATACGCATGTAACCTCTTCTTCTTGTCTCTTCTCCATCACCTCGGCGCTGCCGTTCATCCCATGTCTCTCGGCTGCTCCGTCGACCCCACCGTCGACACCACCGTCGACACCACCGTCGACACCACCCGACGTACATACATACATGCTACAACCAGCAGTTATCGTACGTGCTATGCAGTAGTACTCCGTGCAAGATTGGGGGGGAGGGGGGTGTGGGTGATGGTGTGAGTGTCCGGCCCTGCCTGTCACTTCTCCAGATAACCACGAACCCCTGCCAGCCGGGGAACCCGCTGCCGAGCTTCCCCGTGCCGAGCGGCACTGTCAAATTGTCCATCTCGGCCGACCAGGGGCAGTTGCGCACGCGCGACGCTTGTTATACACGCCGGCGGGCACATCGCTCTATTGACGCACACGCTGGAGTGAGTGGATGAATGAGCTATCCGAGTCGACCAACGCATGAATGTAGACAGAGAGAGACAGAGAGATCATCTTGTCCCCGTGGTGCTCTCGATGAATGAATGACTCGCAAAAGCACGACAATTGCCTCTTTCCAACAGCCTGCATGCAGCACTGCCCAACCCATGTCCGCCGTTGGCCAAAGTCCTGTTGTATGTATGTATAGCGATACACGTATGGATGGACATGGCTACGTGCAGCAGCGCCCTGCAGTGCCGCATGTGCCAGGCAAAGACACAAATAAGCAAGCATGCATGTCGAGACAGCCAGCCAGCCTATAGCGGGTGCAGATGACGCCGCCCTCGTTCGTCGTTAGAGGGCTGAAATAAGGCATCGAGACAGAACGCCCAATCTCTCTCTATATACGTCATGGCCTTTTGTGCGCAGCCGGAGCTAGCTGGCGCAGCCTTCGTGACAGAACATCCATCCAAAGTAGTGCACGCCCAACATCCCTTGTCTCTCCAGGCCCGATGCTGGCTGGCGCCAGCACTGCCCGACCGCCTCAAGGTTTGGCAGCTCTCCAGAGTCCCCCATCTTCTTCTTGTATATGCAGAAAAACGTACCGATGCGTGCGTCTCCTATGTGCGTGTACGCCGATATATCCAAGAGTACCCAAGTTGGCTTGATCACTTCGTGGGGGGCCCAACTTGCTTGGACGTAGACCATGGTTGCGGGCGAGCATTCCCAAAACGCCTGCCCATCTTAGAACCAACAACTCCAGAGCGTGACAAAGAGCAAGCAAATGAGAAGCAAAACGAAAGGAAAAGAAACAGACCAAGATCCTCACGCCGCAAGCCCCGTGTAAGTGGAAATCCGGCGTCAGCATCTCTCTCGGTCCGGCACGCCCATGTACAGTCACGCACATGCAACTCGTCTAGTCTCGGCAGACGGCCTTGGTAATATCCGAGACCCTGGCCAGGACATCCTTCTTGACTTCTTCGATGCTGCGGCTGACGTCGATGCTGATGACGTCCCTCTCGTCCTCGGCAGGCCGCTCGAGAATATCAAACTGGCTCTGGACCATGCTGGGTCCCATGTAGTGGCCCTCCCGTTTCGTGACCCTCGCCAGCAGCACCTCGGCGGGCGCATTCAGGAAGATGAAGTGGACGCGGATGTCGTGGTCATAGTAGGCGGCGACTCGGATCACGTCTCGGTACTTGCGCTTGAGGGCCGAGCACGTCACGACGACGCCCTCGGATCCCCGGTTGATGCGGCGCATCGACTCGTCGCGGAGGGCGGTTAACCAGTCCCAGCGGTCGGCGTCTGTGAGCGGGTTGCCGCTGCGCATCTTTTCCACGTTGGCCGGGGTGTGGTGCTGTATCAGTGGTGTGAGTCGATTCGCTGTCCTTGAGCAAATCGTGGAGCGTGCGGAGGTCATACCGAATCACCCTCGATATAGGGCATGTCAAGCGACTTTGCCAAGTACTCGGCCACCGTCGTCTTGCCGCATCCAGCCGGTCCGGTAACCAACCAGATGTGGTGATGCTTTCGCGCCTGTCCGTTGGCGCACGCTCCATCCGTCGTTGTCGTCGGCTGTGACGTCTTGGACGGGGCCGCTTGAACGCGCCCGGCAGACGCCGCTGCTTCCTGCCCGTTGACGGGCATAGCGTTGTCGAACGACAACATTCTGCCGGCAGCGCGCGCAGTCCGAGGGTCTTTGGGATTTCGATGCCAACAAGGCGAGAAGCGTCGCGTTTCAATGCTGGTGCGCAAACCGCGATGAGGCTTTCGATGGATGTGTGTTCCGACAGAATAGCGCAGGCTGGATTCGACCGCCGCGGTTGCGAGGTTGGAGGCAACAGAGGTCCAAAGATCAAAGACAAGGTAGACCGTGCGTGGGGGAGTGAGTGGTCGGCGAAGACTGGGAGGAGGGAAGAGTCGAGGAAATTTGCCCTGATCAAGGTACTTTCTGTCTGTCGAGGCCAAGGCAGTGAGAGGGGCAGACAGGATTGCCCACCCTACTTATCGTGGGAAAACGAAGAAGGAAAAGCAGAGTGGCAGGGCAAAAGCCGTAGAGCTGAGTTTAGCCTCCATGTACATGCGTACGCCTCCAAAAGTTTCTCTTACTCTCGGGCGTGACGAGCTTGGGCGCCAGGGCCGACTTGGATTCGGATTGAGGGGGGGGGAGGGGCGTGTGGGAATGACCGACAACTGACTTGACTCCTTGTGCCAGATTGGCAGATGGGGGGGAAGAAACAGGGGAAGTGGTGTGGAGGCTGAACTTGGTCCAGGCCGCGTTTGACTCCATCTGGGTAAGGCCAGCCAGCATGTCGGGTCTTGCTTTTTTGCCTCGAGCACGACCGAGCGCGCGTTATAAGCCAGGTCATTCTTGTTCTTCCGTCACAGCCCAACCACCGGGGACTGAGACGCGAGATGACGGTGCTGAGGGAAAAGGTCACGCGGACCGGAACAGTGTGTATTGCTTGTTGTCTCTCTTTTCCGTTCTTCCTGTCTTGGCCTTTTGCGGGTTTTTCTTCTCCTGGTCTCGGTGGGTGAAGCAAGCACATGCAGAGCAGGCGTCGTTGCCGCACAAACAATGTTGGCCTCAAGTCATCCGTACGTTCTCAGTAATCCGCGCAGGCCGCCAATGTCGATTGGTCCCCACAAACGAAGAGAGCGGGGTGTAAGTGTTCGGTTGGACTCGTGGCGCCTGCTGTACATGGCATTGTACGAGCATGACCGCGGTGATCAATCCGCCCCTGCTGTCCAGGTAGTGCCTTGTACGGTTGGATGTCGAGCAGCAAACACACAGGCCCGTGGGGACCGGAAATGGAACCGCGCGCTGTGGTTTGCCCGGAAGGCCTTCCGGTGGTAGCTGGATATGCCGGTGTTTGGCTGACACTGCTCGAGGGTACCCGGGTGGGGCGCAGGCTTTCGCTCAATAACTCCACGGCCTCGACTTGCCCTCGGCGCTTGTTAAATGGTCGTCGCAAGGCTGTCTTGGCGGTCTTCCGGCTCGCCGTGACAGTCCGACAGAGCCGCGACAACTCAACAAGACAGAATGATGCTAATGGCGCATCATAACCACCCAGCAATAGAAGCTCTGGGGACTTGGCGCTGATCCGGCGAAGGCTGCCGCGTTTGGCAATGGACAGGGAGCGACGTCCGTACGAGTCGGCAAGGGAGGGGTGTGCCGATTTGGACAATGGACCAATGGACTCGCTCAGCCAGCTCGCAGGCCAACAGGGCAAGGGGCATTTGCCGTCGGTAATCCAGCCATCCCCAAACGCCGACGGTTGATGGCCGAGTCGTGGGGGGATATGATTAGTAATCCAAAGGGAAAGCCCAATGCTGTCTTGACGTCCAACTCCAAATCACCTACTCAGCCGTGGTCCGGAGAGAGTCTCTTGGTTCTCCAGGCAGCACTGCGTTGTCTGCCGTCAGTGCAAATCTGGTCCTTGGATCGAGGAGCTGGCTGCAGCTCGGCCCGGCCCGGCCCGGCCCATTCCATCCCTCACTGTGCCCCGGCGAAGAGCTCATCTGTGCGTGAGAGCAAGCACGGGTGAGTCTGGAATGACGTCGCACACAGGGGACATCTGATTACAGCTGTCATGTACCGAAAACGCATTCGAGTCGACTCGTCTCGTTGGTGAGAGTTCTGGCGCAGGCATCGGGTTGTGCTCGTTGTGTTGCGAGCAACCCTGCGGGCCGTTCGCCAGTCGATAGGTCCGACTTGTTGGTCCGTATGACCCCTCGGACCTTTAATGGAGGGTCGGGTACGATGGTCCCACGACGCGCGTGCACGTGTCCTTGACGACAGGATGGTCGAGGCAGCAGGCTGGCGGCTACGTCAATGCCTTAGACCCGTGATGGCCCGTCCGTGGGCATGTCCGGGGTCGCGGGAACTCGAGGGACAAGCAACAGTGCATGTATCGACGTCCCTTGCTTGGACACCTGGACAGGGTCGATTCGCAGGCGGCGTGATGTGCATAACTGCAAAGCGCACACATTCCGATATACATGCTGCGTCGGCGAGTAGTCACTGGCGGTTTGTGCATGGTATGTATCTCGACGATCCGGTTCGCGGTTATTCATGTCTGCTCGGCATGAGCCAGGAGGGGGGTGCAGCGAGGAAGAGTCCAGCAGGCAGACATGGACAGCAGAATCAAGGCATGAGTTGGCATGTCCCATGGGCCACGTGACAGGACACATGTGCAGCACTTCCGTTGCTACCTGCCTCCTTCCTTCCAATGCGATATTTGGAGGTGACGATGCCGCGTACCAATCTGACTACTCCGTAATTACCGCCGAGTTAGGTAGGTACGAATAGTGGAGCACGGGTCGGGTAAGCCATCCCACCCACCACCACCACTTGATGCAGCGCCTGCCGTGCCGAGAAAGCGCTCTCTCTCTACCTCGGGGTAACTCAACCTGCCGCACAATCAACACGTCGACAGACGTCCCCACGAGGTATTCAAAAGGACCGGAGCCGGATTGTGTAATCGCGGGGGCTCCATGTTCCTCGCCTCGCTCTCCGCGTCCCGGCTTCTGCCAAGATTGCCATTTCCAAGAGTCACGGCCTACTGCTCTCGCTCGGCCACCAGACGACGCCGCCCTCTTCAACCGTTTGCCCCGCAGAGATTCTTCGCGAACATGAACCCCGACGAGCGCGCCCACTACCTCGCAGACGCCCCGCCGTCGGTCGTCAGGCTCGAGATTGAGTCTCACTTTGAGGCCTTGAGCGACCAGCAGAAGCGCTATGCCCACTTCATCAGCAAGTACGTGGCCGCCACCGGCTTATCGTTGGGTCCCGTACCGTGTTAATTGAACCGCCTGTCTTGCGCGTGTGTATAGGGCGTGTTTTGCCGGCACGAGGATCGTCCTGCGCCAGCTTTCTCCCGAGGCCGAGCCCATCTACGACTTGATCCTGGCCCTCCACAGGCGCTGTAATGGGGATTGGCCTTCTTTGGCTAATGAGGCCAGTGTCGACCAGTCGGAGCTGACTTACTTCCTCGAGTATGCCGCAATGTTCCTGGGCAACCTGGGCAACTACAAGAGCTTCGGAGACTCCAAGTTTCTCCCTCGATGCAGCGAAAAGAGCGTGGCCGCACTCGCTGCTACCGCCCCCGAGGCCGACCAGTTCTACCAAGCTACAAAGGGCGCCATCTTCAGCTCCGATGAATCCGCCGCCATGCATCTGGGCTTCCCCGACGCCGGCCACATGTCGACTTACTACCCAGACTCCCCAGGCATCACAAAGGCTGACATTGAGGCCGTAAATGCTTGGACGGAGAAGAAGGGCTTACTTCCCGAAAACACGAGGCTGCGAAAGACCGATGACGGCACGTTTGAGATTCTCATTGCCTCGGCCGTCACCAGCGTGCCCGCAGACGGTGGCGATATTGGCAAGGATACCTCGTTCGTGGTCGAGGACGGACCGCTCAGTGGAAAGACCATCAAGCTAATCTTTGGCGACTACGCCGATCAAATGAAGGCCATTACCGCCTACTCCAAACAGGCCGTCGCCAACGCCGACAACGAGACTCAGAAAAAGATGCACTCAAACTACGCAAAGTCTTTTGAGACGGGCTCTCTGGAGGCCTACAAGGATGCTCAGCGCCATTGGATCAGGGACAAGGGCCCAATGGTCGAATGCAACATTGGCTTCGTCGAGACTTACCGCGATCCGGCGGGAGTGCGTGGTGAGTGGGAAGGCTTCGCCTCCATGGTCAACCTCGAGCGAACGCGCGCCTTTGGAGAGCTGGTCGCAGCCGCGCCGTCCCTCATCCCCCTGCTGCCGTGGGACAAGGCGTTTGAAAAGGACAAGTTTCTCTCCCCGGACTTTACCTCTCTCGAGGTCATGACGTTCAACGGCTCCGGCATCCCCGCTGGCATCAACATTCCGAATTACGATGATATCCGACAGACAGAGGGGTTCAAGAATGTGTCGCTCGGCAACGTCCTGAGCGCCAAGGCGCCCAACGAGAAGATACCCTTTATTCGCGAGGAAGACCTCAAGGTGTACCAGAAATATCGCGACGCGTCCTTCGAGGTCCAAGTTGGGCTCCACGAGCTGACTGGTAAGTGTGCCACTCCAGGTGTTCCTCCACGAGGCATGGGTGCTGATTGAGCAAGGTCATGGATGCGGAAAACTTCTCCAGGAGACTTCGCCCGGCGTCTTCAACTTTGACAAGGACAAGCCTCCCGTCAGCCCCGTCACCCACAAGCCCATCACGACGTGGTACAAACCCGGTCAGACTTGGGGCTCCGTTTTCGGCAGCATCGCCGCCTCGTACGAGGAGTGCCGTGCCGAGCTGGTCGCCATGGACCTCAGCTGCGAGTTCCCGGTGCTGAAGATTTTTGGCTTCGGGGACGGCAAGCTTGACATGGATGGCGAAGCCGGCGACGTTCTCTACGCCTCGTACCTCTCCATGGCCCGCGCCGGCCTAGCTTCTCTCGAGTTGTGGGATCCCAAGAGCCAGAAGTGGGGGCAGGCCCATAGCCAGGCTCGCTTCTCTATTCTTAAGTGCTTCCTCGAGGCCAGCGACGATTTCTGCAAGCTCGACTATGCCAAAAACGACTTGTCCGACCTCACCATCAAGCTTGACCGGTCCAAGATTCTCACCTCAGGTCGCGAGGCCGTGTCCAAGTACCTGCAGAAGCTGCATATCTACAAGTCGACGGCCGACGTGGAGAACGGCACCAAGTTCTACACGGACATGACGACGGTCGATCCTGGTTTCTGGGGCACCAAGATCCGCAAGGTGGTGCTTGACCAGAAGCAGCCTCGCAAGGTCTTTGTGCAGGCAAACACGACGTTGGACGAGGCATCGGGCAAGGTTTCAATGAAGCACTACGAGGCCTCGCTTGTGGGCATGATTCAGAGCTGGGTTGACAGGGATCTCTAGATCCAAGTTGAGGGAGGTTCGGACAGTACAGGACATGGCGGTGCTCGTCCGGGGGATGGACGTCAGAGGATCAATCGCATGCCATTGTGACTGGAATAAAAAAGTCATGCTGAGAGCAAAGGGTCGGTGCGCATTGCCACGAGCGTCGCCCGCCAGCCTAGAAACGTGAGGTCAACGTGCGCCATCACAAGCGGCGCGTCACTCTGCCATGCCATGGAAGCCGGGTCGGGAACCTTTGTTTGACTTTCATCATCGCGTCTCCCCACCAGACGCCCTGGTGGGACTTCATTTATGCCCGTTTGATTTTTTTGACGGTAAAACCTGATTACAGACGCCAAGATGTGACCGATGCCATCGACTTCCAAATGCAATTGGCCAAGCCAGGCCGTGTAGGAGACCCTTCCCGCCCTACAAACTCGTTCCGCTTTCGAGCCGCGCCGTTCCGACTCCCTTCGACGCGGCACTTACACGCTCCCCATCACCTCTCGTTGTAGCGCATTGCTGATCTACCACACCATCTCGTGGGGCTTGTCGCCCTTCCGCAGGCTGAAAGAGCTGCCGAGGTAGCTGGCGAGCATGTCGACCTTCTTGATGCTGGCAAGCAGAGGCTTGTCGATGGCCTTCTGGTCAGCCGCGCGGCTGCTATTGATTTGCTTCTTCTGCAATGCCGACGGATTAGCCTCACCCGCTTCCCCTTTCCCGGCCAGCACTTGGCCTGGGGTGTCGCCGCGAGTTCGTGCACATACCTGGGGCTTCTCTCCCTGCTTGAAGAAGGCCTCCTCGCCGGCCTTCTGCTTGGCCTTTTCGGCGGTGAAGTACTTGGGCTGGGAGATCTCGCCGACCTTCTTAGCATCGAGGCCGGAGATGTCGACCTTGTAGGAGGTGGCGATGACGTAGCGAGAGTTGACTCGTCGCAGGGGAACGCCGTTGATCTTGAAGGGCCCGGTGACGAGCAGGACGCCCTGGTCGAGAGCCTTGAGGAGGATGACGCGCTTGCCTCGGAAGCGGCCGGCGAGGAGGATCAGGACTGTACCCGGCTGGAGCGTGCTTCGAGGAGTCCACGGGCGAACGGCCTTGCGGGTCTGAGAATTGCCCTTAGTTAGCGCGCCGAGCTCGCGATCGGTGGTGTGGTCTTTGTTTTGTTTTCTTCGTCGTTTTGCATTGGTGAAATGGTCGGTCATTAATTGTCGCTTGTGTCGGGCAGGTGTGTCATCGAAGGGCTGGCACATGTCGTTGATAGTCGCGCCACTCTATCGCCCGACGCAACCATCCGAATCCGCAAGTCGCGGATGCGCGCGACGCAGCTCCATCATCGCCAGTCTCACATTGTTGACGCTGGGGGACAACGGGTGCATCTGGGGCCATGGTGCTCGTCAAGACTCACCTTCTTGGGCTCGCTCTCATCGTCGGCGTTGTACCACTTCTTGGCCTTGTCCGCGGGAGCAGGGACCGACCGGGTCGACTTCCCGAACTTCTTGGTCGTGGGCTTGGCCGACATGGTGACTCGCTCGGATGCGTTGGGTTTGTGGTGGAGGGAACAAGAAGATGCGTTTGGTGATGCTCGCCCGAAATGTTGGAATTCTGTGTGAAAGCCGCTAGCGAGATTGTGGGAGGAAAATGTGAGCCCTCTCACGCCTAACCCTTTCTGGAAGCGCCGCTGGCTGGCCACCCCTCTCATGCCGCTGGGGGTCGGGGGCTGGAGATCACGTGATGATAGGATGCTAATCTGGCTGGGGGGTCCGATGACTGCCGCGGAAAGTGCGAGAACGTGCTCCATCCGCCGCGAGAGCTCCATTTCATGCCGAAGCTCTCGTCCTTTGCGCGGCTCCTGGCCTTGCTTGCCCAGCCTACAAAAATCCAGGCTCGCAGTGTCTTGAACTTGCTCTGCTCTCCTTAGCATTCGCGCTTTCGTGTCTCCGACTCAGCCCTCACCTCACCGCGACAATGCAAGCCCGCAAACAGTTAATCAACTCGGCCCAGCGTGTTACTGGCGCCGCCACGTCGAGATCCGCACATCCTGTCCTTCGACTAGGAGCCGGCCGGCTCGCATGCAGCCCGCGGCCTCGACTGCTGCCGGGACTGGCGGCCGTGCGGTGCTATGCCAACGGGCGGCCACACCCCCCCGGAGGAACTCACCGGATGAACATGGGTGGGGGAGAGGAGAAGTCGGCGTTGGAGCAGTTTGGAGTCGACTTGACTGCTAGGGCAAGAGACGGGAAGCTTGACCCGGTCATTGGGAGGGACGAGGAGATCCAGCGAACGATTCAAATACTCTCACGGCGAACCAAGAACAATCCGGTGCTCATTGGGAATGCCGGCACAGGCAAGACGGCCATTCTGGAGGGTCTTGCCCTGCGCATAATCCGCGGAGACGTACCCGAAAGCATCAAGAATAAACGAGTCATAAGCCTGGACCTCGGGTCGCTCATTGCCGGCGCCAAGTTCCGCGGCGATTTCGAGGAACGGCTGAAGAAGGTGCTGGACGAGGTGCAACAAGCCGAGGGGCAGGTAATCCTCTTCATCGACGAGCTACACACGCTCCTTGGTCTGGGAAAGGCTGAGGGCTCCATCGATGCCTCCAATCTCCTGAAACCTGCCTTGGCCCGCGGGGAGCTGCAATGCTGCGGAGCCACGACGCTCACCGAGTACCGACAAATCGAAAAGGACGTTGCCCTGGCCCGGCGGTTCCAGCCCATCATAGTCAGCGAGCCGACCGTCGAGGACACAATCAGCATTCTTCGAGGCATCAAGGACAAGTATGAAGTACACCATGGCGTCCGCATCACAGACAGCGCTCTCGTGGCTGCGGCGGCGCTGTCCAACCGATACATCACGGATCGCTTCCTCCCGGACAAGGCCATCGACTTGATGGACGAAGCTGCGAGCCATCTCAAGCTGCAACATGAGTCCAAGCCCGAGGACATCACGCGCCTCGACCACAAGATCATGACTGCGCAGATTGAGTTGGAAAGCTTGCGCAAGGAGACGGATGTTGCAAGCAAGGAGCGCCGAGAGAAGCTCGAGAAGGACCTCAAGAATTATTACGATGAAATCTCGGAGCTCAACGCGCGGTGGGACAAGGAAAAGGCTGAGATTGGATCGGTAAAGAAGATTCAGGAAGATCTCGACAAGGCTAGGTTCGAACTCGAACAGGCCCAGCGAGACGGCAACTTTGCCCGAGCCTCAGAATTGCGCTTCGGCGTCATCCCCGACCTAGAACAGAAGCTTCCCAAAGACGGCGAAGCGCGGCAGGACGGCGATGAACTCACCCTCGTCCACGACTCTGTCACCCCAGACGACATCGCCAACGTCGTCTCGCGCATAACCGGCATCCCCGTGGCGAAGCTCACCTCGGGACACATTGAGAAGCTGGTGCACATGGAGGACACGCTGCGGGAGTCCGTCAAGGGCCAGGACGATGCCATCAAGGCCGTGTCCGACGCGGTGCGCCTGCAGCGAGCCGGCTTGAGCGGCGAGAACCGGCCGCTCGCGTCCTTTTTCTTCCTCGGACCGACGGGCGTTGGCAAGACGGAGCTGTGCAAGAAACTCGCGAGTTTCCTCTTCTCGACCGAGTCGGCCGTGGTGCGGTTCGACATGTCCGAGTTCCAGGAGAAGCACACCGTCTCCCGGCTCATCGGCGCCCCGTCGGGCTACGTCGGCTACGAGGACGCCGGGCAACTGACTGAGGCTGTGCGCCGCAAGCCCTACGCCGTCCTGCTCTTTGACGAGTTCGAAAAGGCACACCGCGACATCTCGGCCCTGCTACTCCAGGTGCTCGACGAGGGCTACCTCACCGACGCGCAGGGCCACAAGGTCGACTTCAAGAACACAATCATTGTCCTCACATCGAACCTCGGGGCGGACATCCTCGTCGGCCAAAATCAGCTGCACCCGTACAAGGAAAACGCCAGCGGGGAGATCGACCCGGCCGTCCGCAAGGCCGTCATGGACGTCGTCGCGCAGGCCTACCCGCCCGAGTTCCTCAACCGCATCGACTCCTTCATCATCTTCAAGCGCCTCGCCATGAGCGCCATCCGCGACATTGTCGACATCCGCCTACGGGAGCTGCAGCAGCGCCTCGACGACCGGCGCATCACCCTCGCCGTCCCCGACGCCGTCAGGGACTGGCTCGCCGAGCGCGGCTACGACCCCCGCTACGGCGCCCGCCCGCTCAACCGTCTCATCACAAACGAGATTGGCAATGGCCTGGCCGACAAGATCATCCGTGGCCAGCTCAAGATGGGGCAGACCGCCGAGGTGCGGGTCCGCGATGATGGCCAAGGCCTGGAAGTCGTGGCCGCGTCGGCAGCGTCGTAGCCTGCCGTCTGTAGAGTATCTTTTCTATTGGATTTCTTTTTTGTGGCGTGACGGGCTTGGAGGGATTATTCGAACGGATTTGCCTGCGAACTTGTACAAAACATGTATGTTCAGATGCGTGCATTGCACGACTCCCCTCGATGACTAGATACCCCCAGCTTGACACGATGACACGACAATGTGATTTACGGAGCACAATGCTTTCCATGTTGAACGGGCGTATGTGACCTTGCTCTTTCAAGACTTATCGGCATTGCTCCATCATATACGTGGACGTCACGTAATTACACCAAAGCCTTTGTTCCATGGTGCAGACTGCCCGGACTACCGAGTTCCCTCTCAAGTCTCCACGACGTCCGCCCTCTGCTTGTCCCGGCCGATATGCCGGGAACAACGAGGCCGCAGTCACAGTTGGGGCGAGCAGAAACGCACTGATGAGGAGTAGGAACTCAAAGCCGAAAAGATTCCCCGATTTCTCCATCCCGTTCACTCCGCTACGATCATCCCCTGCCGGGAAGCCCTTTGCGACGAATGAACAGCCCAACTCCGCCAATCTAGCGCAATGATGAGACGAAGATGAAGAGAGTGCGTTTGAACAACAGACGTGGAAAACAAAAACCAGGAAAAAGAAATGGAAACACCACCATGGTCCTTGCCAGCCATTTGCGAGCTGCCCCGAGTCGGTTCCTTTCCCTTCCTTCCGTCTCGCTTGGTTGCGATATGCTCGTCCAGAAAGGAGGCGCCGAGAATCGTGACCAGGGAAGCCAAAGCAGACGCAGTCGAGCCGAGTCTCCCATCACCCAGAACTTCCCAACATTGCTTTTCCCAAAAGAAACGCCAGTGTCGCCGCTCAATCGACCTTCCAAGACAGAACTGCACAGAATTCCGTCAAAGATTCGTGGAGCTTGCGGGACGGGTACAACAGCGGGGCCTCATGACATTTCCAGGGCGGCAGAAGAATAGCGTGGCCGACCCGACTGAAGAACAAGAAGTGATGAAAAGGCTAGTTTCGATTGGGTTGACCGATGATTTGCAAATTACAACCGAAGCCACGAGATTGGGACGACCGATGCGCAGACGACGAGGGAGGAGGGACAAGGCGGGCTGATCAGAGACTGCTCTCAACATTTTTCTTCTACTGGTGACCGGCCTTGCGGAGGGTGGTGGCAAGCCACTCGAGGCCCTCGTACAGACCGTCACCAGACGTGGCGCAGGTGGACTGGATGTACTGGAGAGGTGGAGCCGGTCAGCAGCCGTCGGGCCGGAGCAGCACATCTCAGAGAGCCGAGAGCGAAGGCGGGAATGACATACCCAGGCGCGTTGTCTCAAGCTGTGTAGACCGAGCTTATCGGTGATTTCGGCGGCGTTCATGGCGTTCTGTCATCGGAATCACGCGGTCAGCCATACCAAGATCGCCTCGGGCGGGGATGGGGGCGCCGGATGAGGGGTCCATCAGGGCAGGACTTACGGGCAAATCCTGCTTATTGGCAAAGACCAGGAGGATGGCGTCCCGCAGCTCGTCCTCATTGAGCATGCGCTGGAGTTCTTCGCGGGCCTCGACGATACGATCGCGATCGTTGCTGTCGACGACGAAGATGATGCCCTGGGTGTTCTGGAAGTAGTGCCTCCACAGAGGACGGATCTTGTCCTGACCGCCGACGTCCCAAACGGTGAACTGGATGTTCTTGTACTCGACCGTCTCGACGTTGAAGCCTGGGCCGAGGTTAGCGTGGCGGGACGAGATGAGGCGATGGGGGAAGGGGCCCTACCAATGGTGGGAATGGTGGTGACGATTTCACCCAGCTTGAGCTTGTAGAGGATGGTGGTTTTACCGGCGGCGTCGAGACCAACCATGAGGATTCGCATCTCCTTCTTCCCCCACAGGTTGTCGAAGAGCTTGGCCGTCAATTTGGAGAGTGAAATGCCCATGATTGCGGTTTGAGGCGGCGAGGCCTGTGTCGTCGCTTGTCCTTGTAAAATGTGGTGGTAGTGATGGTGAAGGTGCGGGAGGAGAGGAGAGGACGCGAGAAAAAGATGGAGCCAAGAGATATGTGTCCTAGTTGCCACGCGTAAGTAAGCAGGTCAGGGACCGGACGGCCGTTTGTTTTTCCCCCTTGTCGGAGCGGCGGCAGCGACGAGCAGTGGCGACACGCGAGGGCGGGAAAGGGGGGGAGCGGCTGTGGAGGAGATGAGACAGGATTTTGGATGTCGTGACGATGCGATTCTCGACCGGGAGTGAGGAGGAGAAGGAGAGAAATAGATGGACGACGGGCGCGCCTGGGCAGAGGACACATGTCCAGGGATGGGGGGGGAGAGATCGGGGGGCGCCACATTTCAGAGCATGGATGGGTGGGCTCACAGTGCACCTCGTCCAGCACCGAGCCACTGGCGGCGCCCCCTGTGGGCCGCAGGCGCCAGGCGAGGCCCAGTTGGTGCGGCGATGCCCACCCGGCTTTTTAAACTCGCTTCGCCGAAGAAGGTGTAAAAGAGAGGGAGCGACTTACGCCTTTGTCGACGGATGGTCCCTCACAAGGGGGGGAGAGGAAGCGAGGCGGGGAAGATCGTGGATTCAAGTGTGGATATGGAGCGAAAGAGAGAGGGAGGAGAGTGAAAGGGGAGAAAGGCGCTGCTCAATCACCGATCATGGGATTTTTTTTCGGGCGACGGTCCAGGGTCGGGTCTGTCGGTGAATGGGGCCCCAAGGTACCTCGCCAGTACTCTATGCTAACAGCCTGCCTAGCGCACAAGGCCGGTGGCGCGCTACGTGGTGGGCTGTCGACCTCGCACCTATCTACAGTACCAGACCCCTACCTTGCCCGATTGAGGTAGACCGGCCGGTGTCCCAAGCCAAGAGCCCTCCAACGAGTGGGTGATGGCTAGGCTTCCATGTTAGCGGGCAGAGGCCCGTGGAAAGGGGCGAATGCTTTAGCCTGCGGCTGCTGCAGCAACCTCGCCCGGTGTGCGAACGGGTGGCCAACGATGGATGCTAATTTCCACCTCTCAGTTTATATCGACACAATCAATAGGTACTGCATGCACTGCTCTGTACTCCCACACCCACGTAGGAGCGCCACCCGCGACTTTGTCAATGTGTACGACAATAAGGCCGCCGTCCTTGCTCCAAGTTGTCAGAGCCTCTGGCATCCGTACAGACAAGTATCGACAATGTGGAGCCAGGCGGCTCGAGTCTGCTTACGTACGCCCCTGTAGCAGACGAGGCTCCTCTGTAATGGCATTCTGGAGGCTCTCGCTTGCTCTCTGGCCCGGAGAGTAGGCCAATTCGGAGATTTAGTATGTGGTTGTGTGTCCGTCCACCCGAAGTTCCCGCCCCGGCAGACGATGCGAAGGCGTTCGTGTCAGTGGAAAAAAGGGTGCGTATTATGTACGAGCAGGAATGCTGTGGCTTTCCTGCCAGCAAAGCAGCAACTGGGAACACGAGCAGCACCGAGGCTGTGTCGCTCCTGCCGGGCATGCACTGTAATCTGCTGCAAGTGCCTTGCGTGTGCCTTTTGCTAGCGCGCCCGGGCCAGGAGGTACATCTTTGCAGGTACTGTACTCCAAACTCCGTACCTCAGTTGCGAAAGGTGTCAATTGGCCCTCCATCTCCTCGAGCTTCCTCGCAGACGGAGCTGCCTGATATCCAATCCACCCTCGTCGCGCAAAGACGGTCGAGCTTCGCCACGACCGACTGAGGTACCTGTTATACCTACCCAGTCACAGAGACAGGGAGCCACGATGCATCTGCTCGCGGCCTCGAGGTCGCTCCTGGCAGCGGCCCTGGCGGCCTCGCAGCTCGCCGCCGCCCACAACATCGCGCTGCCGGCCCACGGGCTCGAATGCTTCCACGAGAACCTGCACCGCGATGACACCATGACCGTCACCTTCCAGGTTGGCGACCGCGAGTTTGGCAGCGCGGGCAATCTCGACATTGACTTTTGGGTATGCATCTCGCCGCGGGCCAGAGCTGCACTCTTGGCCATGCGACACGCTTCAACTGACGCTCGCCTTGCTGTCGACAGGTCACCAACCCCCCGGGCGGCTACGAGGTCCACGAAAAGACCGTCGCCAGCGGAGACCACTCCTTCACCGCCAAGAACGACGGCAAATACACGTACTGCTTCGGGAACCAGTACTGGGGCGCCACCAGCAAAGAGGTCTCGTTCAACGTCCACGGCATCGTCTACGTCAGCGAGTCCGAAATGCCCTCTGATCCCATCGAAACCGAAGGTACACCCGCTGTCCAGCTGGACCCTGGCCAAGTGCCGTACTTGAGCACATGGATGAATCCGCTAACGCTTGCCTTCTCCAAAGTCCGCCACCTGTCCGAGCTCCTCGCCAAGGTCAAGGACGAGCAGCAGTACATCATTGTCCGCGAGCGCACCCACCGCAACACGGCCGAGAGCACAAATGCCCGCGTCAAGTGGTGGAACCTCTTCGTCATTGGCACCGTCGTCGGCGAATCCCTCTTCCAGATCTGGTGGCTGCGGCGCTTCTTTGAGGTCAAACGTGTGGTCTGATCTGCCGGCGCTGCATGTTTTGCGGTCGGGGTGTTGGGAACGAGCTGGCCGAGACCTTCCACGCATGTGCTGCCGAGGTTTGGTTTCTGGGACCGGCCGGTATTGTCGGGTCAGTCAGTTCGGCGCAACGGCGTGCTTGACGAGGCTCCAACGACAGCAGGCAGGCACCAAAAGCAGGTGGCGAACAGCTCTGGCGTACTCCACGGAGGTTAGGGGGATATATCTTTTGCACGACTTGGCAATGATAGCTTCCAGCACGGGGCATGACATTTTGCGAAATCAAGGAGAGAAAGTGTATGTAGGAATATTCTTGGACCGTCTTCTTTAAAATGCTCGTTCCCACAGTTTCTGCATTCCCAGGGCGTTGAGCTCGTACATGCTGTAGTTGTCATTCCAATTGGAGTTTCCCTCCCATGTCTCCCAAAGTAACAAAAATCAAACACTGTTTTCCCAAACGCCGTACCCAAGTTTCCTGCGCGATATGCCCGGCGCTCTCGCGCGTGACATGGAATACACTGTACTTTCTCGGCATCTTGCCCTCGGCTCAGGGGCAGAGAGTCCCGAGCTACGCCGTGGGATCCGAGGCGGGCGCCGTCTCAGCCGCCTCATCGTCGCCCACCGGCGGAGCCTCGATGGGCAGCTCCACATCCTTGACAGGGTGCAGCAGCATCGGGGGCAGGCACATGCGGCCCTCGCCCCCGGGCATAGCGCCGACGCCGGGCCCTTGCTTGCTCGCGTCGTGCGTCGTCTCAAACTCGTCGCCGCCGTCGTTGTTGACCTTGAGACCCAGCCAGCGGCGGTACAAGTTGGGCGCGAAGCCCGAGTTGTAGAACCACGACAGGCCGTGCATGTTGTGCTCGCGCTCGCCGAAGATGCTGGTGCGCGAGCCACCGCTGGAGCCGTCGCGTCCGCCGTTGAACGTCTGCGCCATGAAGTCGACGGGCCACTTGCGGTCGACGTAGACGGGGTGCGGCGCGAAGACGGCCTTGAGGCCGTGGTGCAGCGCCACCGTCGCCGGCCACATCTCGGGAAAGGCAAACTGCTTCTTGTAGGCCGTCATGCGGTGCATCGTCATGAGCAGCCGGCGCGACATGCGCGACGTCGTGATGATGGCGGCCCGCCGGGGGAGCAGCCCGCGCGACCGGTTGAAGCCTGTGATGTCGTCTCTGAGCATCCACGTCGTGCCCTCTGGGTCGAAGAGGGGGTTGAGGGAGATGTAGTCGGCTTCCTCGCCCACTCCCCACTGGTAGCGATCAGCTTCGTAGCTCGTCGGCGGCATGTCGTCGCTTTCTGGCTCGAACCAGTCGTCGGTATCCAGAGGACGCTGGGGTCCCCAGACAGTCCTGCCCTTCTTGCTCGCGGCCTCGGGTGCCTTGCCGCCCACGCCGGGCGCCTTGTTCCAGACATTGTCCGACCCGGCGGCGCCCATCTCGCTCTGCACCCGCGACATCTGCGAAAAGTCCTCCCAAGAGCCGTGGGCGGCGGGGAAGTAGAAGCGCGAGTTGCGCTCCCAGAGGCCTTTTCTCGGCTGCGCCTTGGCCCACTCCTCGAGCTTGGTCACCAGGTCGTAGTAGTGGCCGGTGTAGCGAATGTCCATCTCCCACTGCCAGAAGTAGTCGTATTCAGGGTGCATGTAGGCAAAGTGCTGCATTGCCATTGACAACCCCCTGTATACGCCGTGGACGGGCAGCTCCGGCCCGCGGCTCCACAAGTCGTAGATGCCTTGGTACAGAGACAGCATCTGTGTCTCGGTCCAGAGCGTTACCAGGCCCTGCAGCTCCTGAGGGATGGAGTCGCGTATTCTCTTCTCGTATGCCTCGTGGTCGGCCCAGATGGGGTGGTGGGCGTCATTCTTGACCTGGACGAGCAGGTGGACGTCGTACCGGCCGCCCGATGCGAGGGTCAGCTCGGTGATCATGGCCCGGATGTTGGCAATGTCATCCTCACGGAACAGATAGTCGTCCCAGCATCTGACCACTACGGCCGTCCTCACCTGCTTCTTGGTCATAGCGTCCGCCCCGGCACTCTCAGAAGAATTCGTCCGGCGGGTGGTGTCGGTCTTGTTCAAGGCCGAGTCCCCGGCTTCGGTGCTTGCAGAGTCAGCATGACCGATGTGAAAGCCATACGGTGTCGGAGTTATGGGGGGAGGCTTGTTGAAGCGATCAGCATTGGCCCTGAAGCACCGGCGCTGCACATCGGCCCAATCGACGTTACGGAAGTCGACGCGGGGTGACTGCCCCCACACAGCCGCGGAGCCCTCGCTCTCGCCATGCTCTCCCGTGCCCAGGCCACCGGCGCGGATCGAGTATCCGAAGCCGTAGGGCCCGTAGCGGCCGAAGCGCTCGAAGCATATATCTTTAGGAAGCTTGAGGACCTCGTGTGAGCCGACCACATTCTGTGGAAAGCCCGTGGGACGACCCTCGTAGTATCGGAGAGGCGGAGGACGGATCTTGCCGGCGGCGTCTAGAAAGCACTCTTGAATGTCGGGCTCGCTGTTTCTCGCGGGATAGTCTTGCCACGATTTGCTCTTGGCAACGTCCCGTTGAGCAGCGTCAGATCCGTGTTCGGGCGGCGCAGCGGCTTCAGGCTCAGCCGAGCTGGGGTATTCGGGTCCGCTCTCGCCGAGGGGTTTGAGTGTCCTGATTCCCCCGTAGTATCTCTCCAGAAACGGGAACTTCTCCCAGAGGGGCGGCGGCGGCGGCGGCGTGTCCACTTTGCCATGAGCGACCTTCCAGTTCTCCACCTGACTGGCTCGCACGAGGCTGAGTATCATGAGCAGGAGAATGCCGGCGACGCCAAAGAAGAAATAGCGAGAGACCCGGGTCGGCAGGCGATACGGGTAAATGCTGGCCTTGCGCGGAGGCGGCGCCGACCTGCGCTTCGACAGGAGAAACGAGCGGCCGCTGCGGACAGGATCGGATGCATCTCTTGAGCTGCGTGATGAAGAAGCCGCGTAAGACTGCTCCGAGTCGTCCTCAGATGAGTAGGACTCGTATTCATCGTCGGAGTATCGTTCCTTGGTGGGGGAATCGATCTTGCGGTATAGCGGGAGTCGCTGGTCGCGGGGCCGCAAGGGGTTTGTGAGAAGTCCCATGCCGACTATGCCTCGCGAAGACGGCTGGGAAATGTGACTGGTGAGGAATGTGCTGCTGGCTGCTCAGTGTGGAGAATAGATGGAATGGATGACCATCCACGCGCCCGCCGCCGGCGTGCTTGTACAATGTGCTACGCTAGCAGGCGGTAAGACGAAGAGCGTGAATATGCGATGAATGAACTGTATGGAGTAATTAGAGGCGAGACAGTTTCGATGTCCGTAATGCATTGAGCGAGTGAGGACCGTTGCCGAACCGCAGGCGACGTCGTTGCTTGTTGACCGCGGACGAGGATGCGGTTGCGGAGCAACGGGCGATACAGTACGTACCGTGACCGGCTTATGTCATTTGTTCAACCGCCGTCCATCTTTAATCCGAACGTCTGCCAAGAGTGCGTGGAAAGTCCAGCTGCGCGAGAACCAAAAGTCTCTTCCACTTCTCATCGCCATGATTTACCGTCTCCGGGGCGACTGGCTGCTTGCATGTGAGCTAAGGAGTGCGAGAGGAGGAGGCTCGCCAGACTCAGCTGAAGAGGAATCCTGCCCCCTTGGACGTTATCCGCGGATCAAGCAAATCAACGGAAGGCCACCATTAATAGTTCCGGCCCTCCCGCCGACCACATGCGAGTTGGCGATTCGAGCCCTGCTGCCTTTAAACTCTGGCTGGTGGCTGAGGTATCCCCTCTTCAACTCCAGCCCACAACTTCAAGGACCATCTCGTGATGTGTCGTCATGTGGCGCCTCTTGTGCTAGCGGAGAGACAATAGGTGAGGAAACAGCCCGACAGCCCGAGAGGAGGCGATTGGCCGGCCGCCACGGCAAGGTCGCCGACTCAGATCCGCGTACCGTACATTCATCAGGTATGCGGTTGGTACTTGTCAAAGTGTGTCTTGTCCGCCAACTGGCAAGCCAGTCTTCTGCTTAGGTACCTTCCCTACCAGTATCCAGCTTACTGTAGGTACGTACAGGCTCGGTACAGCAGACCACGTGCCTCCGTACGAGTACAACAAGCCCACGTAGCAAGAGCTGCACTTTCTTGCTCGGGTAAGAGGTACGGGAGCCCCCCTCCCCCCCCTGGCGATAACCTCAGCCCAACGTCATGGCTGGGCGTGACCGACATCCGCCATCGGCCCCGAGCCCGCGGCGCTAGCTCCCCCTCCTTGCGACGTGGAACGGCGAGTGCCGCCGCGTCTGTGGGTAGTCAACCGGCTGGCTGGACTGGCTCTAGCTGGCCAACGCCGCCGCTGTCGTGGCCTGGACGGCCCGTTCGTCGTGATTTGCTTGTCTTCTGCATCACACGAGGCCCGACTGCAATCCGCTCGCTCAGGTGGAGAGGGGGTGGCAGCAGCAACTAAAATCCGGATACCCATACAGAGAGGTATCTATACCCGGCCTGATCATTCACTCATTGCCGCTTTGTTCTTCTCCCCCGTCTTCTCGTCCAAGACAGCCGACAACTTGACAAAGAATCTTGGCTGTATCCAGTCAGCCAACTCTGACTTGCTCAGCATCGTCACTTATACATCAAGCCCCCCCTCGACGAGAGCCATCGCCAACCATGTCCAACACCCTCGCCCCCGCCCAGGTCCAGCCCGCCCCCGACGTCGTCTTCCCCTCCTACGGCATCAGAGGCGAGCCCGCACCTGCCCCCGAGGAGGCAAAGGCCAGGGCGGCGTCGCTGCGCCTTCTTCACCAGCGGCCCGTCTCCGTCACGCTCGACGCACCCTCCATCTTCATGATCGCCCTCGCCCTCGTCTTCCACATCCACTTCGTCGGCTCACATGCGACCGAGATCCTTGTCGGCCTCACCCCCTTCTTCCTCCTCGTCCGCAACGACTACCAAAACTTCATCAGCCTCGGGCCCGGCGGCACTCCCTCCACCTTTGCCGGCTACCTCCGCATCTCCTGGCTTCGTCTCTGGGCCGTTCGCGATCCCTTCGCCCCCCCGACGCCAGACCCGACCTGCTTCCCCAAGGAGGGCATCCTCAGCCGCCAGCCCCTGCCCTACCGGCCGGGCCCGAGGCCCCTCGTCGCCGGCATCGCACCGCAGAGACAGCTCGACCAGCCCGGTTCCCGCAGCTGCTACCTGTCCCTCAGGCGGGCCATGGAAAAGCTCAGCGTCCGTAGCCCACTCTACTTCAGCACCGAACGCTCCTGTCTTGAGAAGCATGGCCTGGCTCTCTTTGCCAGGCATCCCCTCCAGACAAACTGCCAGGGCGAAATTTGCCACGTCCACGATTCTGACCACTCCATGCATATGTGCCTGCACCCAGACGACATCAGAGAAGTCCTGCGCAAGGGGTGGGGACAGATGCATCCGCTGGCTCGGCCCGGGTGGCTCGTACAGATGCCCGTATCGCAGGATTTCGTCATGGTCTATGCCCCTCGAAGTAAGTGCCGACTCTTTCCCGACCATCTGGGGGCGGCGTCAGCCGCCTCTCCTTGGTGGGCGTGATTGACAGTGCCATCTACCGTGCTTTCGACGGTCCTTTTCGCCATGCTTCCACGTCAAGAGCTAAAATCCTTGGGCACAGATGAGCAGGAGCTGCAAATAACGTACAGGATCATCGAGGCGGCAATATGGTATATCCTCGCCGAGTCCGTCGAGCTTGACATATTGCCCAACCGAGTCTAGTCGTCCCACCCCGGGCAGCAAGGGTCGTCATTGCTCACATGTGTGCTGAATCTTTAGCACCCAAGCATATCCCATCGTTGGAACTTCCATGAGATGGAGCATAGTCGCGCGCCAAACCGGGGTATCAGGATATTGATGAGCTCCATAATACAGCTGTTGTACATATTTTCGGCTCCCTCCTCACGAGGCTTGCCGTCGCCCGCTAGTCGGAATCTTCATCGTTGTTTGTCGAGCCGCTCTTTCTAAACTTTTCCTTGCCGGTTGCAAGAGACGCTCCGACAATGCGGCCGTCAAAGGGCCTGCCGTTCATGGCGTCAACGCACGCCGCGGCGGACTCAGCGTTTTGAAACTTGATTGTGACGATTCCCTCCGGCTCCTGATCGTAGAGCACCACGTTAGTAACGATTCCTAGCTTGGAACACTCCTCCCGGATATCCTCCTTGATCTCGAGCAAAGATGCCGGATCCTCCTCAATCTCAAATATCCTGAACATCTGGCGAAGTACTACCGTCCTCAAACGCTTCGAATCGTGCCCCCCCAAGGCGGGAAACCGGTCGTCCTCCTCGTCACTCCAGTCAGCCAGTCGGGCGTCCAGCTTCTGCGTTTTCTTGATGACCTTTTGTCGGTCCTTGTCGTTCCTCGGCCGGCGGGCCTCCTTTTGCTGGCCGGGCTCGGGGCTGCCGGCCGCGCCGTCCTGGTCGTATTTCACTTTCTTGTAGCTAGAATCAGCCTCCTGGACACGCATTTTCCCTTCCCCTTTGCCACTGGACAAGAATCGAAAATCCGTCTCGTCCAGTAGCATAATGGCCATCCGAACGCTGTCGGGCTTGAAGAAGACGACCAGCGCGTCGCCCTTGAAGTTGCCGGCCTCGTCCTTGTACAGCTTGATTCTCGGGGCGCGGCTGTCGATTTCCTCGGCGATGAGACCGCCCTTGCGGGAGAAGAGCTCGTGGATCTCGGGGACGGTCGCGTCGAGGGGTAGCCCGGTGACATAGACTGCCGTGTTTTGCTTAGGCTTGGGGGGAGGCTTTGGCTTCTTCTTGAGGCGCACGGGCGCCGACGATTCGGGACCCTGAAAGAAATACATTCAGTAACGTATCAAGTCAAAGCGGTTGCCCTGCTCGATTCTGCATCTCGTCTCGGCAGGGCAGGAAGCCGGGGCAAAGGGCCACTCACTGCAGATCCATTCTCTGCGTCCCAGTGCTTTCGCTTCCTCTGTAAATCTTCATCAGCCTCTGCGGAGGATGCCCCATCCCAAAGCTCATCCACCTCTTCCAAGAGGTCCTGGTCGGTTGGGAGCCACTGCTTCAGGTCCGCGTCGAACTCGAACTCGGTGCCATCGTCGTGCACGGCGATGAACGTGTTGTCGAGCTTGGAAAAGGAAATGCGCTCGTCGTTGTTGAACTCGTCCGGGTTTGTCGGAAAGTCGAGCTCCATGATGACGGCGTGAGAGTACAGGCGATTGACGCGGCGTGCGAGGTCTTGAACCTTGTCGAAACAGGGTAGTAGGAGAGCGAATGCGATGAGAAAGTGCGAGTTGGCCGGCGACAAAGGCCAGCTGCAGTGGAGGCGTAGGTAATAATGCCGTAATAATTAGGTACCTAGCAGGCCCCGCCTGCAGCTGCCGCCGGTTGACGGTACCTGACGACCCGCTCAACTTCCCAGTTTAGCATGCCAGTCCGCGACAGCCTATCCAGCATCCAGCACTGAGTTGCGACACGGCTGGAAATGGATGTTTGCTACCTAGAAGAAAGAATCGCATTACGGATGCAAGGTATCTTGAGTAGGTAGTACGAAGTAAGGTAACAGGATCCAGCAAACCCAGGACGGGTTCCAGCTGCCATCTCCCCCAACCTCGGCCATGTGCATTCGCCTGGATGGTGGTGATGCCCTAAGGATTCTCCTCCCGAACCGTCGTCTTGACTCCCTCCACAAAGGCCCTGACGGCATGTCCACCGCCCATCGGCATCCCGCCATCTCTAATATAACCGCCGTTCTCAACCTTCACGCCAAGTGCGTCGGCAACCCCGGGCAGACCCCCGTCCCGCAGAGCCATGGTCAGGCTTCCCAGCGCCTGGTGAAACTGCGGGCTGCGCATCACCTTCTTGAGCAAGCTGCGTTTGTCGTCGGGAGAAAGAGATGCCTTTGCCGCCTCTACCATCTCGGTCGTCGGCTCCTGTCTACCGTCGAAGCCGGACGAGCCGCTGGCGAGCACCATCACGGCTGGGGGTAAGAGGCCCAGGAGCGACTCGACAAGCTCGGAAGATGCAGTCTCCATCATTGATACCGTGATGGACGTCGGGAGAAGGTGGCTGAGATGAGGGTAGGGCAGGTCGCTTTGCTGCTGCTGCTGCTGCTGCTGCCGTCCAGAAAGCCCAGGCTGGTCTCTGAGAGACTCCAGGAAGTTTCTCACCGCAGCAGCCGCGTCGGGCGCCGACGAAGAGGCCCTGTTGGACGGTTAGCCCATCGCATTACGAATGCGGAGCGCAGGTCCATCAAGTCACGGCGGGCCGGCTTCTCTCCAAAATGGAACATGTTTTAAATTTAAACGTCCAATGACTCCAGTTTTGAATCTTGAGAGCTTGTCCTCGACTCTTGAAAGCCGCGACCTTGACTCGCCAGTCGCATGCCACCGTCGACAAGCCATAGGATGGGAATCACCTACGCTCTTGCACCGTCAGCACCACCTTCCCTCGAGCCTTCGCCTTCTTCTCTGATGTCTCCTCCGGTTGCATCGGGTCCTGCACCGCCACTTCCACTTCCGCGGTGGTTGTGAGGACCACGGAGGCCCTCAACGTCTTCCATTGGCTCGTCGTCGTCGTCTCGCCGGTTGTCTGTGTTGCGGACGGCTGCTAATTCGCTGGACACGTTGACTTCTTCACCTTGCAGGAGGCGATGAACAATGGCCCCGATCTTGCGATCTCTAGGACTGAACCAGGCAGCATCACCATTTCGGCTCTGAGGCTTGGACTGCATCCAGAAGAGGTATCGTTGCGACGAAGAGGCGAACTTGAGGGCGAATATACGGCCGTTCGTCTTGGCTGTCGGGTGTGCTGTCGACTTGGAATCGTAAGGAACGAAGCTGCCGTCGGTGGGCACCATCACCAGGTCGAGCTCAGGCTCGTCCAGCGAGTCGTCGCGTTTCCGCCAACAAAAATGAACCAAGTCTAGGCGAGGTTAGCCCGTGGGTTCCATCGGCCGCCGGACACTGTTAACTGACCATCTTCGGAGTAAAGGTAAATGTAGCCGGGCTGGGGCTGAGGCTTGACCTTGGCTGGCGTCGACGAGGTCTAGGTACCAACTCTATCAGTATCAAGCGGGGGGGTATCTGAGGCCAAGGCTTTGCAACTTACGTCGAGGTCACACTGGCCAGCCTTGAAGGTGATGATGGGAGAGATGGGCATGGTGGCTCTCACATTGACGGGATGCACTATTATGCGGCTCGTCAAGGCGAAAGATTGTCGGGAGAGTCAGTTGGCAGAGAGGAGTTGCTGTGACGTTACAACTGGTTGAATGATGGATGATGGATCAAGCTCCGGCATTACCAGAGCTGTTGCCTAAGCTCATTGGTAGCGCGGGGCTACACTGGTCCACGGCCCGACAATTCTCCGCGCCGGCATGCAAAATTTCTGATAAATTCCCACTAAGCTCCGAAATGCAGCTTTTGGTTTTTCCAAACCGCATCCTGCGATGCTCCTGGAAGGCACGCGACTTTACGGGTCGCCGCGCACTCCCGACAGTCACGACAGCCACAGCTGATCCAATGTCACGTTGAAAGAGCTGGTTTGTGCTCAGCGGCATGCCGCCGCTCCGCGACCGTATCCATTGGTATGCTTCCTCACCTTCTCTTGGACGCATTTTTTCCAGCTCCCCTGTCTCTGTATCTGTATGGTGATGAGAAAAATTGGTCCGTGTTTCGGAGGGGGCCTCAAGACCCCCCGCTTGACGAAACAGCAAGCACATTGTGCATCTCTGAACTTTTGCCGTTTGCCTCTCAGCTTAGCACAGAAAAGATGAGAGACTTGTGCTAATGCGATTTCAACAGCCGAACATGAACCAAGCTCTACGGACGTATTCGATTGCGCCACTGTCAACTCGAGCGGCGAGGGTTTTCTAGTGAGGTAGTGGTATACGCCGCCTTCCGGCTTCGTCTCGCCGAGGCCTTTCCATTTGTCTCTGCCTCCTCACCCGTATGGAGAGCGGGGGCCGCCATGTTCATGGGAGCCGCAAGTAATTGTTGCCCATCCCACTGTCAGGCACTATGTTGGGCGCTGGAAAATTTCAGCTGCAAGAGGTTCGGTTTGACTGCGTAGAAGACTGTTGAGGATCGAGTCCGTCGGCACCAGGGATGCCTGCCCTCTCCTCTCCGTGAGTCTTGGATATGCCTGCTTCTCGGTCAATCTTGGCGATTAGTAGAATTCCTCTGCCTGGGATGGTATTTGGTCTCCTGCATTATGTTGAATAGACTAAAGAGAAGGTATGAAAAGAAGAGTGAGCGTTTGCTATTGAAGCAGCCCTCGCATACAAGGCGACGGATCTGATCAAATCACAATGAGGTCATAAAGGACCGATTTAGGCTCACTTATGGATTGTCGTAGCCAGTGGCACCGAGATGTCTACTATAGAGGCGCTCGGGCATTGCTTGGTCATGATAGGCGCGATTTCTTAGCGGGGTAGCTTGCAAGGAGAAACAAGCGTCCCCTAGCAAAGGCAACGCGTCGACGCTCCGGATACACACAAACACAATCGACATCAGGGCCACCGCAAAGTCCCGAGGAAACGATGTACGGTGACTTGGGGGTCAAGCTGGTGCGATGACGTTCAAATTCATCACGTCCAAGCAGAGAAGGGTCTAACTCTCAACTGCAGGTCCAGCACGCCAAGAGGACGCAGAACCTCGCGCACCTCCCGCCGTACCAGACCGAGATTGTGCGCGCAGTGACGAAGGAGGTCAGGGACCTTGACAAAGACGTTACCGACCTGCTGGAGCCCTTTCAGGGTTCCTTCGATCCCGCCGCGGACCAAGCCGTTGCCTGCACCCTGTTGGTGAACCATCTATCCATGCGCCGGAACAAGCGGTGCCTGCTCGCTTACCACCGAACGCGAACCGACAAGCTCGAGGAGCTGGTGTGGAACGGGTCCGACGTCGTTGATCTATCGGGGCTGCAGGTGCGCGAGTCGAGCGGCGGTGCCAATGGCGGACCACAAGCCGCAGGCGACGGAGCAACGAGCAGCCTCAGCCCTCAGGAAGAGGAGTACGTGCGCCAGTATAGCGACTTGCTAGCCGCATACAAGGGACAGTGGACAGACATCGACCTCACGGGCAGCCTCGAACCGCCGCGCGACCTGTTTATCGACGTGCGAGTGCTCAAGGACGCCGGCGAGATTCAGACAGAATACGGGCAAGTGGCGCGCCTCCTTGGTCGCGACAGTCGAGGCTAACCAGCTTGGTGCTTCCACAGGGCAATCACTTTGACAAAGAACAGCCAGTTTTATGTCCGGCAAGGGGACGTGGAACGGCTGATTGCGCAGGGATACTTGCAGAAACTCGGCTGACACACATGCGAAGCACGATTTACAATCTAAGAGCGGCGGCCGTGGTGCGGTGAAGCTCGCCGCGATGCCTGGGGTTCGGCACCAAACAGCCGGGGCAGCGACAGATGACGACAAGGGAGAAAATCGACGTGGCGCCCGTCGAAGCGCTGAGTGCTACAAGGTTGGACCAATTGGGCCGAGCGAGAGTATGCGCCCAAGGTCATGCGGGCAGGGCAGGCTGTGCAGACACCAGGACCACGCTCCGTCTTGTGCGGTGAGAGCAGGGGCGGGCTGCTCGGTGAGAGTGCGCAGCCGCAGGCATGGCCGAGCATCGGAGGATGTCGCTTGCATGTCCGTTGGGCGTGCAGAGATGCATACATACAGTGGCATACAGTGGAGAGGCACCGATATGCGCCAATGGCGGGATGCTCTTGCACAGGCAAGCCGGGACGGAGCATGGTGCCGAAGACGGGTTTCTGCAGGCGCGCTTTGCCTTTGCGCATGCAGCGTTGATGGTCCGTACGCATGCGATGCGGGCGTACGAAGTCTGTAGCGGAGAAGGCGTGTGGACAGGGACGAGGATCCCGGTTCGGCAGAGCACATGTCTGATCAGAACAAGGAATATAAGAAGAAGGATGTGAGACATGTCATGGAACAAAGATGCATCGCCGTTTTGCTTGCTGCCGAGGCCAATTGGAGGCTGCTTCCCCACACTGGCCGTCATCGAGGCAATTGGTCTGCAGCCCATCCTGTTACGTACAGACAGCATGTGCAAACTGACGCCATCCATGACCTGTGCATACATACAAACAAGTAAGGTACAGTAAGTAATTAGTACAGGACTAATAAGTGGTAGGTGGACGGTGCAGCACCTCGTACTGTCCGTGCCACTGTACAGTAGGTAGGCATGCGTCTTTGCAATGAGCAAGGCCGCAAAGGTGTCGACTCCCGATGCACACTCACTTCCCTAAGTTACCCTCCAGTCCCCCCACAAAAGCTTTCCATTTTTAATGGTCAAGCGGAATGTTGATGATGCAGCAACACATTTGTTTTGCCCTGGAGCTCGCCCTCTCGAGCTATCCTCGACTCGGCCCCATCTTGGCCCCATCTTTGCTCCATCAGCCAAGCGAGCATCTCGAGGTAAGCGTCGATGAGAGCCAAGGTCGCGGCAACCTTGATGAAATCTCCGTCCCCCCGGATTGACTTTTGGCTTAACTTACCCACCCTTTCCGAAGCGCCCTCTCTCCTCCTGATCCCCCTCACCTTCTCGCCCATCGCACGCCCGTCACCCTCCTCACTCTCCTCAGCACCAGCCAACCCCATGCGACCGTGCTAGACGAGGCGCTCGTCCGCTCCTGGGCAGCTGCCGGAACCGACACCCGTCATGTCCAACTCCGTCCTGGGCTTCTCTCCGTGGGGCCGGAGACGGCCCAGCCTCTCTCTGTCTCTCTCGCGAGAGGCCATCCCCGACAGCTCGGGCAGCCCTCCCGACGAGCCCGTCCCGCCCCCGCCGTCCTCCCGCCTGCTGTCGTCGTCGCTCGGCTCGTCCCAGGGACTCAGAGGGCCCATCCGCTCCTACATTCATGCGTCTATGCGAGAGCAGCTGGGTGAGCGGCCCCGGCCTCGACTCCATCGTTTGCCGGCGCTGACGCGAGGTAGTGCCCGTCGATAGCAGTCAGAACGCCCGCACCGTGCGCGAAGACACGGCCGAGCTGGCGAGCTACCTGCTGTCTGACGGCGCGGCTCAGCGGAGGCCGTCCTTCTTGCAGCGATCACGACCATCGGTCCAGGATCTGTTTGCGCTAGAACATGACAGCAGTGAGCCCACAGACGATGACGCCGGTGCCTCTCACACAATCCTCGAGCTGTCAGAGCCAACATCGCCGGAGAGCGAAGCGGATAACACGGGAGAAGACAGCGACGGGCCGTCGGTGCTGTCCAACCTTCTCAGGAGGTCCCCCCCAGACTCGGTGACTACCGACGCGCCCATATCGACCGATAGTCGGCAAGCCGGGCCGAAGCCGCAGCGGCGCGCGTCCCTTCAAGCCGAACCTCGACATTGCGCAGACAATGCTCAAGCCGAAGTGACCGAAGACACGCCGCTGTTGAGCGAGACCACGTCCCAGGACGCCTTCGGCGACGTTGCCGACATTGAAGGGCAAAAGCGTTCCCACGGGCTCAGGTGGTTGGGCAGGTTGGTCGAGCGCGGCCGCCAGGTCGAAGAGCGCGCCCTTCACGCTGTCGCGGTGACGGCCAACCCGCGCCATTGGGATCGAAGAGCCATATGGCAGAATGCGGTTCTGAGTCCAGCCTCGTGTCTCCCTGCTGTCCTTGTTGGGCTTCTCCTTAATGTTCTAGACGCCCTGTCCTACGGTCAGTCTCTTCCTTCTCCCTTTCTCCTCGGGCTGGGTGACTGACTGGCGAGTCTAGGCATGATATTATTTCCTCTCGGAAAGCCCATCTTTGCCCATCTAGGATCGGCCGGTCTCTCGATATACTACGTCAGCACAATCGTGTCCCAGGTCATCTTCTCATCCGGGAGCATCTTCAAAGGAGCCGTTGGATCGGAGCTGGTAGGGAATAGAGTGTACTCGTGGGATCCAGCCATCGGCTAACCTGGGCGCACGCAGATCGAGGTTGTTCCATTCTTCCACAACATGGCCCTGAAAATCATGGACACTGTCGGCCCGGAAAATCCAGAAGCAGTGATTGCGACCACCATCGTGGCTTACGCCGCCAGTTCTATGATGACAGGGCTCGTCTTCTATCTCATGGGCAGGTTCAAGTTCGGCTTCATGGTCGGCTTCATCCCGAGGCACATCTTGATTGGCTGCATTGGCGGCGTCGGCTGGTTTCTCATTGCAACCGGCTTCGAGGTCTCTGCGCGCCTCGACGGAAGCCTCGAGTATAACCTCGACACGTTGGTCAAGCTCACACAGTCCGACACAGTCCTGCTGTGGGTGTTTCCCCTCGTCTTGTCAATCGCTCTCTTCTATGGCCAGTCGAAAGTGCGATCCAAGTATTTCCTGCCGCTCTACATCCTCGCCATACCCTTGGTCTTTTACATATTCGTCGTGTCCATCGACGCTCTGAATGCCGACAGCTTGCGCGATGACGGTTGGATTTTCAATGGCCCACCACCGGGAGAGCCTTGGTGGTATTTCTACACCCTGTACAGTGAGTCGTTCACCGTCATTGGCAACCGCTGACATCCAGGGCTGACGGGTCGACAGGATTTGACTTGGTACACTGGGGGGCTGTCGCCGAAGTGATTCCTGCGATGCTGGCCCTGACCTTCTTTGGCATTCTCCACGTCCCCATCAACGTTCCGGCTCTTGCGCTCAACTGCGGCGAGGACAATGCGGACCTGGACAGGGAGCTGAAGCTTCATGGCTTTTCCAACTTCCTGTCGGGGTGCTGCGGTAGCATTCAGAACTACCTGGTGTACGCCAATACCGTCTTCTTCATCCGCTCCGGAGGCGACAGGCGGCTTGCGGGTTTCATGTTGGCTGCCCTGACGGTAGGCATGATGATGGTTGGTCCTTCCATCATCGGTTTCATCCCAGTGATGATGGTGGCGACCCTGATATTTGATCTCGGCTTTGAGCTGTTGCTGGAGGCTGTCTGGCTTCCGCGGAAGAAGCTCAAGTTGGCCGAATATCTCACCGTCATTGTCATTGTCCTGGTCATGGGAATCTACGACTTTGTCGTTGGCATCGGCGTTGGGATTCTGTTGGCGTTTGTGTCGCTAATCATTCAGACGTCGAGGGTGTCGGCAATCAGGGGCGCGTATGGCGGAGATGTCGTCACCTCTACCGTCCGTCGCAACCCGTCACAGCAACATTACCTTCAGCAGGTCGGGCGGCAGATCTACATCATCAAGCTCACAGGGTACCTATTTTTTGGCACCGTCGTCAGCGTCGACGAGAAAATCCGCGCCATCTTGGATGACCAGGCGTTTGCGAGGAAACCCATCAAGTTTGTCATATTGGACATGTGGCACGTCAGCGGCCTGGATTACTCGGCCGGCGAGGCGTTCAACACCATCAGCCGACTTTTACATGGCAAAGGCGTTCTCTTCGTCCTCAGCGGCGTGGATGACGAGAGCCAGTTGGGGCAAAATCTTCGCGCCGTCGGTCTCGGGACGGATGAGATTGAGGTGTTGATGCTGCCGACTCTCAACTCGGCGCTGGAGAGTTGCGAAAATGAGCTTCTGAAGACGCTTTACGCCAGGCAGCAAGAGCTGAATTCAACCAAGAAGAAACCCACCACAAGTCTCGACGTTCCCACGGGCGCGGAAGCGTCGGCTTTTTCGTCGTTTGATCCACCCTTCAACTCGCCTCGACGAAGCCATCAGGTCGAGGCGGCGCGCGAGGCGCTCACCAGCGTCGAAATCCAGCGCCCGACAAGATGGCAGAGCTTCCAGGAGCCACTGCGTCTCATGCTCCAGGTTTTCCAGGGGCTCAGCGACAAGAATGAGGACTTTTGGTTTCAGGCGACGGCCTACTTTAAACGCCAGGAATGCGCCGCGGGGACGGTCCTCTTCCGACGTGGAGAGCAGGCCAAGGGCTTCTATCTGGTCGAGAGCGGCATAGTGCGCGCCGAATACGACCTTCCGCAGGGATGGCTGTGCGAGAGCATCGTGGCAGGGACGACTTGCGGGGAGCTGCCATTCTTCTCGGAAACGGAACGGACGGCGACAGTGCAGGTGGATCGAGATAGCGTGCTTTGGGTGATGAACCGCGAGAGCTGGCTGAAGATTCAAAAGGAGAAGCCGGAGGTGGCGCGAGAGTTGTTGAGGCTTTCGCTGAAGCTGACAAGCGAGCGCATGAGCTCCATTACATCGCATATGCTGGCCATGGCAGGATAGGGCGGGTAACAGTTTGCGCACGGCATGCGGTTGGAGTAAGGGGTCGGCTTAGCGTTGCTGCGATGTTTATACCAAAAGTTTGTAATCGCGACTGGTGGTCGGCCGAGCTTGTTGGGGGCCAGGTTGGTTGCGGAGTAGTCGAATCTATCCGAAGACCAAGCTCTAGGGTAGGTCGTTGCCTCGATGTTCCGGAAAAGGTCTCTCCCGACTTCAACCTCTACCCACCTCCATCATGCGACAGCCACTTTCAAGACGCGAGAAAGAAGAAGAAAGGACGCCCGCTACATCTCATTGTTTTTCCTTGTGTTTTCTGCTTGTCACTCGTCGGCAATCACGTACCGCGGGGGATCTGTTGGCCGAACCTGTCCGAGGCACCACCGGAACTGCACCGTGACACGCGATTCGCCCCATTGGTGGCAACGACTACCTACTTTTACACTCTTCAACCTCTCGTCTTGGTGAGCCAGAGTACTAAGCAGTTCCGATCTTCTGTGCACCTCTACGACCGAGAAAGCAAAGCAAAAGACAGACGGGCGATTCACGCGCACACCATGCCGCAAAGTCTGAAATCGATATTGGGAAAATCGAGTCGGGTTCAAAAGCCGTCACGGCGCAACCCATCGTCGCCGTCTCCGAAAAAGGCCCGCCAACCAAAAGAGGAGGAGGTCCTCTTCGAGGAACGGCTTACAGATCTGGGCACCACGCGGCTGCTGGCCGAGGAACTGACGCTGCGGGACGTTGTGCAAGCCATGCGATACATCCGGTCGACCATGTTCACGCCGGTCCCGGAGACGGGGCTCAAGTCGACGCGGGTCGCCGAGGTGCTCAACTACAGGGCGTCGCTGCCGCCCGTCGTGACCATCGGCCATCTCAACTCGGTCCTGCGCTCGCCGACCAGGACGGAGAGGGAGCTGGCTGAGCTCGTGGCCAAGGGCGTGGTGCGGAAAGTGAGGGTCGAGAGGAGAGGGGGCATGGGCGAGGCGGTCATTGAGACGTCGGACCTTGAGCGCATCGTCAAGCGCTGCGACGTGTCCGACGAGGCGGCCGACAAATTCCTGGCCTGTCTGCGGCAGAACCCTACCGCGCAAATGTTACCGAGCGGCGCCCTCACGAGCACGCAGACGGACGAGTTGGTGAGAGCCGGCCTGCTTACGAGCTCGGCGCACGCCGCACCGGGGAGCACGCTTCATGTCCGGCCAGAGGACCGCACCACCCTCACGTCCATCCTGCACGTCTCGCGCTTCGCCTCGGGTACCGTCTCCGCCGTCGGCGGCCACCAAGCCATCCACCTCGCCGGCGGCGGCGGCGGGGCGCCGACCCTGACGCGAGCCGCGGCCTCCTCCTCCTCCGCCGCCCCGCCGCCGTCGTCGTTCCGGATCTCGTTGCCGGGCCACGGGCGGTACTTGAAGCTGGCTGAGGGGGCGGTGGACTGGGTGCGCGAGGCGCTGGGCAAGACGGCCTGGGGCGAGGGCCCCGAGGACTGGCTCAGGGAGCGGTTCGCGGGTGGCGGGCTGTACGGCACGCGGTGGAAGGAGTTTTGGGGCGTCGAGTGGCAGTGGCTGGCCGGGCAGGCCGTCGGGCTCGGCGTCGTCGAGATGTTTGAGACGGGGAGCGTCGGCAGGGGCGTGAGGGCTTTCGGTTGACTGGTCCCCCCACCACGCTTCCCCCTTTCTCTCTCATGACCATGAGACGGGAGGTCTCGCCGGGGGAGCAGGAGAGACTCTGTTTCGCACGCAGCAGCTGCGGCACACCAGATGGCATTCCTGGGGCTGCGGTGGCGAGAGCTGCTCGAAACGCGGGCGCAGCCGGACCCAAACAGCTTGTGGAAACAGGCTCTCGCCCCGAGACGTCTGGAGTGCACTGTACAGCCATGCAATGACCCCCATATCGCCACCGCAGGCATTGAACGGCATGTTCGAGGAAACATGGGGAACCCCCTTGATCCCCATCACGTTTGTTCCCCCCCTCCCCGATGGGCTCAAACAACCGGCCCGCGTGTCTGACCAAGCGCGCGGAAAAGAAAAGGCCATCCTTGCCAACAAAAGTCCGAGCAGCACCAAGCCGTCCGTCCGTCCGGCGGCAGAAGGCCACCGCCAACGAGAAGAGGGGGCACGGATGGAGGGGGGGCGCAAGGCGGACATTCTGATAGACGCTGCTCCCGATTGCACCTCTCCTCCTCCTGCGCCACTTGGACCGTGATCGAGAGCACAATCAAGAAGCAGCCGGTTATTTTTTCGGAGGCCCGACGCGGAGGCCCCCGAGGCTGACTGAATGTCTCTGCCACCTTTTTTTTTCCCGACTAGAGTTTGACTCACATGATGGATGGGAACGAGCAAGACATGGAGAGAGAGACGGAAAAGCAAAAAAAGGCAAGGGGTGACTTGGGCATAAACCCTCTTCTACTACGTTTCCGGAGCAAAGTCGCCAGACCTGCCATCCCACTCTCGTGATACGCTCGTCGCCGCCTATTCTTGCTTTCCCCAATGATCATGCTTCTTCTCGACCCCTTCCCCCCCCTTTTCGCGGCTGTTAGTCCTCCCCTCCAACGCCCGGAATATACAGGGGAAAAGGAATAAGGGGGAAGAGGAAATGAGAAGGCAGGAAAAACCAAAAGAGGACAAGGAGGCGGGGGACTCGAAAACCTGACCCAGGTGGCCAAGGCTGCAGTCCCGAACGCATCGGGGCGGGAGGAGGTTCGTCCCAGAGCCGCCCGACGCCATCGCGGCCAATGCACGTCATTCGTTACCAATCGGGCTCATGCGGTTTCATGCGACACCCATCAGGCTCCAACATGTCCGTGGGCCATGGGGATGTATGTACCGTGACAGGACCCGGGTACTCATACATTCACTTCATACGGACACTTGTTGCGCCTCACGATGCTCGGGTGAGCAGAGGCCCGCAACCATGCGCCGGAGCGAGACAGAGATAGAGAGAAAGAGACCAGGAAGAGAAGCATACGCGAGCCGCTCCACGGCACTGTTTCGATGGCGTGGCATTACTCCGCTCTTCTATATCATTACCTTTATTCCCCGGGGGCCCTTGCCAGGGTTCACCTGGCTCGAACATGAATCCGCAGTGAGCATAGCACTCATACCGCCAGACTCTGGTGAAGCGAGGGCGCCGATAAGTGCAAAAGCTGTTGTCAGCAGGTCCCGCCGGAGTCCAATGATAACTGACAACTCCAGGAGGCCTTTCCCAAGAACGAGCCTTGACCTCCAGGGAGAGACGCAGGACACCCTGTCGAATATAAGACATGCATCACTGCGTTTCGCACTACCGACCCCAGGCGGAGAATAGACATGGGCCGTCAGCAGAGGACATAGCCACACGGTCCCTTTCTTCCCTTGCGCGGCCGACTATTCACGGGATTGGGAGGTGTACGGCGCCGCGCCCGAGAAAATGCCGAGAGCGTCCTCGCAAGATGAATGGATAATGCCATGAATGTGATTCATCAACCTCTTGGACCACCACCCTTTTTAGATCAGGGTGGAGAGTTGGGCTGTCATCTTGGCTGCGTCCCCGCCTTAATGCAACAGCTAAACAGCTCGGAGCGAACAGACTCCGGGTTTGGGAGCAATCCTCGTCTGGTTTCGAGCCTTGGTGCCCATCATGCTAGCCAAACGTGGGGTGGCGTGTCCCGAGCATGGACTGATAGCTGTTGAGGCGGGAGCACCGACCTGCCCGTCCCGTCTTTGCACTGTCGTTGCAAGATTAAGCAGGCCAGCTTCGGACTACTGCCAGGTGCCGGCAGTCATGAGACAGCCGAGCTCTGCTTGTCGAACCTGCTGCAAGTCCACAGGTACTTTGGCTGCCAGGTAGCAGCGCTCGAGGGGACTTGTAGAAATGCGGGACGGCAGAGCATCGGCCGATCCGCTGAAACGCGGCGGTGGTCTGGACTGAGAGAAACGATGTACAGAAGGCGAGTAGCCGGCTGATGGAAGACAGCTTTGTCCGTGTGGGCGGCCGTAGCGATCTGGGGTCTCGAAACCGGTCAGCGAGGGAGTAAGTGAAGCGCATGACACTGCGACAGATGACGACAGATGAAATGCGTTGTAGCGTGGCTAGCCAGAGTCGACAGAGCGCAGTGTCGCGGTTGGAGAAACGTGGTTGGCAGGAACTACAATTTCGAGACATGCGTATGCTGTCAATGTGCAATGCGTAAGCCGCGGCGAATGGCATTGTCCAGCATGGACAGTCCCACATGGTGGCAGAGAGGGTCCAGGAGGATCCAGGCCGTGTCACGGAATTGGAAATGGCTTGACTTGTCTGGACGTGGATGGCGCCCTGGGTGTTGCAAGAGCACGGCATGGAGCCGGAGCTGCACGTGCGCGCGCAGGGCAGGATGGCATGCCGGGGAGGACCTTGGCTGCGGAGCGTGGGATGCGCTGAAACGTCCGGAAGGGCGGCCGGCCGGCATTCTCTAGCTGGGAGCCTGCATGAGGATGCGTGCGTCGCGGCTCCGGGCCAGCGCCGGCGACCTTGTCCGCCAACCGGCTGACGAGAAGAGACGATGACGCCACGCCTCTGATTGGCGCGTCCGTCCGATGCCCAGCAATAATAGCATCATCCGTCGCCCACCCCCAATCCTGTGCGCCGAGACTGCTCTTGTTTTGTCAGTGTCTCGCCCTTTGATGTCGTCGGACATTGGGCCTGCGGAGAGGCGTAGGGTAATATGTTTCCAGGGGATCGACCAGCCTGTGGATCGATGCCGAGATCCATCTGCGAGTCCGTCCGTCGCTGCAGATGCCGAAAGGTGAGCTACGGTATCCGTACATGCGTCGAAAAAGAGTCGAAAGCTCTCGACTAGTGGGCATTCGTCGGTCTCGAACTGGGGCTCCGGCCTAGCCTGATGCGGAGTCGCACCCTTGCTTCTGGAGCCATCGTATTGCAATTGGCCGATGGCTTGGCCGGAGGGAAAGGAGGACGACGAGAGGGAGGGCAAAGGGCATCAGACGGCAGAGGTGAGTGACAGGAAAAGGGGGGACGGGAGGATTTTTGTTGGTCGCCTGGAAGAAGGGTATTGCCGTGCGTGACTGCGGAAGCTACCTAGGTAGGTAGGTAGGTAATACCTACCTACCTTATTGCATGCATGTACTGTACATACAGCTACGTACAATATGCACTGCATGGGCAGTCCGAGGGGGGGGGGGAAACGGGCCAGCAGATACATATAGGGGAGAAGGTAGGTAGGTAGTACCTTTACTGCCTGGCCAGTTGCCTCCGTAAAGGTACAAACATATACAGATACCCTTTGTGCCTTGGAGGACCAAGAAGGAAGCTCGGTCGGCACTGCGGGAACACATGCATGCGGCGAAGGTACCTACCTACCTACCTACCTACCTACCGAGACGACTATGTCCAAGATGACGCATGAGGTCGACCAATGCTGGCCTTACTCGTGCGCCTTGATTGGCAAATTGAGGACTGAGAAAAGGGTTCATGTCCACGAGGGCGAGATTCCATGCCCGGCCTGTCCTGCGCTGCTTTGTTTTTCCTGCCACCACTACCCCCGTCTACAGTAGCTTGCGGCTGCCTCTCGATAGCGAGGCAGGCCAAGAGAAAGACGTGCAGCGAAGAAACGTCGACAGACGAGCTACAGTAGACGGGCCAGCACCGGGCAGGGGACCCTCTGCATGTGCATCGTGTAGCGCCCGCTAATGATGAATCGAAATGGGCCTCGCCCTCCCCTACAGCCTGGGTTAGCCCGTATGCACAATGCTGTAACTTAACTTAGGTCCGTGATCAATCAGGCACCTATAATAGACAGTCACATATGTAATGAACACCTGCCTGCCCATCTAGTACCTGCTTTTGGCTTCGGATCCTGAGCTTCGCCATGGGATCCTCGCTCTTTTCCCGTTGGCCTCTCCTCCTGTGGTGTGACCAGGCGCGCGCGCATGGGCCGGCACCGCCAGCCAACCAACCACGCCACGCAGGCCATGCTGAGTAGAGTATCGCAATTACGGCTATTGCACCACTCAATCTCGGCGCCGTCCAAGCACGCTCTCGCACATAATCCAGGGCCCAAGCAAGCTACGTAGGTACTCCATGTGCTTCCGTCCGAGTGTATGTACGTGCCGGAATAGGTAGGACCTACTGTAACTACTGTACTGCCGCCCCGAAGCCACACCTCGTCGTCCGAACATGTGCTCCTTCCCCACGTAGGCACCTCAGCAACGCCTGGTCGGGCCCCGTCCATTGCGAGTATCGGTACGTAGCTTTCCCAGTCTTTCCATGTACAGTACCTGGCTCATCGCTCTACGCTCCATTCCTATTTTCGCTCTCGTGTGAGTGCGCAGGGGCGAGCCTCATTAGAGGGCGGCAGGGGGGAGGGGGAGGGGTGGGCAGATACAGGAGAGGTACTTTTATTGGGTCAGGTACTGTACCTATTGTAATGAATGGCAAGGTGATGGGTTGCAAGGAAAGGTACCTGACGCTCGTACCTAAACAACCTGCAAGTTACAGGAGCTCAGAGGGGGCGCGCTCGTCCTCTCCTCCTCCTCCTCTTCAACACCATCGCCAACCAAGACTGGACCTCGGCCACAAACGGGAACAGAGGCTCCAGAAAAGAAAAGAAAAGAAAAGAAAAAGCCCAAGCAAAAGAAGAAGAGCACCCCCGCGGCAACGGCGACATCAAGAGGGGCTCCTCCGCTCATGGTTTCCCCAACTTGTTCCAGCTGCTCCCTCGTCGCCAGCATCACCCCAGCATCCCTTTTGCTACAAAACAAGTAATTTGGACAACGCCCGTCGATGAGCGCCGTCCCTTCACCTGCTGTGAGCCTCGTGTCTCTCAACCCCTTCTGGGCCCCGGGAAGCTTCGGCTATCCAACCTTCCCCCTCGCCCCAGACGACTTCTGCGTCATTCATCGCCTCGGCCTTGACTTGCCTTTCCATAACCATCACCACCACTGACCCTTTACTCTACGCCGGAGCCCGCCACAGGCCCATCCATCGTCCCGTCGACCAGCCCCGAGCTCAGCCCAGGCCCAAAATTATCAAGGGGAAAAAAGGAAGGCAGAAAAAGCACCGTCGCGGACTGCCTGTTGTTTCGACTGCACCTCGACAGTCGACGCTCGTGTCGATTCTGCCGTTTATTTGGTTTTTCCTCTGGGGAGTGCGCTGGGCTGTCTTGCACCATTCCAGTTCGACTACTCATTGTTTTTGTTGTTTCATGTCGTTGGCCAGCTAGACACATTGTCGGCCGGCAAGACAGCTTGGGTATGCCCTTGTCACTGTTATTTGACCCCTCCTCCCACGCTCTGCAGCGCACCCTCGCTGCCCTGTCACCCTGCCCTGAGCCTCGACGAGACTGACCACTGCGTACCCAACTCCAGGCTCACAGGCTCTGCAGGGAGTCGCATCCCCGGCAACCACCACCCGCTGTTCCCCAGCTCGACCGGTACACGCCCGCAGGACACTGCATCGTCTTTTCCACCCGGCGCTCACATCGGCAACGTCGAAAAACAAATCCCTCTCCAGTCCAATACCTGCGTCGATGGGCACATCCTGGATGGTGAATTTCCGCTGCCCAACAGCCCGTCGCCCTCTTTCGACCCTCATCTTCGCCTTGTTTGGCCTGTCGCCGCCACCGATTGCCATCCCATCATCGAAAAGGCACTGTTAAATGGCGACCGCATTACCGCGCGCGTCGCGGCCCTCGAATGGGCCGCCCAACGCGGTGCTTCCCACCCTGCCCGTCAGCAAAGTTCGAAAAAGCACCGGAAACCTTTCTGCGATTGACACCACAAATCCTTCCCCCACGCCGAGAAGTAACAGCCTTCGACGAGCACCATCGGCCGCCGCAGCGCCCACCACTTCCGCCCCGAACTCAGCCTTGTCCCAACACAAGGCTGTGTCGAGCGTCAACGCCGCTGGCAAGACTCTGAGGAAAGCCATCAGTATCACCTCTTTCCCGCAGCCACCCCGAGGCGACACTCGCTCCACCAGCATGCCGATTAGCCCGTTGGCAGGCGACAAGCCGCGATCCCGGAAATCAAAGTCTCCCAAAGATTTTGCACACTTCAGCTACGCCTCCTCCACGCCGAGCCTGTTGAATGGAAGCGGCGAGGGCAAGTCCATCAGCAGCGCTCGCATGTCCGATGGCCTGATTAGCGTCTCGTCCCCGCCTCAAAGCCGAAGTTCCTCGGCGCAGGATTCGTACTCAACATCAGCGACGACGTATGATGACTCTGGCGAGGGCTCGGCTCAGAAAACAGACTCCACCTCCTCGCCGTCCGACAAGAGGTCCTCGGGGACAGAAGGCAAGGGTAACGTCATTGTCAGCGTGCGGGTACGACCTGATAGCAACGCCGACCAAGAAAGTCCCGACGGGGAGTGGATGGTGGACGGGCGCAAGTCACTCATAGCATTCCGGGGCAAAGAGGGCGGAGACCACTATTATGGTATGGGAATGCCTCTCCATCGATCCCCTTTGATCACTTAGCACGGCCAGAGCTAACCGTGGACCTAGACAACGTCTTCGCGACCCACGACAACAACGCCCGTGTGTACGATCACATAGCGAAGCGACTAGTCCGCAGGGTCATGGAGGGGTATCATGGTACTGTGTTCGCCTACGGCATGACGGGTACTGGCAAGACGTTCTCGATGCAGGGAACTGCCTCGTCCCCTGGTGTCATTCCACTTGCCATCACAGACATCTTTTCTTACATTCGCGAGACACCCTCACGCGAGTTCCTGCTGCGAGTCAGCTACCTGGAGATTTATAATGAGAGGATTCACGACCTATTAAGCATGCCAACGGGAAGCGGCATCGGAAGCAACGCTCAGCACGAGGAGATTAAGCTGCGCGAGGATAGCAAGCGTGGCGTGTACGCCACCCCTTTGAAGGAGGAGATTGTCCAGAGCCCCACGCAGTTGCTACGGGTCATTGCTCGCGGGGACCAAGCCCGACGAACGGCCAGCACCCAGTTCAATGCTCGCAGCTCGCGCAGCCATGCGGTTGTGCAAATTGTCGTTGAGAGCCGCGAGCGGATACCCAGCGGAGGCACCGGAGCTTGGGATGCCAAGCGATCCGGCCTGCTACCCGGTGGAGTCCGGGTCTCGACCCTTAGCTTGATCGACCTTGCGGGCTCGGAGAAGGCGGCCGAGTCGAAGGAGCGGAGGCAAGAAGGCGCGCACATCAACAAGAGTCTGCTCACCCTGGGAACCGTCATCGCCAAGCTTTCCGAGTGCAAGGACAAGGAGGCCAAAGGCAGCGACAAGGAGGGGAAGCACCTGCCATACCGCGACAGCAAGCTGACCCGCTTGCTTCAAGGAGCCCTGTCCGGCAATTCGCTCGTCAGCATCCTCTGCACGATCCAGATCGGGGCAGCCGGAAGCCCGGCTGCGTCAAGCCACCACACTACCGAGACGCTGAATACACTCAAGTTTGCGTCGAGAGCGAAGAACAGCATCATTAGCCACGCAAAGAGAGCCGACGAGGCCCTCGGTGCCGGAGGCGACGGAGGCGCCAGGGTTTTGCTGGAACGCTATCGAATGGAGATTACCGAGCTGAAGCAGCAACTGGAGCACCAGGCGAGGAAGAACAGTAGTTCGGAAAAGGAAAGGGATGAGCAGCTCGAAAAAGTTCGAGAGCAAGAAGCGACCGAACGGCACGAAGAACAGATGCTCGAGATGCAGCTGGCAAGAACAGCCCTGAAGGAACGCATCGAACACCTCAATCGCCTCATACTTAGCTCCAAGTCGATCGGCGTAAACTCGAACGGATCAATGAGCTCGCTCGGCCACTACGCGCGATTCTCGCAACTGTCGCTGAACGGCTCCGTCCGCTCATCGATTGCCACGTCCAACGGAACCAAGGCATTCCCCGAACGGACAACTTCGCTGACCTCGGCGTCGTCGACCGTTGGACGGCGATCAAGTGGCGGGCAGCGAGTGGCCAGCGACGAGGAGGAGGACAGCATCGTCGAGCTCGGAGACGGAACGGCCTCTTTGGCGGCGCAAAATCGAGCACTGCAAGCTGATGTGGCGGACAAGAATCGGTACATTGCCACATTGGAGAAACGCCTGCTCCATGCGCGACGAGCCAGCTCATCACGCACTTCGGTGGGCCTCTCGGCGCCGAACAAGGGCATCATGGTGGGGGAGGACCACAGCGTCTCTGCGGTGCTCAAGGACAAGGATGCCGAGATTGCGGATCTGCGTGCCAGGCTGGACGACAAGGACCGGATGCTGACAGCCCTCCGGAGCGCAGCGCGAACGCGAGATACTGCCGATGCATCGGGCGAGCCCCGTTCCCCTCAGTCCAACGGTGGGATGCGCAGTGTGCGGCCGACGAGCCCGACGCCGATGATGCACCCGAAGAGGCGAACACAGAGCGTCGACGAGATGAACAGGATGCTGGAAGAGATGATCCAGGACAATGCCGAGACGGGCAACATCCTGAGGGGCGTACGGGGTAGCGTTCGCCTGCCTCACGGACAAAACCCTGATTCTTTGGCAGAGCCGACACAAGATTTGGAACCACTGCGGCAGAGCCCGAATTCGCCCGAAAGATCGAGGCCGATAGCTGCAGAGGCCCACTGATGACGAGGAGACGGGCGGGCTGTTTGATGATACTTGGGCCGATACCCCTGGCAGGCTCACGGCGTCTGTGCGCCGTGAGCGTGACGGAGTTTGGGAGTAGGAAGCTGTCGTTACAGAATTTGCGTTGCGTTATACCCAAGTTTCTTTTTAATTTGGCGCTCTCTGTCGGACAAGACGACTGGACGGCCGAGCTGTGGGTGGGAGGAATAGTTTGTCTCTCTCTGGCTTGATGCTTGAGAGCCGAGGACGCCGGGCTGGAGTGACAGTCGATTTGCTCGGCTTGGCAGACGACGGGAATGGGCGTTTTGTGACTTTGCTCATGGGAGTGCGAGACAGAAAAGGGAGGCGGTGTCTACACTCACTCGGCCGGATGGCAGTGCCACATGGCGATTTCTTTCTTTGTTGACCCTTAGTTTTCTTGTTGGAGAGATGTCCAAACTCGAGGCATGGCGGCCAAGGATTACGAGGAATTTGTGTAATGACGGTAATGGGAAGACGGAAGAGACATGTACCGCCAATATTGAGTGAGCAGAGGTAGACGGTGAATGGACGAGAAGTGGTGACGCTCAAGTTGGCTCTCTTTTGAAGTTGACAGTCGAGAGGTGGCTCATCCATGGAGATGTATAGGGCAGGCTCTTGTGGGCGAGCGGGCTATGTTGCAGTGTCTCTTGCAGTGTCTTGCTTGGTTGAGCTTGTGGCGTGTAAGTTAAAAGATGGTACTCCGTAACGACCAACGGAGATATACAAAACGGGCTGTGTAAACTGTTGGCAGGGGAGAGCTGCACTCATTCATGATGGCCATGTGTTTTCAGCTGCAGCAGGGGGAGCAGAGGAAGCACGGAAACATGAGTCGGGAACGCACAAGGCCCTAATTACCCCCCCTTAACCCCCCCTCTGCCCGTGTGCCATGTGCGTGCGGTCCAAATGGTTTCCGTTTCTTCATTTTCCCTCGTTGGGCGTTCTCGCTTGTTTTGCACTCCCGCTCCCGCTCCCGCTCCTGCAAAGCCGGGTCGTCGGTGGTCTTGCATTTCCCCGTACTCTTCTTTTTCCTTCCGTCTTCTTGGCGTTTGCTTGTTTCCTCGAGGTTGGGGGAACCGCCATGCTCTCGGGTTGCATCCCGCAGATCCCTGGGCATCATGTAATTTATACGAGGCAAGATTGGATTTCGGACTTGCTCTTTTCTCCCCCTTGTTCAGATTCATGGGGGTTGACGGGCCTTTGCCATGTGACGTTATGTAATCACGCGGGTTGCGCTCTGCATCGCCCCTGCAAGAACCCTTGCAGCTCAGGGGCCCGAATGGTGAAACGGGACGGGGAGGCAGTCTGCATTCGACAGGTTCCGCTACTTGAGGAGTGGGGAGAAGGTACTCTCGGTTTGTGTACCTGTTAGCACCAGAAACCACCTGGTTTGACAAAAGGAAATACCCGCCAATTGGGTAGCTTTCTAGAGGCAGGCACAAAGCTGCGGGTACGGGTACTCTGATGCCAAAATGCCTTACAAGTCCGGGGACCGTCGGGTGCTGGGGGGCGTTTCATGGCGGCGGCGGTATGACGACAGACGGGTCCACTGAGAGTGGGCTCTTGACCTCTTGTCTGGTCAGTGGTCAGTGGGCGTCGGCTCAAGCTGTCGAAGGCCTACAGTACAGGCTACAGCACTGCACAGGCTACAGTAGTACAAATGAGCCCCGGGGTCCTCCCTTTGCCCCGGGCAGTCATGCGCTCGCAGCGCCGGACATGTCGCGTCGATGGGATGCGCCATGGAAGCGCTGCGCTCTGGTTTCACGTGGGTGGAGTTGCCGAATGGTTCTCCTCAGTCTCCTCCCGCACAGGCTCTCTCGTGCGGCGGACTGGTCGAAAATCATCCTATCCCGCAGGCAAAATGGGGGAGCTTCTCTCCCTCCCGTCGGCTTTGTCCCCCGTCCCTCCCCTCTGCCTTGGTCCGGCGATCGGCAAAAGAGGGCGGTTGGGCGCCGCGTCGAGTCATGATAGCCCACAGCAAGGGCCATTTCCGGTGACACCCCCCCTTCGCCTATTGCTGCCGGCCTTGAGCAATAAGATCGTCGAGAATGCGGCCCGATCCTGCCCTGGCCGCCCGTGTGTAGTATGCACTGTAATTATGTACGGAGTAATTACTGTACGTACAGTACACTGAGTACTCTGTACAGTAGGCTCGAATACTACAGTGCCGTACATACATGCACCCACCGCACCACCACCTCTTGCTTCTCTCATCCTCACCGTTGGCCCGGCCTTCTGTATGACGATCAGCGCATCGTGTCTTTGGGGCGGGAACTTGCTAACATGGCATGTTTCTGACACGCCGCGTATCCCCTCGAGCTGACTGGCTGACTGGCTGGCTGGCTGGCCGGCTGGCTGGTACTGGCCGATCCTGCTGCTGCTCGTCCTCTTCCATCTTGACCGCCCCCACTCCCGGTCGTCAAAGATTTCATTCCCTCCGCATCTGACAACTTCTTCTTATACCCATGCCTCCGCTGCTGTCGACACCGTCGTCTTGACCAGACCGACACCATGGCGCCCCGCCTCGACCTCTCGTCGGTCTCGACGCACGCCAAGGTCATGGTTGCGCCGCCAAGGATGAACCTGCGCCGCGCTGCCTCCTACAACCACCAGGAACGCGTCGCCGGCTCCCTCTCGGCCACCTCGTCTCGCTTCAACTTCAACCATCTTCTCTTCTCGCCTCCGCCCTCTCCCAGCTTGCCCGCCCTCGTCCAGCCCCCGCGCCGCCGCTCCTCGCAAATCTTCGCCGCCCGCCCGAGCTGGATCCTGCGCCGTCTCTTTTACCTCGGCGCCCTCGTCGCCATCTTCTACTTGCTGGCCCTCGTCTGGGGCGACGGCTGGCCCATGCAGACCGTCTTGCCGCACGTTCCCAGTGACGAGTTTGAGATGGTCGGACAGGACACCGTCCCCGACTTCCCCACGCCCATTGTCGTCAGCGACCGTGGCCAACGACCCAAATGGACCGTCGCCATTCCCCGTGACTACGACTTTCCCCTCTCCATCAACGAGTATGCCGGCATGAGCGGCCGATGCCGCGAGGTCTCGGCCCACGCCCGCGATCTCCACAACAAGCCCCCGCTGACGGACCACGAGATGCTGGCGCACGACAGGCCAGACGCTTACTTTGTCGACGTCGACGACGCCGAGCGCACCGGCCTGCTACCCCCCGTGCCAAAGGACAGGCAGCCCCGGCACTCGGGCCACTTTGTCGGGTTGAATTGGGAGTCCATGGCCGGAACGCCCGTGTGCCGGAGCTCCCTGACCTTTGTCATGGAGAGCTCGGATGCTGGCCTGGGCGCTTCGCTCATGACCATGTGGACCCTCTACGCACTGGCAAAGGAGCAGGGCAGGGGCTTTTTTGTCGATGACTCCCGGTGGGCTTACGGCGCCTACACCGACATCTTCCAGCCGCCTCCACTGCCCGACTGCCGGCCGCCTCTTCGCCACCAGATGTTGCCATGCCCTGCTCAGGCTCGCCATCTCGTCGTCTCAACTGCCACAGCGAGACATGTCCTGCCGGACCTGCTCGCCAGACACGACCGCATCACGGGCATGGCCACCGCACAACAGGACCTGTTCGAGCTCGCCCGGACCGGACATGGACATCTCTTTGCACTCATCAAGGAAGACCAAGATTATGTCCATCAGAGAATCAAGGAGCTTCAGGGCGAGGCTAAGAAGGGTGACAAGATATCCCACGGAGCACCCATCATTGGCCTCCACATTCGACGAGGCGATCGACACCCGCTCGAGTACCAGTATCGCGGCACCTATATCCCGACAGAGGTCTTTGCCAGGCACGCGCAGCAACTCGTCGAATCGCACCACAACCAAAGCGGCATCAAGGATCCGCAACCCAAGGCCATCACGGTGATTGCCTCGGACGATCCCGCGGTGCATCGAGAACCCGACTTGTCCGACGCCGTGCTGGCGCAGCAGCGCATTCGCCTTGCCTCCAAGGAAGCGGTGGAGAAGGCGGTGCCCAACCCACGCATCCTGCACCGCTTCGTGGAAGAGGCGCAGGGGTGGGATGGGGGCTTCTTCGCCCTCATGTTCTGGAACCTGGGCGACGACCGCAAGAAGACGGCGGCCACATCGGTACCCGGCGACGGTCCGGAGCCGGCCACGGCGCCGTCGCAGGAGACGTTGAGGTTACGCGGCTTCATCGGCCGGGCGTATATGATGGACCTGGCCGTCCTGGCGGGGGCCAGCGACAGAGTCGTCTGTGCCGTGAGCGCCATGGGCTGCAGGCTGCTGGGCGTCATGATGGGCTGGGAGCGCGCCATGGAGCAGGGCGCCTGGGTCAACGTGGACGGGGGATATGGGTGGAGCGGGCTCGGCTGGTAGGGGGAGACTTCTCTTTCCCTCGGCCTCCTCGTCCTTGCCTTTCTTTTCCTTTTTCCTTTTGTTCTTTGGATACCAGAAACAGCATGCGCGGTCCAGTCTGACATCCTCCATCAGCACTGGTGATGGCTGTGCTGGTGCGCTCAAGGGGTCAGAGGGAAGACGCAACTCAGCGGATGAAAGTTTTATGAGGCGTTGAAGAGCATTTGGATGGCGTTTTTATACACACGGTCGGCTGAGCCGATAAGCTTGAACATGTGTGGGGGGAAGGAAAAAGCAGACAGATACCTCTTTCGTTTATATATCCCGCCCTTGCCCTTGGGCTTGACGACGGCAGTTGCAAGACTTTTGCTCCGAGAACAGTGACGTGAATGCAATGGGAGATGGGGTTCCTTGTTCATTACTGGCCAGCGCTGGGTGAGGGATGCTCCCGTCTTGTCTGCACGAAATGACGACGGAGGGCGCCCGCGGGTCCCGGACTACCCTACACGTCACACGGAGCATTCAAGCAACAGCCGCCGCAACTCTCCCCTGTAAAAATTCTTCCCCCGTCAGAGCTGTTAGCGGCTCGCTAGCAGGGGGCCGGATTTGCAGGCCACCCGACCGCGCTTTTGCTGCCCGGGTCCATCGTGGCCCTAACAGCACAGAGGAAGACATTAGGAGAGTTCATATTCCTCTGCAAAGCCGGTCTCGACAACACGTCCACACGGACCTCACAGCTTCCTTCGGAACCAAGGAGCTGTGGGTATTGAAGGCCCGCCCTTCTAAACAACGGTGGCTGGTTGCGCAGGTTTTTCTCCTGAAGGCAAGCTGCACGACAGCCTCTGATTCCTTCGAGGGTTTTCCTGCCGCCGCTCCTGCGCTATTTCCATCGCCTGGTTACCGAAGCATGCACTGCGACAGCAGCGTTAGCGAGAGCGAGAGAATTCTGACCGGACAAAACCAAGGGTTGACCATTGTGGCAATCGCCACGCGCCTGGACGACCCGCTGACGGGCACCAGGCTCCGACACTGAGCGCCTTAGAGCCGATGAAATGCTGGATGGACTTCGGGAAGGCTGGCTGCAGAGGATAGCCACGGACACTTGTATTGACGGGCTTAGCGACAACCTACCGGTGGAGGGTAGGAAAGCCGTCTCCGGGGATTGAGCCCGACAGCTCGCCCTTGCGAGGCCTTGCAAGAAGCGCTGGGTGAGGCCTACTGTGGCAGGATTTTCTCGATAGCCTAGCTCAGCACGTCCTGTGCCCCACCGGGACCTGAGCGGCCTTACGGCCGCTGGACGGAAAATACACACACACACACACACACAGCAACAGCCGCCGAGCAGTGTTTGGCCGGGGGCGCCTCGATTTCTGATACGTACTCGTAGCTCTCTTTATCATAAACTCGTCGATGCCATGTCGACGCCATGTCGAATACCGCGCCTTTAAAGTACCAATTTCATATGAGATTTAAAATTTGATTTTTTTAAAGAGCCAGTCTGGAGGACTAGTTAACTACTGAGGTTTAACGAGGTGCAGTGGTGGCCAAGCAGCCAACTTAGTAAGCACCCGTGTCTTATTACGTAGACCGAGAAGCCTTTGCTACCTTAATTCGCACTCCCTCACCCCAGAGCAAAGGCCGAGGTGCTCTTTTTCCCCGGCGGAACAGCGCCTAAACGCTCTTTTCCTCTCCACCGCCCAATTGCAGCCATCGGAGCGCTTACCGGAAACCTCATGGACCTCGGGCACTGGTGCCCGAGACTCTAGAGCGCGGCAGCTTAGACCCGCCTCTCTCTCCCAGCTCCAGCTGGCCCCAAACACATCATGGCCGCGCCCGATGGCGAAAGCGCAGCGACGCCTGCGCCGCCCAAACCCCGACTGAAGCTCAATGTCAGCCGCTCCTCGTCTCTCGTCGGAGACGCTTCTACCACCGCTGCCGCCGTCGCCGCCGCCGCCGCAGCTTCAGCCTCAGCCCCCGTGCCCGCCTCCGCGCGGCCTGTCCCCCTGGCTTCGTTCGCGACGACGACTTCGGCCCTGGCGACGCCCGGCGAAGGCGCCCCGCGCAAGGTCAAGCTCAAGATAAATGCATCGCAGCCCTCGACGCCCGCCGACAAGCTCCCTCCCGCGGCCAAGACCAAGGCCGGGCGGCAGCCCAAGCCGACGCAGAAGCTCGTCGAGAGCAAGAAGCGGCCGCTCCTCGACGACGACGACGACCTGCCGCTCGCCGTCACCGCCAAAAAGGCCGGCGGCGGCACGGCCACGCCCAAGGCAAAGATCAGGATTCGGCAGACGAGCAAGTCGGGCCCCACCCAAGTAGTGTTGAAGCCGCGTGGTCGTCCGCCCCATCACCCGCCCGGCGACGGCTACGACTCCGAGGCCAGCGACCGCGAGATCGACCCGGCCATCGAGGAGCAGTTTATCCTGCGCATGTTCCCCGGCGAACACTGCGAATACGTGCGCTCGTGCATGGAAAACGGCAAGATGGGGGTGCCCAGGAGCCAGGGCGGCGCCGACGTTCTGCTCAAGTTCTTCGACGAGGAGTCGCGGCGGGCCGTCGTGACGGTCAAGGGCCAGCCCTTTGCCGCCGTCATGGTCGACCTGCCCACCATCACCGAGGCCATGAAGACGTGGGACAAGAAGTCGCTCATGAAGTCGGCCGACGTCTGCCAGATGCTTCTCGTCTTCCAAAAGGTAAAGGACGACAATGAGGCCAAGACGGCGCCCCTGCCCCCCATGATCGACTCCAACTTCAAGTGGCCTCACGGCCTCACCCCACCCATGCACGACTGCGTCAACCGCCGCTTCGCAAAGACAATCAGCCGCAAGGAGATTGAGGACAAGGAGGCCGAGGTGGAGCGGCTGCTGGCCGAGGACGCTAAGGCCGTCTCGACCAGGTGGGAGTGGGTGGAAGAGCGCCGCCAGGAGGCCGACGACGAAGACGTGGCTGACGAGGACGCCGAGGGCGAGGTCGACGACGGCATGAGCTTCTTCGGGGCCGCCCCGTCCCTCGCCCCGGGCGACGTCGACGACAACGACCTGGAAGCCGACCTCGAGGCCGCCTTTGCCGACGAAATCATGGGCGGCACGCCCGCCACGGGCCTCGACGTGCCCACCCCGATGACGGCGCAGGTCGAGACCCCCGCGGCGGCCCTGCAGGAGAGCATTGAAAACGACGACGAGTCGGAAGATGACGACGATGACGACGACGATGATGACGATGACGACGAGGACCTCGACGAGGACCAGCGCGCCCAGCGCGATGAGGAGCAGGGCGTGCGCGACATCATAAAGGACCTCGAGGAGCAGCTCAAGCAGCGCATCAAGGACCTGGAAAAGACGAACAACAAGATCCTCGTCACGCGCGTCGAGAACCAGATCAAGCAGCTGCGCTCCGAGATTGAGCTCAAGAAGTCGTCCATTGGCATGGAGACGGATGACTGAGAGGGGACTGTCTTGTCTGTCGCTCGGCGTTTTTGTGGTGTCGAATTGGCTAGAGGAGAAAACTTGACACAATGAATGGCAGGGTGGCCAACGGGCTGGCCACTTCACGTCAAGAGGGACGGCGTTTCTTTTGGTACAGGGCGGCACATGGTTTCTCGCCGAGGTCGTTGGGACCAAAGATATCCACATAGTTGTTGAAGCGCTTTGCAAGCAGCTACCCCTTATCCTCTCGTTTCCTTCTTGCGCCCTCGGACGCGCGGGTCGTGAGGTCGTTCCCCTCAATAGGGCTCGGAGACAAAATCGACGGCATTCGCAGCGCAGCGCACGCAGAGAGCCTTTATATTTACATCTAGCCATCAGATATGGCCTTGGCCCATGCCGGAAAACACACATTTCACATCATCGGACACACTCTGCGCGACTCTACTTAGCCCTATTGCTTATCCTCGAGGGCAGCGGGCACGACACCCTGCAACAAGACGACAGGTGAGGCAGGTCGCGCAGCTCGTCAGCGAGGGCCGTTTGGGTGGCTCCATGCCTTCGCGGATAGCCCCGCCTGCTGGCGCAGCGCCTCGGCAGCCTTGTCCCGGCCCCTGACCAGGACCACCTCGACCGTCTCAATCACGTCTCTCCACGTCACGTCGCGGCAAAAGTCCTCGAGCGACCTGGGCCGAGAGCCTGTACGGGGCCGTCGGCCGCTCTGCTGGTGCTGGTGCTGGTGCTGCTGGTGCATGTGCCTCTGTATGGCTTTTTGGATCAAGACGGCCACGGCGGGGTCGCGCTTGGACTGCTGCTTGAGGTAGTTTGCGACAAAGTCGGCGTCGGCGAGAGTCGTGGTCTTGTGATCGCGGTGCCAGCGGCGGGTTGAGCTGATGGCTTCTTGAATGCGGCGCCTTGGGGTCTGCCTGATGCAGTCTGCCGTCGATGTGTCCCCGGTTAGCTCCTTGATCTAGGGGGCAGCGGACCTGTTTGGAGAGAAGCCATGGGAGAGCGAACCTGTGCGGCAATGGACCAACGTCGGAGTGCGCTCTGTTGCTGGCCCTGTCCGCGCCGTTGACGCCGTGTCCGGCTCGAGAGTATCCTGGGTTCCATCTGTGCGGATGCTGCCCGCCAAGTACTCGCCGTCCAGCTCGGCCGTTGCAGGAAAGGAATCGAGCTGGCTGGCCATGGCGTCAATCAAGTCCCGCAGGCCGCTGACCTCGCGCCGGACCTGCTGGCGGAGGTCGTCCGTCTCGCGGCGGCACCTCTCAAACTCGACCTTGAAGTCAGCCTGGCGGTCCCTGCACTGGTCCATCTGCGTCCTGACGGCCACAATCTCGCGCCAGACGTCGGTGACGCGCTGCTCGTGGGCCCTGCGGAACTCCTTGTCCTGGCCGGTGCACACCACCAGCTCGCGGAGCTCCTGCTCGAGGCGCTCGGCCTGGGCGCTGACGGCGCGCAGGTTGAGCTCCACCGTCATCTTGGCCAGGGCGTCGGCCCGGGCCAGCAGCCCCGGGTCGGCGGCGGCGCGCGGCTGTTGCTGGGCCGCTGTCGGCGTCGACGATGAAGACGTCGGGGCCACGATGACCATGTCCGAGGACACAATGGCGGCCCCTGGGCTGCGTGTCGGCAGGGGCCCGGCGGGGACGGAGCGTCGTCGCTGAGCCATGGGTTCAGGGGCAGGCGAGGAAGAGGGCCGGGTCTTGTCGGCAAAGCCAAGATTTGCCGTTGAGCCGTGTGACGCTCCGAGCCTGAAGACTACGGACAGAGATGGGAGCAGACTCGAAGTATGCTTATGTTGAGGAAGCCAGGCCGTTCGTTCGTTGCCGCGGCAAGTTGGAGTCCGTCCATGGATCTCCCACCCCTGTAGAGGCTGGGGTTTCGATGGCTCCAAGTTCTTTCTCTTCGGCCCACGATGAGAGATGAGAGCAAGAGAGCAGAGACGGGCTTCAGCCCCGCGGCAGAATCACGCCGGGCGGTGGGAGGGGAGGAAGAAGGAGGCGGTGAATGGGCGGGCGTTGCCTTCCGTTTTTGGGGACTGTGGGTGGAAGTCGAGGGAGGGCAAGAGGGACCGCAGAGTGGTTGCCCTTTTTTAGATCAGCATGGCATTAGAGCCTCGAACTCAGCTGATGACATCGACGGCGAGCTCCCATAGCAAGATCAACTCCAAGAGCAGCCCGCCAAATCTCCCCGACCCCCCCGGCCTCACCTGGCCCCCTTGTTTGCCCCCTTGTCCCTCTCCTCGGCGATCCAGCTTAAAAACATGTCGACGTCCTTTGCAATCTGCGTCGGCACCGCCATGCGCTGCACCCACGCCGGCAGCACGCCGCCGGCATCCGACGCCGTCGCCATGGTCCACTCGATGCCGCCGGGCGTCTCCCGCAGCCGCTCGACGCTCGTGTAGACGCCGCGCACCGCGCTGCCGCCTCCGTCGTCGCCGCCGTTGTCAGCGCGCGGCGCCACGGCCGCAATCTGCACCACGACAAAGTCGCGCCGCCCGCGCGCCGACGCCGTGGCCTGCAGCACGGGGAAGACGCGCGCCTTGAGCGGCGGCGGCAGCTTGTGCACCGACTCCTCGAGCTTGAGCGTCCAGTCGGTCCACCCGTCGACGTCGACGCCGCCGCAGTCGTCCCACTGCCGCCTCACGCGCGTGCTGAGCACCGTCGGCGTAAACTCCCTCTCCGCCTCGGCGTGGTCGTCCTTGAAGCACCGCACCCACTCGGCCCAGCTCGCCGTGCCCCGAGCCGCCGCGTCCTCGTGCACGCTGCGCCGCGCCGCCCACGTCTCGGCCCGGACCTGCGACGACGCGTCCACGACGCTGGGCGGGAGGGCGTGCTCCTTGGCCACGGAAGCGAGCGCCGCCGCCGGAACGGTTCGCTCGAAGAGGTGCACGGGCGAGATTGAGTGGGGGAACGTCTTGACTCCCTTGGCCTTCCACGGGGAGGAGGAGTCGCCGGTGGTAGAGGTGGTGCTCGGCGACGACGCCGCCGACGTCGACGGAGGAGCGGAAGAGGGAATGGTTTCGATAAAGGGCAAGGCTTCGCTCAGGATGGACTTGAGTAGGGGCCTCAGCTCCTCGCTCGAGGCGGATGGCGACGGCAGCTGCGAGGAGACGTCGACGCCCCAGAGGCGGATCAGAGGGCCGTACTTGTCGGCCATGTCGCAACACTTGGGTCGTGTGCCGTGTGTGTATGAACGCTATGGCCGGCGTGAGCACGATGGTATAAGTGTACCGTGTCCTGGGGTTCGGTTCAACGCCCTCTCTGCAGCCTGTGTTGTGTATGATATGAGGTCAGCGACGCGTGGTTACGTGGTTGAGTGGTTGACGTCTTCACTCTCCAGGGACCAGTCGTTGCGCCATTGGCTTAAAATGGCTCAAGCGGCAGCTTGCGTGACTGGGAGCTGTCTGTCCAGCCGCCTCAGCGTTCTACGGTACTTTGTATTGAGCTGAACCTGGGCACATTATTACGTACTTGCCGCGCGAGGATTCCAGTTTCCGTTCTTCTTGTTCTGTTCTGGATTAAGTATAAGACCTTTTCACTTCGTGCGAGGTCATCTATTAGAGAAACTGGTGTCGTGAGCCGCCTGCACATGCTCCATCCAGCCAAAGATGCAAAACGCCAGCCCCAAACACCGTATGCACATAGGTATATACGCCAAAAAGACCCTCTTCGTCCCTCAGTTTCTCCTCTCCCAACGAACCTTGGCGGGCTCTAGCGGCCGCGAGAAGAGTGAGGCGTAGTCGGTGCCAATCAGCCCGTTGCCCCCGTCCACGTTGCTCAGCTTGACAAGGCGCACAACCTCGGCCACAATGGTTTGCAGCTGAACGTTGGCAAACTGCTCGCCGATGCACCGGTGGCGGCCCGCTCCAAAGGGCAAGTAGGGCGATGCGGCGCCCTTGCTGACCATGCCGTAGCCGTAGTCAATCTTCTCTTCCTCGGCCTTGTTGCGCACAATGGTCGGGGCATTGGGCGAGTCGGCCTCCCAGCGGTGAGGGTCCCACTCGTCTGGGTTGGGGAAGTAGGTCGGATCGTTGGCGCTGACGCCGGGAGCGGCGAGCAGGGTGTGCGACGTCGGGATGACGTACTTTGTGCCGGGGACGGGCATCGGCTGCTTGACGGCGCGCATGATGGAGTGGATGGGGGCATGCAGACGGAGCGTCTCTTTGACGATGGCCTGGTTGAGCGGGAGCTTGGCGAGGCTCTCGTACGTCAGGGGCGGCAGGTCGGCACCGAAGGCATTGACCTGCTCCTGGTAGAGCTCCTCCATGATGTCGGGGTATTGGGCCAGGCGAAGCATGATCCAGGAGCTGGTGGACGAGGAAGAGTGCTGGCCGGCCATGAGCAGCGCAATCATCATGTGGGCCACCTCGTGGTCCGGGACGGGGGTGCCGTTCTTGTACGCCGAGTTCATGAGATGCTTCATTATGTCCAGCTCGTCGTCGGCCTCGCCCTTGGCACGCCGCTCCTTGATGGTGTCCATGTAGATCTTGGCCACGGTGCGCTGGGCATGGTCGCGCTTGCGGTTCCAGGGGAGCGGGGCCCAGTGAAGCATGAAGTTGATGGGGGTGAAGCCCATGTCTAGGTCGTGGTAGAGGGCGGCGAGGGACGTGTCGAACTTGTTGCGGATGGCGCTGCCCTGGAGCGCGTGGGAGGCGGTGAAGATTGTGATTTCAGCCATCTTCTTGGGAATGTCGACGATGCCCGACTTGGCCTTGAAGTCGGTATCCCTCTTGAAGTAGGACTGAACCTCGCCCGAGATGATGGGGACGTAGGAGCGGAAGGCCTCGGCGGTAAGCGCGATCTTCATGAACTAGATGATGGGATGAGCCGTCAGCAGTTCGTTGTAGTTGGCATCAGACGCGCACCTTTTTCTGCTCCATCAGCTTGGCGTTGGGGCAGTCGTACACGACGTCGCTGCCAAAGACGGGCGTGGTCAAGACGGAGTAGATCTCCTCTGCGTTGACGTCCTTGAGCCTGCCGTTGAGGATGAAGTCGTTCCCGGCCGGGCCCACGGCAACAGTCGTCTTCTTGCCGAGGAGGACAAAGGTGAAGACATCGCCGTGCTACACGACGCGTTTAGCATCGAGCCAAGCCACGGACACGGGGAGGGGGACCGACTTTTGCGCGGTTCTCCTGGAAGAACCGGGGCGGGTCCATGCCATAGGTGATGGTGCTGCCGATAAAGGGGAACCAGTGGAAGACGAGGGGGGGCTCGTTGGGGTTCTTGTTCAGCATCTGGTTGGCGATGTTGGCGAGCACCGACAGGGCGAGGAAGCCTCCGAGGGCGATTGCAATCTGCGACGCCCAGCCGAGGGCCTGGAACTGCTGCGCGAGCGGATGGCCCGCGACGGCGCTGACGAGGCCCATTTTTTGATTGTCGTGAAGCCGCCGATTGCTTCCGGTCGAGTTCGCGATTCGAGTTCGTGAGGCAATTCGAAAGAGTCGGGCTGGATGCGGCTTTGTTCGACAGCTCGCTCGCAAGACGACCAAGTCATGCACGCTGTCACAAGCAGGGGCGGAAAAAAAGACCAGGAAAAGAAATGATGGACTGATCGCTCGGCAGCCGCCCACCCGCAGCACGCCAGGGGGGGTCGGACATGGAGGATGGATGATGGATGATGTGGGGCGTGCAGATGCCAGGAACCGCCCAATCAGGGCGGGGCCATAGGGGCGGACACGCTCGTATTCGTATTCGCGAGCCTTTGCCTTCTTATTCTCCGTTCGCCTGCTGTTACTTACCCCTGGGCTTGGGCCGTTATATGGACATGTTGACGCGTCGTACTCGTATTCTCGTCCTCGACGCCGACACGGCCTTATCTATGTATGGAATGCATCGAAAGTCTGCTGCAAACTCTGCCCTGCAGTCCGCCTCGCTCTACGGAGTATATCGAGCATCACTTCATCATCTTTACGCGGTGTCACCCACAGCCTCCAACCATGCAACATACTTCATGTATTTGCATCGCGGGTGAAGAAAGATGCGACAGACCATCCGAGCAGGCTTGACGCCTCGCATACATGTCTGCGTCCTCATCATGTGCCCTCGGCCGGACGTCTGCTCAGACACGATCCGGGCTTCCGCTTATATCAGAAAAAGACGCAACGCAGTCCTCCCTCCCACAAAAGACGACCCGACCAAGTACCTCTCCTGGCCATGGCTGCTGAATCTCGCGCAGCTGGTATATTGGTGTGATTCGACATGGCGCTCTGCTGCAAACCCACGTCTTGCAGCATCGTGTAGACCTCCTTCATATATGCACCCACCCGTCCTCCATTCAACACAGGGTCGCCGTGTCTCGTGTCCGCAAGTCGACTCATTAAATCCAAGCACCTCGTTGCTCTTGGATGCGCCAGCCTCCAGATCCAGAATTCCTTAGGAAACCGAGCAAGAACCCAGGCTCTGCGTTTGGTTGTTGCCCCTCAGCCCGCTGCCCTCACGCCTGCGCAACGATGCTCTTCCCCACCGCTCCCCACCGTAGCCTCCGGAGACCGCCGCCAGATGAGCGGATGACTTCGCGACCGCAACGCGTCGTCTCGTTGACGCCGCTCACGCCCGCCGACAGCGTTTCTTGGCGACCCACCTCCCGTCCGATGACATAGCCCGCGCCGAAGCCGACCGCCGACACGAGAACGACGACACCTGCGCTCATCACCCAGGTCAGCAGGGTGGGAGAGATCAGGGCGTCCTCGGCCACGGCTGCCGCCGTCTTCTTCTTCTTGGTGGCCCGAGGACTCCGACCTGTCGACACGGCTCGTTTGGACTTGTCGGCGACGGCTGCACTGGTCCTCGTCGGCGACTTGTCCGGGGACATCCGTGCATCGGGATGTGGCAGCGAGCTAGGCTGAGTTGATACTGCGTTCTCCGTCAACTCGGACTCGGGGACCAGCCTGAGTTCCATGGGTTGATTGCTCGGGCCAATGCCGTTGCCTCCCAACTGTCGCGCTTCGGCTTCCTCCTTCGTCTTGGGCAGACCCCGGGCGGCTGCGGCACAGGATAAGAGGGTCGTCAGCGATGCCCGCAAGGCCGCATCGTTGTCCTCGCGGCTTGTCGGTGACATGAAGTTGCGGTGGACTCTGGTCTGCGAACGCTGGGAGAATGACGGTCGAGAGAAACCACCGTGAGGATGAGGAGGTGCCGCGCTGGTGGCAGAGTGGCTTCGCCGAGGAATGTGGGATGGTGGATGGGAGAAGGCGTTGGGCTGAGGCCGATAGACGGGTCGGTCCGATGCTCGGCCAAGGGCAGTGGCGTTGTCGCCGTCGTCCGAGTCGACGTCCGAGTCGTCGCTGACCTCATGGCGTGCCGGCTTTGTGTTCTCCGTTGAGCTTGTGAGAAGCTGGTCTTCCTCGCTCTCGCTCTCCTCATATTCTTCTTGGCTGCTCGTCCCTGCGGCAGGAGTAGTTGTATGACGCTGGGGCAGCTGCGTTCTGGTCGAAGGCTGTACACGGCGGCGGCGGCGAAATGGGCTGACGACGCGCAAGCCCGTTGTGACGATTTCGTCGCCGACGCTCGACAGTGACGAAGACGATGGCTGTGAGGAGACCTCGACCCACGATTCTGGTATCTCGTCAGCTGGCTGGGCCTGTTAGACACAAAGACTCGAGAGCCTTACCGTCAAACCTGCGGCGATTCGGCAGGCCTGGACTCGACCTGGCCGCGGCCGACTGCATGTTCTGGCTTGCCATGTCGGCGGGGATCTGCGATGGAGCAAGGATCGCGACCCCTCGTACGGGTTCCGGTTGGAGTGTCTGTGGCTCAAACTCGAGTCTTTGACGATGACGGCACCGGGGTACGGATCGGTACTTTGGCTGCCCCGCCTGGAGGGATTGCGCGGGGATTGAGCGCCACGTTGATGGAGCGCTCAGAGGCTATCGTTGACGAAGGGTTTTAAAAAACCTTTGCACGCCAGAGCCCAAGCGACACAAGGAAAGGGCGTTTGTTATGGCAAGAGGGAACAAGGAACAAAGGAATGACGGCGTGGGTGGCCGGTGAGGTTGAGCCAGATGGACTTGTTGAGAGATGGATGAAATGGGTCAACGACACCCCCTCCTACGTGCTCTGTCGCGGCATTGGATCGAGTAGCGGTACATGCTCGGCCGACCCATGCTCACAGTGCGAACGCGTCACGGGGCGTGGCGTCGCACACTTTGCCTAGGCCCCCCCGTCCCCCTACAAGCTTTGCTGCTCTCCTTGTCTCCGTGACATGTGGGAAGATGGGCGCCACCCACCACCTCCAGGCTGTGCATCTTAGCCCGCTGCACTTAGCCCGCTGCACTGTACAGTACTCGTGCCAGCCGAATTCGGACGTGGGCACGCCATCAATGCGTCGGCCCATACTCCGTACATGGGCGGTGAGTCTGACCAGGTACTAGTACCGATACCGCCTCTCGACGCTCTCGTCGCTGGTATTGTCCTCGCACATCATGGCGACGCCTCTCGCACCTTATCTCGCAGAGGCCACGGTAGTAACAGATAAGCTAAGTTAATTATGTACCTGCTCCAACAAGCACGGCTTCGTCTTCTTGCTCACGACACGCGCGTCCCCATGCGACTGAAGCCCCATCGCAAGTGGCTGCGTGCGGTACTCGTCTGTCCTGTCCAACAACCGTCACAACGCTCCCATCTTCCAGGCAGATGCGCAACCAGGCCATGACTTCGATGCCCTTGTGATCACTCGCGCAAACCACGCGCGCACCTCAGCTCAAACCCGGCTCAGCCCCTCGCCTCGGCCTTTACTTGTACTGCCGCCGAGGAGCTTGTCCCTTCTTGTTGGCCGACTATGTAAGTTGGGCGCTTCCCGCGTGCCGTCCGGAAGAGGCAATCAACTCGTCGATTCCATGCCTCGACACTGCGCCCCTTCTTCAGACATCTGTACAGTACCATGCCTGCAGTACTTACCTACCTAGGTAGGTACTGTAGGTACCTAATTACTTACCCAATGGTACCGTAGCAGGTCTGGCCCGCGTAGGTGCTCCGACTCCGCCAACGAGCTGATACAACATACTGTACGATGCATCACCCGACGAGGGACGGCATTTCAAATTTCGCTTAAGCTCTCGGCCACTTCTATTATCATTATTCTCAAGTGCACCCCTTCACTTCGGGCAGGGTGCGACTGGCGAGTCAAAACAGCAAATTTACTTTTCCTTCGTTGTTGCCAACGCCCGTGAATGAAGCAGAGTCTATGATTGCGAGTGGTGTCAGAGGCAGCATAACTTACCCCGTGCATTGCAAACCGACGGAGCACCGCCTGAATGCCACAGCCGTAGCTTGCTACAGCTTTCCAATCAGCCCAGAGTATTTGCATATCAAGAGCCCCCAGATCCCTCAGAAGTGTTTGTACGAAGATCATAGGCGGACCTCCGTAGAGACCGTTCCAAAAAGGCCGTCAAATCCCTCAAGAAGCCCTCTGAAGTTTTGCCGCCGAAGCGACAATGCTCCCTCAGAACCCGCAATCAAAAAGCCGCAAAGAAACGCCATCAAGCATGTCCCCAGTCAACCAGGGTGATGCCACGAGCCCACGGTTCGAGAAATAAGCCCCCAGGTCTATCGACGCTCCGCAAGGAAGCGAGATCCCACAAAGTCCACAGCCTCGTCTTGCGACGAAGCCTGGACTGGTTTGGAAACCGACAGCCCACATAGCCCACTCTAGGATGGATCGCCGCCAACAGCCCTCATGCTTCCTTGCCTAATCGAAGGAAATCTTGGTGCCCGAGTAGCCCGCGCCTCCTCGGGGGCCGCCACGACCACCGCCACGGCCGCGGCCACGTCCACGGTCTCCTCCACGTCCACGGCCGCCACCACGACCGCCACCGAAGCCGCGGCCACCGCCACGGCCGCCACCGAAGCCACCTCCTTCACGTGGCGGCGGACGGCTGCTGGCATAGTCCAGACGAACACTGCGAGCTGATCGACCCTCTCCAATAGAAGCCCCGTTGAGCTCCTGCAGTGCGCCCTTGGCATCCTCAACAGAGTTGAAGCTCACGTAGCCGAAGCCCTTGAGGTTTCCGGTCTCACTGCACCATGTGTCAGAGTAATGTACGAGCGCGCGTTGGCAGGGAACGGAGGTCCTTACGGGTCAGTCGGCAGGCGAACGCTTGCGACCTCGCGTGACGCAGCAAAGAACTCGCGAACAGAGTCCTGGTCAACACCGAAGGGCAAGTTTCCGACAAAAAGAGTGTCGCTCTCCGGGCTGATTGAGTCGCCGTGCTTCTTGGCCCGATCGGCAGCCCGGTCCCGAGGGTTTGCGTCGGTAGAACGCGCGTTGGCGTAGTCCAGGTTCAGCGTGCGACCGTCGAGCTCGTGCCCCTGCATGGCCTCGTAGGCTTTGGAGGCGGCATCCGAGTCGGAAAAGTCAACGTATCCAAAGCCACGGCTCTTGCCGGACATCTTGTCGGTGACGACGCGGGCGTTAACGAGGCCCTCGAAGTCCTTGAAGGCCTCCCACAGGGCACTGTCGTCGGTGCCCCAGCTCAGGCTGCCAACGAACAGCGTTGATGCGGCTTCGGCATTCTCAGTCTTGGCCTTCTTCGGCGTGGCATCGATCTCGCTGTCAGCCTTGCGCTTCTTGGAGGCAGGTGCAGCCTCCGCGCTCTCAGATGAAGAACCGTCAGAGTCATCCTCAGAGTCGTCGCTGTCATCCGAATCGTCCTCAGAATCATCGGAATCAGCAGCCTAAGCAGGTGTTAGGTTTTGCAACGATGGTAAAGCGTGTCGAAGCTACAAACCTTGACAGCACTAGGCTTCTTGTCATCGCTCTCTTCGTCAGAGTCGGAGTCAGAAGAATCGGACGAGGCAGCGGTGGCAGCAGCAGCGGCCTTGGCAGAGCCGTTGACCTTGGCGCCGTTGGTCTTGGCCTTGGTCTCGGCCTCATCAGAGTCACTGTCAGACTCAGAGTCGGAGGACTCAGCCTTGACCTTGCCGTTGGCCTTGGCAGCCGGCTTCTTGACCTCCTCAGAGTCCGAGTCAGAGGAGCTGTCGGAAGCATCAGAATCGCTCTTGTTGTCCGATGAATCGGAGGCTTGCTCCTCCTCAGAAGAATCGTCCGAAGACTCGGCCTTGGCAGCCTTCTTCTTGGTTTCCTTCACCAGCTTCTTGGCGGCAGACTTGGCCATCTCCTTGGACTTGGACTTGGGAGTCTGCGCAGGCTTGGTAACGCCGGCCTTCTTGACAGCGGCGATGGGCTCAGAAGGCTGAGCCTTCTTGCTCTGCTTGGTCTTGGACTTGGCCATGGCGACTGTATTGTGGAAGGGAATGCGTCGAGGAGTTTTGTGAAGAAGGGAAGAAATGGGGACGCGGAAACACTCTGATTGTCTTGCCTGGCAGAGATGGAAGAAGGAGGGGAAAAGTCCAGGGACGAGTGAGTGCAGGAAGTTGTTTCTTATAAGAGAGTTGGGAGGCGGCAGGCCGATGGTGGGCGGCGTGCAGATTTTTTTTTCCTCACAGCTTTTTTCCGCCAGACAAATTGCGGGGCTAGTGCAAGGCGGTGAGGCTGTCGGGCGGTACGTACTTTCGGCCATCTGTGCTGCCTCGGATCTCAGGCTCCATTGGTTGCTAGCGCATGTCGGATGATGCTTGTGTCGAGGTAGACACACTCTCGCCTCGAAGCGCCCGCGCAATCGTCTCCTCTGCCTTCTCTCCCTGCGACTCCGAGCACGACGGCGACTGCTCTAGAAGCCTGGTGCTTTAGCGCTCGACAACATGCCCACCCCCGAGTCCGAGCTCTTCAAGAGCCAAAAGCCCACGGTTCCCCCGACTTTCAACGGCGTCGACTACGACGACACAAAGGCCTTCAAGGCGGCCGAAGATGCTATCATCCGGGAACAATGGGTGGGCGCCATGATGACCCGACTAGTCGGCGAGGAATTGAGCAAGTGCTACAGACGCGAGGGCGTCAACCACCTCGAGAACTGCGGCCGTCTGCGCGGTAAGTCACCAGTCCGAGCTATGAGCCGCGAGACGTGGCACTGACAGCCTGCTCAGAGCGGTACCTGGAATTGCTGGCGACGACCAAGATCAAGGGGACCAAGTTCCTGCAGCAGAACTACATTGAGAAGATGGACGAGGAAATGGACCGCCAGGCCAAGGTGCACACGAGCGACAAGATTGCCAAGATTAATGAAAAACGATTCTCCAGTTGATCCGAGATGGGAAGGCGAGGAACTGGCGTCGCAAGCGCATTGGGATGACTTGAGGGAGGGAGGAAACGGTGTCTTGTGGAATATTCCTGTGCCCGATCTCGTCTTGATGTTACTGAGTTGGTTGCGCCGAGAGTACTTCGTGCCAGCTGTGTACTATGCGAAACCTGTGCGCCACAAGCAATACAATGGTTAAGAACTTCAGCTTCTAGTGAAATCCTGATTGACTCAATTCATTACCGTGTTCGTCGTGTAGAATGGCAGCTCTGTCGGCCGGCAGCCATCGGCGTTGCAAGGCTCACGTCCATGTGGAGTAGCGGCCGACCCGCTGACCTCATTGGCCAGCCAGCTGCACGCTTCACTTCCAGATTCTCAATCTGAGGAGCCTCGTCTTCAGCACGCCGACCGCGACGGCGACCACCCGCACAGCCTCCCCTCACCAGACAACCATGATTTGCACGCGGTGCCTCCGTGCCGCGGCATCGGGGTGGCAGCTGCCCACTGTGCGGCGGTTGTCGACCTTTTCCCCGTTGCGATCTTCCGACTCGACGCCGTCCGCTCCTCTCAGCGAGCTGAGCGAGGCTCCTCAACCAGCCGGCATTCAGCGGTCAATATGCCCTGAAGGAACCATACTCTCTGGGCTGAACTACATGAAGGGAGGCAAGGACCCTGTGGCCTTGAAGGACGAGGACTATCCCAAGTGGCTGTGGTCGTGCCTGGATGTCAAGGAGAAGAAGAGCTCCGGCGCAGCAGACGACGCGGCTGCCGACGAATATTGTAGGTGATATTGGCGCATTGTCCACGACCCTTTGCCCCTACACTGAAGCCTTTTGCTAATGCCTCTTTCTCTCCCTTGACTGCAGCGAAATCCAAAAAGCAACGACGACTAGCCGCCAAGCAGCAGAAGGACCGCGAGGCCAAGCTCCTGGCTTCGGGTAACTTGGACGCCCTGGCTCCCAAAATCCCTCTTCAGCACCAATCCATCAACCTGCCCGGCGAGGAGGGCGGCAGCGTCGAGGAGAACATTGCGGCTGCGGACAAGCGTGAGGACCTTAAGAAGGCTATGCGCCAGGAGCGGAAGGCCAAGATCAAGGAATCCAACTACCTCAAGTCCATGTAAGGGTTCGGCTGGCAGAGGGACATTGCGCAATGCGGCATGGGGAATGCCATGCATGTAAAATATCATTTCTTCTTGCACTCATAGGCCACGAAGCCAATGTGGCACCGTAACCGTTTTCGTCGGAAGCATTTCGCCATACTTTACGACATGTGAGACCTCGCTCATAGGCCACCACGCAAGCACATCAACGGTGTCTTCACAACAGAAAGCTTCCTCAGCCCCATCCATGCAGTCATCGACTCTACATTGCGCCCAGATCCAGAGGCACGCTGCTTCCTCTCCCTGCGCGGTATTTCTTGGGGCCGCCAACGAAATCTCGAGGTTTTGGAAACAGACTCTCGTCCTTGAACTGCCATCTCGCATCGTCGATAAAAATTCGCCCTCCGCCGGTACAGGGGGTTGGAGAATGAGAGGAATTGCGGTTCGGACTCGGCGACTTGGAGCCATTGGTTGACAGAGTGAAGGTGCTCGCGTCCAGCAAGGATTTATGGAGAGACGACCCGCGGTTTCGCGCTTGTGGTGGTGGAGGAGGAGGGGGAGGAGAGATCGCCGTCGGCGGTGACGGAGCCGCGTTGGGAGGGGGTAGCGGCGGCGCAGAACCCGACGACGATTGCTCGGCCGCCCGAATGGCTGCTTGCGCAGCTAGGGAGGGTGCTGAGGAGGGCGGCAGGCCCGGAGGAGGTGGAGGCTGCAACCGCGGAGCAGGGGAAGAGGCCGACTGCGGAGATCCCGCCGCTGGCGGAAGGGGAGGGGCTGACGAGGGCAGCCCGGGGGCTGACGAGAATGGAGGGGGTGGAGGTGCCGGCGGCGGCACTGCTTTCGACGAGGGCTTTCGAGATGTTGGCAGAGGGGGGGGCTTCTTCCCTATTGGTGGCGGAGGACCCTTCAAGCCTGCTGGTCCGCTGGTCTTTCGCCAGCCACCAGCGCTGCCAGGCGGCGGAACCGGGGGCCCGCGTCCCGGGATAGCTGGCGCAGCGCCGGAGGGCCGCTTCGGCGCGGAGAATCCGGGTGGTTTCGGGGCCGAGCGCACGGTTTCGCCGGGATCCGAGAGATAGGACGAGTCTGCGTTCGCGCCAGTGTCGACGCCTCCTCCTCTTTTTTTGAGTTTAGGCATGCCGCCCGCAAATAAGCCTCCCAGCTGAGGAGCCGAGTCGACGCCCGCGGCCGCAGTCTGACCGGAGCCATGGTCACTGTTGCTCCGAGCACGATTGCCAGGGACCGGGGGTGCGAGACCTCCAGGGACTGGAGGGGCGCTGCCAACGGCAGGGACGGATGAGGACGAGCTTTTGGCGATAGCTGGTGCCGAGCGATCGTTGGTGGTGGCCTTTTTCAGGGCTCGGCCTTTGCTAATATCAGAGAGGAGTGCGTTCTAGCAAAGATAGTCAGCCGTGAGGTTCGACGAAGCAAATCGGGGCGCTTTGAGTCGTACCCTGTTCCCAGCCGGCGGACGCGCAGGCAGGCCATTGGCACCGGGGGCTCCTCCAGGGGGAGGAGGAGGTGGTGGAGGGCCGCCTCCGCCTGGAGGTGGTGGCGGAGGAGGCGGGGGAGGAGCAGGCATGACGGTCTTGGCGCCTTTCCAGTCGTCGCAAGTTTGATGATGCTTTGGAGATGGGCTGTCGGAGGTGGCCAGATATTTGAACGGGACGAGCAGTGCAGGGACAAGGAGCGAGCCGCCCTTTGTGTTTCGCAACTATTCCTTGGCCGGCTTTTTCTCTATGTTGCTCGTCACTGTTCACCTGCGCTGGCCGAGAGTCGTGCGTTGTTGGGGTCGCGGCCTGCACTTGGAGTCAATTTCATGAGCGCCGTGCGGATGGAAGGACGAGGATAGAGAGAGGATTGCGCAGCGAGGCTCGCGACGTGGTCGGCGCTTGAGGCGAGGTGCCGTCATCAGCCAATATTGAATCCAAGCTGAGCCACGATTGGGCCCCACTACCGAGCAACAAGGCACCTCGTCATGTGAATAACTACGGATACTTTGGTACCTGAACTCGGGCGCCTTAGGTAAGCCGTGGAAAATGACGAGAGACTTGCCGCTGCGGGAGCACAGAGCACAAAGTTAACGGTGGAGACTTCAAGCACTTGACGTCTAGCATCTTTACATGCCCTCGGCTGGTAAAAGTGCTAGGTGCCCTGCATTCGGAGCTCTCTCAGCTAACAGCCACGGTAGTGCCAGTATTACCTTTCGCTCCCAAACTTCCGCCTCTCCCTGCCTCTACAAAACACCCAACCTCGAGGCCAAAGCTTTGCCCCCGACAGCGCTGCAACGAATTGGCCTTGTTCGGGGACGCCCTTGCAGGTCCTGCCGTGCCTCAGTTCGCCGACGAAATGATGCAAGGCGCCAGCTCGCGCAGGGTTGGCTTCTTCTGCGACTCCTGCGCCCTTGTCCGGATGCGAAGGCCGTCGTCTTTGGCTCCTTTCTCCGTCTCCCCACCAGCCCGCCGACCATGCAAATCGTTCATCCGGAAGCCCGTATCGACAAGGTGGATATCGGCGGCAGTGACGAGCGCATCGACTGAGCCTGGGGCCGAGACGAAACGGACGGCTGCGGTGCAAAAGGCGCAGCCGACGCCAGATCCCAACGGGCTGGCAGAGGTCGCACAGGATAGTCGAAACAAGTTCCTATCCGTCGACGGGATTCCAGCCCCGCAATTGACGACGGCCGCGCTTCAGTCGTGCCTGCGAGCCGCCGCGGCCCTGCATCCCCAACTCAAGAGAGCTGAGGCCCAATCGAGAGCATCAGCCTCGAGGCTCGTGGCCCTGGGCGCCGAACGAACCGGGGCCCGGCTGCCCATTGATGCGCGGCTGCAGGACGCAATCAGCAGGATCTCGCACTCGGCCTATGAAATCATTACGCACCCAAATGTGGAGATGACGCCCGAGTTCCTAGAGCTCTACGTCCAAGTCCAGGCTCAACTGGGACGACCCGAATCTCTACCCTCTGTGCTGGAGCTATATGCGATTAAACCGAAACCGACTGTCAAGGACGGTATGATCCAGCATGTTCGGCGAAATCCCAATTCGCCCATGAGGGCGATCGAGATTGACACAGCTGAGCTGGCTCTTCAGACGGCCATTGAGGCCAGGAATCTCGACTCTGCGCTCGGCATCATCGAGGCGGCATACTGCGTGCCAGCATTCAGACGCCAGAAGCTCATCAAGCACACTACTGTTCCCGCCCTCGGCCTCGCCAGTCTTCCTTTTGGTATTTTCGGGCTCTCGACGGCGTATGCCGCCTACTGGCAAAATACGATGGACATGTCGACGGCGACTGGTATCGCGTTTGCCGGCATCTCTGGCTACTGTTTCGTGGTCGGCTCGCTAGGCCTGATCGCCAAACTGGGCCACATGGACCACATGAAACGCGTGACGTGGACGCCCGGGACGCCGCTGCGGTATCGGTGGCTGAGGGAGGAAGAGCGGGCGGCCTTGGACAAGGTGGCCTGCGCATGGGGCTTCAAGGAGCCATGGAGATACGGGGAGGAGACGGGGCCCGAGTGGGAGGGGCTCAAGGAGTACATGGGATACAGGCAGATGCTCCTCGACCGTGTGGAGTTTATGGAAGGCATGAGCTAGCCAGGCGCTCGTGCTGTCTCGATCAGGGCTGCGCGCACCCGTCGCTGGCTGGCTGAGAGCCTTTGGCTCGTGTCTTTTTGGGCCATGGCTCGCAAGAGAGGACGGGCGCAAAGTTACCCCGTTGGGCTGCCTTTATTACTCAGAACAAACGTATTTATCCTCTGCTAGCTTTGCTACCGTCATGTGATGGAAGTCGGGGCGGACACGATGGACAAGAGCAAGGGCCGAGAGGCGGTGCATTGCGTTGCAGTGCAGGGCGAGGTTGCGGACGACTCCGGGAATGGGCAGCATCAATCAGCCAGGCGGGGAATGATTCCTCCGTTTCCCCTCGCTCACCACTCTCAGACATCTCGCACACCTTTTCAACCCCCCTCTACCCCCCCGAGTCCGCCTTCCCCCCAGAGTCCGCGGTTCCATGAAGCCCTCACTCGCCCTCGCAGGCCTGGCGATGGCCCTGCTCTCGGCTGCATCGGCTTCTGCCCAGGCCAAGGGCGTCGTCGATGGCGGCCCGTTCCCCGACGACCTCAACGGCTCCAACTTCACATACCCGTGGCCCGTCAAGCTCTTCCGATTTACCAGCCAGTTGCAGCCGCTGGAAATGGCCTTCATGGACGTCGGCCCCTCATGCGAGCCCAATGGCAAGACCGCCCTTTTGCTGCACGGCAAGAACTTTTGCGGCGCGACCTGGCAGACGACGATTCGCACCCTCGCCGCCAAGGGCTATCGCGTCCTCGCCCCTGACCAGATTGGCTTCTGCAAAAGCTCCAAGCCGTCCGGGTACCAGTTCAGTCTCAGCCAGCTCGCCTGGAACACGCGCGGCCTGCTCGATACCCTGGGCATCGCAAACGTCACCGTTGTCGGCCACTCCATGGGCGGCATGATGGCAGCCCGCTTCGGTCTCCAGTATCCTGAGACGGTGGACAGGCTCGTCTTGGTGGCCCCGGTCGGCCTCGAGGACTACGTGCAAAAGGGCGTCCCCTACATCACCATCGACGACTCGCTCGCCAGCGAGGCCGCGTCCACCTACCAAAGCATCCGCCGCTACGAGCAGGACGTCTACTACGTCGGCCGGTGGCAGTCGGTGTACGACACTTGGGTCAAGATGCTTGTCAACATCTACCACGGCTCTATGCGAGATGCCTACCTCCGCAACCAGGCCCAGATCATCGACATGGTTCTGACATCGCCCGTCTCGCACTTGTTTGGGGATATCAAGCCACGCACCTTGCTCATTGTCGGCGACAAGGACAAGACGGCCATTGGATCTCAATGGGCGCCCCCTGACGTCGCCAGAACACTCGGCCACTTTGATGTCCTGGGGCCCCAAGTGGCTCGTCAAATCCCCCGTTGCGCCTTGCGTCGGTTCGCGGACATGGGACATGCTCCTCAGGTCTCGGACCCTGAACGCTTCCACGAGGTCCTGCTGGCGTGGGTGACGGCGGAGTGAGACGAGAACCCCCGTGTCGGGGTCTGTTTGTGCCTTTCGAGTGCAGATGACGGCCAATGTGACGTGATGTGCGAAGGCGGTGAGCAAGAGTCGTTGACAGTCCAGTGCATTACGGGGTTGATACGGGCCCCTGCCAGCCACTGTCTTTTGTTCTCTGCCTTTGAACAGCGAATCAACTCGGTGGGAACAAAGAGGATTGGACCGGGGCGGCTTTGGTGAAAATGTCACCAAAGTCTCTGTTTAGCCCTCAAGCCAGGAAACGACTCAGGCTGGCGGAGGTGCGGACCTGGTCCCCATATTGTGCAGAAGGCGGCCAGCTGGACAGCACAAATGGTTCAGTCAGCGTGAGCGAGAACAGAGTGACGGACTCCATGGCAAGGCAAGCGGGTGATGATGTATATAACCGGCCGTCTTGCACTACTCAGTCTCGTCTTCTTTCGTCACATTCATCAACTCATCACGAAGTCTACACACATCAGCAGCCACGTTAAGAATTGCCGAACTACACAAGCCGAGGCCAAGTCGACTGGGAAAACAGCGAAAATGGGCGAAGCTATGCCTCGTCAACTGGACACTCGCGTGTGTTATCTGAAGTGGCCCGTGGTCCACAAGGAACGAGAATGTTTTGCCCCTAATGGATCCTTGAGCAATTGGAACTGCTTCGTGGTCGAGTATGGTGTTCCGCCGCCACCACCCGGACAAGTTGTCGCCGCCAAGAGCACCTTTCAGTTCTATGTTGTCAGTCGAGACGGCTCGGTGGATCAAAAAGGATTCGTGGTACCAATCAACAGAACGCCTCATCCTCTGCCCGCCGCCGAGGTTTACGGGTCGGAACTCGCGCTGCTCAAGGGAAAGACGGTCAATGCGAACAAGCGCATGCAGGCCCACGTGCGCATCAGCGGCGGTGGCAATCGTGACCAGTATAAGGCAGACGGCCCTTACCCGGTCGAGCCGCCCAAGCACTGGGAGACGGTGAAGACCTTGTCTGCAAGCGAGATCTGGGGTTTCCGCATCGAGCTTGAAGTCGAAAGCGGGCCCGTCAACTCGCCGCAGTCCGGCGCGAGGCGGGTCAGTGTGTACGACAAGTTGCCGAACCCGGCGACCCTATATGACTCAGTGCAGATGTGGTTCTCGCGCCCGGGTACAAGTACCGGTTCATCAGTCAATCTTTGCTTTCTGGATGGTATCAGCTCGCAATATGCTCCCTTGGAGGTGACGGAAATCAAGTATCTAAGCGACCACGAAGTCTACCCTGGGCAGGTGATTGAGAGCCGCATCCGCATCAAGCTCCGTCCTCGCACCTTGGCTCGGGCCTAGGCTGCACGCAACTCTGCCGGGCTGCCCCCGCGTCGACCGTCCCACGGCGGTGCTCGCCTGGTCATGCTGCGGGAGCGCCTTGCGCGCCGCCTCTGACCGATGCCAGGAATCTGTCCTGTCTGCCGGCCAGAGGAGTGGCCGTGGTGCCCGTGGAGGGAAAGACGACTGTTGCGGAAATGAACTGGGATAGTGTTGTTGATTCTGCGTGGATGGCAAGAAAAGATGGGGAAAAAAAGTTGGTCTTGAGAGGAGGAAAGGGGGCGATGCTCCCTAAGGTAGATGCAGAAAAGAAGCAAGAACAAAAATTTTCAGATAAAAATAAAAATCAAAGGCCAGTGACCAGCTCCGCGACAGGGGCCACTCGTTGGAAGCGTCTCCAGTTCTTTATAGATGCCTCTATTGTCTCGACGCATCTTCAGCCGCCTCGCCCTCGAGGGGTTGGTTCGGAAAGGTCTTCCCACTTCACCGGCAAACAACCGCCGTGTTCGTTTGTTCAAACCGTGGTGTCTAAGGCCAAGAACTTGTCCTTGAAACGTGCCAGTCACTTAAGTGAGTGAATGGGTCACAAAGTGAGAGTCCACCTGTGTGCCTTGGTCGCTCATCAACAGGTACGCATGTAGATGACGGTTTGGTCACAATTCTTCGTCAAACTACCCGTACATGTTCATGGTACAGATGCCCTCGCATCAAACAATCGAGTCAGCCACGCCTCTAGCGCGTACTGCTTGCTAAACGCCATCAGTCCCGTGTTTTTGAACCGAGTCCCGCAACGCCCGTGTCCCATCGTCAATCATGACAAAGGAGATGGAGGGAAAATACAGAAAGAGAGAAAGAGAGCGAGTCTTGCTTGATCCCCTCTCAACCAGTCACCCTCCTGACCCACAGGGCCGTCTGCTCGTATTCCGCGTCGCGCTCCGAGCGCTTGTGCGCGCGGTGCAGCTTGAGCCCTGCGTTGTACTCCTCGCGCTGGATCTCGGCCAGCTCGTCCCTCAGCGCCTGGACCTTGAGCTTCTCCACCTCGCGCTTGCGCAGGACGTCGTCGCTGGCAAAGAGGCTGTCTATGGGCATGAGCTCCGTCATCTGCTGGATGCTCTTGCTGATGTTGAGGCGGCGGTGGATCAGGCTCTGGATGTAGGCGTTCAATTGCGCGATGCGATCCTGGGATGCAGACAGCTCTGGGGGTGCGAGCGGCAGGGGCTTGGCCATGGACAGAATCGAGGAACGGCCATCAATGGATTGGGCGTCCATGGTGGCAAAGGTTCGTGGAGTGCGGTCTCCTCTTCGCCCGGCGAGAGACTTGGCGTGGTCGACGGTCGAGTATAGATTGCCGGGCGAGGCGGTGGTCGCGTCCGGCGTTGCTCTGACGCTGTAGTCCTCGGACCGGGATCCCGTGCAGTCCGTCACCGAGGAAGAGTAGGATTGCGGGGACAGGATGGGAAGTGGAGGGACCACAGACTGGCGCGGAGTGTCGGGGATAGAAGTGGCACAGGTGGTGACGCTGAAGCGCGACGACGGCAGCACCCAGGCGGATTCCGAGGCCGGCTGCCGGGGCCGAGCGGCGTCTCTGCCAAGGACGCGAGACGGCTCCTGGCGGGCGTCGACGGGCGGGGCGGGCTTCCTCTTGATGTTCCCGGCCGACGCCGAAGGCGCATCAGCAGCGAGCGAGTGAAGCGCCGGAGAGTGCGACGACGGCGACCAGTCGGTGGAGGAGGGCGGAGGAGGAGGGGGAGAACGAGGACGACGGGGACGGGGAGCGCGGGCGAGGGAAGCCGAGTCGGGAGGCGTCGGATATGAACGAGGACCTGTGGCGAGAGGCTTTGAGGCAGTGACATCTCTTTGGTTTAATGCCAGGGGCCGCGGCCTCTGCGAAGCGGCCCCGGCGTGGTTCGTTTCAGGACGGCTTATTAACGCTGCGCCCCCACCGCGAGTCGAGTCGTTGCCGCGGCGGATGTTGAGAGGCGCAACATACAAGTCGTCGGCGACGGAGGGCAAAATCTTGGAGCGGCCGCTGGCGCCCTTCCACGGCGGTCGGCCCTCGCGCGTCGTCGTCGTCGCCGTCGTCGTCACTGCGCCGCCGGGGCTGGTCTTGGAGGCCGACCGCACGCGCGAGCCGAGATATGGAGGCGGCACGCGAGCAGGGCGCCCGCCAGGAGAGACGGCCCCGGCAGCGACGGGCGCGGAAATGACTGAGGCGCCGGGCGACAGCTTGAGCGGGCCATGGTCACGACGCGGTTCGTTGGCGGGCCCGCTCTGCGTCCTGCGATGGTCGTGCGGCGCGGTGCTGGCGTGCTGCAGCGTGGCGTGGCGCGAGGCGCGATAGGCCTTGACCTGGTAAGACACGGCCGGCTCTGACTCTGCGTCCATGGGCGAGACATCTCTAGCAGCCACCACGTGCCTTTTGTGGGGGGAAAAAGAAAGTCGTTAGCCGTCTTTCGGCATTGCAGAGACGGTCTCCAAGCTCACCTGACTTGGTGGTCGTCGGGCTCGGGAGAGCTGGGCGGCGAGACGGGCGCCCTTGCAGCCTGTCGGTGCATTGCCCACGGAGTCAAGCAGAACTGGGGCCTGGGCGGCGGCACGTCGTCGCTGATGTAGCCGTCGTCGGCGTCGCTGTAGACGGACGATGCAGGGCGCCAGCCCGAGCTGCGCTTGAGCCACGACTTGCGCGGCGGCGGACGCTGCAGCTGCAGTTCCTGCTGCAGCCGCTGACGGGTGGCCTGGTGGATGGACTCGCGGACAGAGGCGGCCAGAGGGTCGCGAATGCTGTTGCGCGCGTCAGCGTCGTGGTGGCGTGTTGGCGTGTTGGCGTGTTGGCGTGTTGGCGTGTGCAGAGGCAGAGAGCAGAGCGAGGAAGGGAGAGAGAAGAGGGAGGGAGGGAGGCAGAATGAGGCAGGGAGGAGTGAGTCAAGAGAAAGAGGAAAAGAGAGGAAGGGGCACAGAGAAGAAAAGGGGACGGAAGAAGGGGTCGTGTCCCGGGGTCTCTCTCTCGGGGTCCGAAACGCAGACAAAGGAAGGACGGGCAAGAAAAGAAAGCAAAGGCAAAGCGAGGGAAAACGGTAGGTGGACACAAACTTACTGGCCAACGTGGGCGGTTGTGACCTGTGGCACCATCTTGCCGCCGCGGATCTCGTACTTGGAGGGGCCGCTGGCGATGCCGAGGGCGTCTAGAAGCTCGTCCTGTTGGTCGGCCGCGGCGCCGCAGCTGCTGCTCCTGCTGTTCCTGCCGCGCTGCCTGTGCACGCCTGGTATGTCACCTGCAATTGTGGTGCTGGTTATGGACGACGATAGGGACGAGGTCCGGATGCGCTCCCACATGGTACCTTCCTTCGTGTGCTCTGGGCCTTGTCGGGGGCAAGGTGAGGCTGTCTCGAGACCCCGGGACAGGCAGTGCACTCGGAGGATGGTGTTGACAAATGTTTGTTCCTGGGCAACACAACTGCAGAAGCGGCACGGCTCGGCTCTATAATAGCTGGCGCGGGAAGAGGCCCAGGCTTTACCGGCTCATGGCTGGCTCTGGTGCTGAAAAGAAGCTGTTCAGGAACAAGGGGGAGAGTTAAGCGAGAGGTGGTGATAATGGCATGGCAGCGCGGCGACAAAAGAAGCAAGCTTACTGTGGTTGCTGTTGTTCAAAAGTTGAAAACATGTAGAGGTTGAGAAAAGAAGAGCAACAAGAAGACAAGAAGAGGACAAGAAGAGGAAGCGGCAAGACAAGAGGAGGGTAGAAGAGGGCAGAGGCACGGGGCAGAGGCATCGTAGGAGGAGGCCGGAAAGAATCAACTATATGGATGGATCTATCTGGGTTGAATGAATGAATGAATGGCTGACAGGACAAGCATCGTTTCCCGCCTCCCGACCCTGTCAAACAAAACATCTAGCGAAGAAGAAGAGGCTCCACCAGCCCTTGTTCCTTGTTGAAGAAAAAGACTTCGAGTGCCATATCGCCAATCGCCGGCGCGACTTGAATCCCGCACCGCCGGGGCGCCTAGCTCCGCTCCACTCTTTTCCGGCCAGCCCCTTCACACGGGCCTACAGCCACCCGCTACGGTCGGTCGCTACGGCGCTGTTGCTGGGCTTCTGGGGGGATCCCGGGGCCGAGGGCTGGCGGCTGGCCCTAGAACGAATGGGGGGGTGGGGGGGGGCGGGGGCAAAAGGCTGTAGGGCCCCCGCCATGGCCGTGGCCCGCCCAAAACAGTCAGCGTCTCCCCGCCGCCCACTCGGCAGCGATCCCAGCGCCGCTTGCCGCCACCGAAGGCACTGTGCAGCACCTGCTGCAGTGCTGCTGCCGCTGAGGAGGATGCATGGATTAACCTACCGTACGGTACCGTAGGCGCCTCCTTGCTCCTCAAACAGCGTCCGGCTTTTCAACCACCAACCACCAACCACCCACCACCCACCAAACAAAGAGACGATACAGCAGACAGCTCCTCGACGGGGGTTCCGATTGGACAGCGACGCCCGTTGGGGGACTAGAGCTCGAGCACCCGTTTCAGCAGGCTGTGACCTCGGCCAACCGCATCGCTTCCCCCACGCAAACCCGTCGGCGCCCTGATGTTGCAGTGGCCGTCTGGTTTCATCGTGAGGGGAGGCGGCTCGGAGAAGGGCCAGCCAGCACCGGGATGTCGCCAACAGGCACGGTACGGACGATGATGGGAACCGGCGCACGACGGCGAGGGGGCGGAGGAACACCGCGGCCCGCTCGTTGCCGCTCAGATCGCCTCGTTTCCCGCCAACAAACCGCCCGCGGCGACTCATGGCACAGCCGCCTTGTCGAGGCCTCTTTCTTTGCCAGCTCTGTCCGTCTTCACTCTGTTTGTTGTTTCTCCCGTCTTCTGTGCTTTCATCCCTCTCTCTTCCTTGTCCTCCCCAAGGATGGCCCTGGACCTGCTCCTTTCTTCTCGTCTTTCTTTCCTCTCCTCCCCCCCCTTTGCACCCTTAATCATCTTCCCGGCACTTGACACCTGGCGTAGCGCCTGTGTGAGGAGCCGAAATTACTCGATGTTACCGTGACAGACAAGCCTCGTCGTGGCTTACTGCCAGTCCGCCAAGGCCGTGTCCTCGGCGCCAATGCCCGCCGCCTCGAGCCCATACCTCCACAGCGCCCTCCTCTTGTCTGCGTCACGCGCATCTCGGGCAGTCTCGAGCTCCTCAGTCCCGTTGAGGTAGAGCGCCCCGGCCCCTGACGGCGGCGCCTTAATCTCAAAGCACGCGCGCACCACGTCGGCCGCGCTCTTCCACATAGGACGCACCGCGGCGTTGGGCGACAGCCTGACCAGCACTGCCGCCAGCAGGGGCACCGTCACCTTCATGGTGATGAATCTCCTGAAAAAGGACCCGCGCCGCAAGATGTCGGAGCCCATGCCGCCGGGGTCGAGCCCAATGACGGCGATGCTGGAGAGCTTGGGGTCCCTGGCCAAGCGGGCGGCGAGTTCGTGTCTTGTCTGGGCGTCAGTCTCTTCTCTGGTCTCTGCGAGGGACCGGGAGGGAAGCCCGAGCCTGGCTTACATGAGCATGATGGCGCAGAGCTTGCTCGCCCCGTACCGGCGGAAGCCTGAATGCCATGACGCTTCATCCTCTGGGGTGCTCCAGCGACCCTTGGCTAGGGCGTCGACGTCGGGGAACAGGGTCGGCCATTTGGGATCCTGGTATACTGTGTTGCCCCCCATGCCGTTTCTCTTGTCCTCGATGCTGCACATGTCCCGTCCCTTAGTCATTGCTATGCGTGTTTCAGATCGACGACTCACTCGTGCGCCCAGCTACTGATAATCAAGATCCGGCCCTCGTGCTCGTCCATACTCTGGAGGAGCAGGAGAGACAGAACAAAGTTTACCAAGAAGTTCACCTGCCACGTCATTTCGAAGCCATCGTCGCTCATGGCCTAGAAGAGGAGGGTTAGCCTGCCCCATCAACCCCGGGCATCGTGACCATCAGTGCCTCTACTTACCAGAGAAGTCTGGTCCTGATATCCGGCATTGAGAATCAGCGCCCTTATGCGCGGCAGCTCCCCGCTCGCCACGCGGCGGTTGATCTGCGACGCCGTCTGCCTGACGCTCGCCAGCGAGCCCAGGTCGAGCTCGAGCGTCTCGTGCCTGTGGGCGGCGGGCGCACCTTGCAGCACCGACTGCAGCCGCGAGGCGCCGGCTGCCTTGCGGACCGTGTAGATGCCCGTGTAGCCCGATGCCAGATCCGGTGCGCCGAGCAGATGCGACACAATGGCCGAGCCGAGGCCGCCGTTGGCGCCGGTGACGAGCACGCAGCCCTTGGACGAGGGCGATGACATTGCTCGAGGGGAAGTGAATGAAGAAGAAAGGGACAGAGCTCGCCTTTTTTGCCCCGCGGCGTAGAGGGTTTTGGATGTCGCTCGCGGAAATAAAAGGCTATTCTGTACTCCGCTTCGTCGGTGGTGTGAGTTGGAGCGGAGGGGGAAAGGGGGCGGAAATCGGCGGCGGATGGACGCGTGATGAGCTCGTAGAGATGGAGGCGAACAGCTATGCTAACTGACAGTGGTTTGGCGGGTGCCCCCAAGGCCCTAATCCAAAACAAAGACTGACCGACCACGCTGCTCTTGCGTCCCAACTCGGCGACGAGGTGGTGTAGAGGATGCTGCGAAGCCACGGCCCGCAAGACGGGCTGACGATTTGACCAGGCCAATCACTGCTGGGTGCTTATGCGCTGTCTGCATACATCACCATCATCTTGGGAGAGTATGTAATTACTGTACGTGTTGCTCCAAAGTCCGCATAAGTCTTGATTTGGTCCGGCCTGGCTCTCTCATGCGGCCCGCCTGGGGTCGATCTCTCAATGCAACAGGACAGTCCACGACAACAAGGCCACCGCAACAAACGCCCCGACGCCAACAGATCCCCTCGACGCACCACTCGTGGTGCCCGCCCCGCCGGCACCTCCGCCGGCACTCCCGCCGGCATTCCCATCGTGCTCGATCCTAAAGTCGCTCGTCTGCCCGGCAGGGCGGCAGACGGTGCCTGCGGCGCTATCCATGACGACGCTCCAGCGCCCGCCCGCACAGCGCTGCCACGTGTTCGTTATGCAGTTCCACTGGCCCTCGGGGGAGCACGACGAGCCCTCTGCTTCGGCTCGGCGCGCCAGGTCCTTGTTGCTGGGCGCCGTGATGGTGGTCGTGAAGTCGGGTACGGCCATGGCCTTGAGGTGAGCTTCTGGGTCGAGGGCCCACGCCGTCAGTCCCAGCAGAAACACTATGCCGAGAGAGACCGTCTTCGGCATTGGATTGGTTCCATGGCGCATATTGGGCGCCGGCGGTGGTTGGGCTGGGTGCCGGTACGTATATACGGCGCCGATCTGGGGCCGAGCTGAAGGCGGCCGCGGGCCGTATAAGTGGGGACCCGGGAGAGTTGGCTCGGCGTCGATGGCCGGTCTGCCGCAACGGGGGACAATGACATTCGCAATTGACGACAAGAAAGAGGAAGAGGGCTGACTGCCTCTTCCGTCTCCTCCTCTCGGCCTGCACGTAACATACATATAGACCCCCGTGCGTGTGTGCGTCGAGCTCCGTCATTAGTGAATTGCTGCCCAGCGCAAGTGGGTCGCTCCATGTTGGTTGGACGTGGATGCGCCCGATTGGCGGTGACGAGCGGTTCCACAAGGTTTTCGGGGATGCGGTGACGCCAATTCGTACCTGAACGCTGGCTTGGCCCTGGCAGATGTCCAGTTCTCTTCCTCTTCAACTCCTGGGAGCGAATGACGCCGACGGCCGCATCGCCGCGGGTGAACAAGCCACGGCGTAAGTTGGCCTCTCCTCACGCATCGTGTCTCGCTCGGTTTGCGATTAGTAGTATTATGTAAATGTCTATGTGTGCTAATTGCTCTCTGTCTGCACTGACCCAAGGTTTGCATTATGGTCAGTGGCAGGTCGTGTACCGACAACGCTTCCCAGCGCTTGGTCTGCGTTGCAAAGGGCCCGCGAGAGCTCCTCTCGACTGTAATGCCGTCGTCCCACGCTTGCGCCTCTCCTCGATTCGCACGTCATTACGTCTCTTAATTGACCGCCTTTATATCTGCGGCAAATTCCTCACCGCCGGTCGGAGGCTGCACGTTGAATAACCTCTATGCCATCTCCCACAGTGCCATGTCACGACCGGCGGTTTCGATAGGCGCCGGTTCCGTTCCAGGCTGGATAGGCTGTTGGCACCTGGCTGTCCCAGTCTGGGACCGCTGACGATGGCGATGGAGGCGGCGACGGCAACCAGGGCTGTGGAGTGGACACAGCGGTGCTCAATGTGGTTGGCGCCATGACGAGGACAGAGGTTGGCGGAGGCACGTCGATGAGAGGCCCATCTCTCGAGGCGAGGGACGAGGCGAACAGAGTAGCTTCCTCGCAGGCAGGGGACGAGGGCGCGGCGCCGGGAGGAGGAGTGGGAGCCGGAGGCGTAGTGGCAGGGCCCGCTGCGGAGCTGGAGGAAGCGCCCGGGCACACAGAGACAATTATCGTGGCCCCATGGCTCGCGGCGGGGAGGGATTCCGCTGCGGGCAGCGGGACCGACTTTGTGACGGTCTGGGGTTCGGCAGTCTTGACAACGACGCGCGTGACCGGGCTCCCCGTCTCGACAATGACGCGCGTGACCGGGTTCTCCGTCTTGACAATGACGCGCGTGACAGGGCTCTCCGTCTTGAACACCGTCTTGGTGACGGGGCCGGAGCTGACATGGCTTTCCTGACCGGGCGCGCCATCGCCGGGCTCAAGAGGCACGACCGAGTACCGTGGCTTCCCGTGGCCATCGGCACGGGGCAGGACACTGGGATGCGGGAGGGCGGCGGCGGCGGAGATGCAAGCCGACAGGGCGGCAAGCACGGAGAGGAAGCGACGCATCTCGAGGGGGGTTTGTCTGGTTTCTCCTTTATCCACCGTTGGGAGGTGGATGGATGGGGGCGTGAGTGGTGCGATGCGGAGAAGAGAGAGCGGAATCAGGCGTTGGCGCATCAACGACTAGGATGCTGAAGCGGAGGACGAAGAGAAAGGTCTGCAAAGGAGGTCTGCAAAGGAGAAGCGACAGAGAGAGAGAGAGGAAAAGAGACGGGAAGGAAAAGGCGGCAGAGCGGCGGCACGTGCCAGCGGCGCTCTGCCATCCATCTTTGCGCGGCCAATTCACACGGGGTGCGTTGCAATTGTCGGTGGCTGGGCCAAACAAAAATATCTGGAGGTTGGCGGATTTTGCAGTGACGGGGCCGGATCGCTCCGGACCTGGCAGCGGGGGAGGCACCGACTGCCAGCCGTTGGGCGCCTGGCGGGGCTTCGGGCGCTGTGGCAGGGGGGCCCAGGGTTTCTAGAACGGCTCGGCTCTAGCGAATACAGATACAGTACAGCGGACTCTTAGTAATGCTGCGGTGGTGTCCTGCACTGTGCGAAGCAACTGGAGCCCAGCCAGGACTCACGCAACGGGTCTCCAGACTCGGAATAAGCGCCGGCCAGCACTTGCGAGGAAGAGTCTGCTTATGTCCTTCCTTGTAATTACAAGAGAGAAAAAAGCATTGAATCCAATGGAGCGAAATTTCGGCCGCGCAGGGAGGCATTGAAAACCGAGGGGCGCAAAGCGTCTTGGCATTAGATAGATAATCAATCCGGCACTCCCCACTGCCCTGCTGTTCAGGTGACGGTGGCTGAGCTCTCTCTATCCCACACGCACGCCAGCCACTGTTTTGTCCACTTTGTTTTTGTTTCGTTTCGTTTCCCTTGCCTTGCCGTGACTCTCAACCAGCATGTTGCGAAGCTGCTAGCAAGTCGAGGCTCTTGTGCAACGAGCGCGAAAACTCATTCGCCGCCCTATGCAAAGCTTGCTGCGAAGCAGAGTCGAGCTCGGTGTGGGCAATTCTCTTTGGAAAAGCCCACGACGGCGCGCGTTGCTGGAGACGCGCGTTCTGCAGGCGAGATGGAGGACCAATGGCCCATGCGCCACATCTCAGGTACCGATCATGTAACTTACCTCGGAATCTGCGTCGGTGCGAGGCCTTGGTCCGCCACTTGGTTACTGCACACGTCAACCTTTGTTCTAGTTCCATAGCCTCGTGCCATCACAGCCATCAGAAGGCGCATGCCGTCGGCGTCCCTCGCCCCGGCACGTTACCCGGTCAGAGCCTGAGATTTGTACATGCCAGACCGGGTCGCCCCACAAGTGGCTGTGCAGGCGAGCCAAGGCCGCCCTCCCCAAAGCCCCTCTAACTTTTTCTAGCACTGTACAATGTACAGTACATACAGTACTGCATCCGAGGCGTAAGGGCAACGTCATCCTCCTGGTCGTGGCGGCTGATCGACCTGCGGCGGAGCCACGAAAGGCATTTGGCAGGCGGCTTTGCTTCGACTCAGCCACAAGCCCCAGCTCGTGTATGTACACCTTGACTAATGCCGTACCTCGGAGGACTCGCCGTAAATAGTCCTCTTGTTCGCGTCATGAGGAAGGCTCGCCAAGTCCACACGTGCTTAAAGCCTTGGCTGCCCACCTTTTCCTCCCCGCGCCGCCATCCTCGATTTCTTCCCCCATCCATCCATCCCCTCGCCGCCCGAGAGGCCTTGACCGAGCAGCAACACTTTTCCCAAAGGTCGCGAAGCCGAACTAGTTGCTCTTGCGCACTCTCTGCTTCAACCGTCGACTTCGCCATGTCGTATCCAGGCTACGGCCAATCCTACGGCCGTGAGTTGCCCGGACGCCTCGTGTCCCTCCTGTTTGCCCTGACATTTGAACCTTGTAGAACCGCCCCCTCCTCACCAAGGCTACGGTCACTATCCTCAAGCTCCTCCGCCTCCTCACGGACAGTACCCGCCCGCCGGCCAATATCCCCCTCAGCAGGGAGGATACTACCAGCAGCCTCCGCCGCCCCCGCCGGGCCAGTACCCCCCGCAGCAGTCTCCGTATGGCCATCACCCGCCGCCCCCGCCGCCTGGTCAGTACGGCGCTCCTCCGCCCCAGCATTACGGACACCACTCCCCGGCGCCTCCACCCGGCCAGTATGGTCAGCCGCCTCCTCAGGCTGCCTCCTCGTACGGCCCGCCGCCCCCTCAGCATTATGGCGCTCCTGCTCAACCCACGCCGCCCACGTTGGGCTACGGCGCACCTCAGATCATTCAATGGGATGCCTCTGGAGATGCCCAGGCGCTGCGGAGCGCCATGAAGGGATTCGGCACGGACGAGAAGGCGCTCATTCGCGTCCTGTCCAACAAGGATCCATTGCAGATCGATCTCCTCCGAAACACCTTTGACCGCAACTTTAGGCGCAGCTTGATCAAGGACATTAAGAGCGAGACGAGCAGCTGGTTCGAAAAGGCACTGGTGCAGCTCGCCCGCGGCCCGTTGCTGGCCGATGTCCACGGCTTGTACGACGCCATGGCAGGCCCAGGCACCAAGGAAGTCGTTCTCAACGACATCCTGCTCTCCAGGTCCAACGCCGACATGAAGGCAATCAAGAGTGCATACAAGCAGACGTTCCACAAGAGCCTCGAGGACGCGGCAAAGGGCGACCTGAGCATGAAGACGGAGAGGCATTTCCTCATGGTCCTGTCGGCCAACCGCGCCGAGGACGCCGCGCCAGTGATTCCGCAGCAGGTCGACGACGACGTGATGCAGGTTTACAAAGCTACCGAGGGCAGGATGGGCACAGACGAGCTCCTAGTCTGCAGCATCCTCTCCTACAGAAACGACAATCAGATCCGCGCCATCGCGCACAGCTACAAGCAAAAGTTCAACCGCGACCTGGAAAAGGTCATCAAATCGGTAAGTTTCGCCTGCCCCTGGACCTGCCGGCAATGGCTCGTACTGATTGAATGGGACAATAGGAATTTTCCGGGCACATGCAAGACGCGCTTCTTTTCCAGCTGCGTTATGCCGTGGACAAGTATATGCATGCCGCAACGCTTCTCGAGGAATCCATGGCGGGCCTGGGCACCAAGGACCACCTCCTCGTCTCCCGCGTCGTCCGCTTCCACTGGGACCGCAACACATTAGCCAACGTCAAGGGCGCCTACCAGCAAAAATACAGCAAGAGTCTTGGAAGCCGCATCAAGGGCGAGACATCGGGCGACTACGGAAGATTGATGTTGGCGTGCATCGGCGACTAGGAGGATGCCTGAACCGTCACGCGGGCCGACCTTGATGACGAGCAAGCGCACGACTGGCACTGCCATGGCAATGATGACGACGAGGATCGATGACTCTGGGGCTCGGAAAGGCGTTTCGGGAGTTGTGCGTCAAACCTGCTAGTTACCTCTTGGACGGGCACAGGAGCCCGAGAATGACCAAGCGTTGGGATTCCTTGATTAGTAGATACCACGGCATCGTTACTGAACACCTGCTATAATGACATTCCTCAAGCACAACCAATCATCCGTCCCTCCTTCATGACAGATTGAATCTATGTTCTTTTCGTGCCCACGTGGACTGGTTGCATTTTACCGAGACGATGCAGCAATAGAGTTTCTCAGCGAGCCAGCATGTTCGATCCAATGAAGCCGAGGTAGCCTTGGCTTGGCAGGAAATCAGAAAATGTGACCCGGACCAGACCCGAGTCGGGTTATTCTGCAATTCAACATGGAAGAAAGGAGCTTTTCCTTTCGCGCATGTGTGTAGGACGAGGTATACATGGCACCCATGGTAATTGCGTGAGGACGAGCCGACAGGATACGCCACAACTCGGCCGCTTCTCTGCTTGCTCCTGCTGCCAATCGGGCAATAAAGCCGTCTCGGCTCGCTTAGGGAGGAAGTAGTGGGGGTCCGTTCATCTCCTCGGCCCTAGTCGAGTGCCATAAAACCAATATTTGGCTTATTTCAAGGCATTATAGCCGAAGAGGGAGGGCCAGGCTATATAAGCAGTTACATTCTGTCACGACCCTGCGCGCCAGCGTAGAGACACCAGCGCAGAACGTCACCAGTGTCACGTGCCCAAGCAGCATCACGTGCCCACGTGCGACCTCGTGCTTACCTGAGCGCTGCTGAGGTAACCTCGTGCATATGCACATAAGGGCCAGCTCGGTCGTGTAGTCTAGTCTTTCTTTCTTGCTCCTTAGCTTTGAGTCTTCGTTCATAGTGCCAATACATCTTTATAGCCGTCAAGGCTCGTATGTGCCTGGCCGTAACACTACTCAAAGCTCAATAAGATCGCTTGCCAGCGATTAAGCAAATAGGCACCGAGCTTTCACGTCACACGCGCCTGACGTAAATCCAGCGCATCCGTTCTGACCGTTCCGACCAAGACTCCGACCACCGACCAAGTGATCCTCAAGGCTGAGATCACGTCCGTTCCGACAAAGACTACGCGTGTGTGTAGTCGTCCGACCAACCGTTCCGACCAAGGGATTCGTCCCGTCTGACCTCCGACCGTCCCTGCTCGTGCAGGCATCTGACCGTGATTCCGCGTGGTACCATTTCCGACCCTAGACTCTGACCTCGAGACTATGATATCCGAGGAAGCCCTGCCCTCGGATCAGCCACGCCGTTCTGCCCGGCTTGCTGGCCAAGCCACTGAATCCGAAATAGTAGCCATGGCTGCCCCGAGCCCCCAAGACGCTCTCATCCGCGAGATGAGGGGACAGATTGCGGCCTTAACGGCCCGTCTAAATGAACGCTCTCCGTCTGTTGAATCAAATCAACAGCACCGGGAGCCCTCGACTGCTTTTGCCGGCCCAAATGGCCCGGCCTTCCGACCAACAGGCAAAGCTGCCTGGCCTGTTTTTGCCCCCTTCCCAGAGGGCAAGAACCCCGAGTACAGCGACGCCGCCAAATCGCGCATCAAGGTCTCCGCGACGTTCTCAGGGAAGAAGGACGAGTTCCATTCCTTCATCCTGAGCATAAAGAACAAATTTGACGAAGACGTACGAACCTTCCGGACTGAGAACAGCCGGATGGTCTGTCTGTATAACCTGCTCGAGGGAAAAGCCCGCCGAGCACTTGAAACCCGCTTCTCCTCTGACACTCGACCCTTCTCTGGAGTGGCAGAGATGATCCAAGCCCTTGAGTCCGCCTATGGCAATCCGAATGAGCTTTCCGAGGCTCTTGACCGCCTGCAACGCCTCCAGTTTACCGTGAATGGGAAGACCGACATTGTGGACTTTCTTGCGGAATTTGACTACTTAACTGCGACCGGTCGTGCCCGAGGACCAGATGAAGCATACCTTGTGGCAGCACATCCCGGCCAACCTAGATAACAGCCTCTTGACCAAGACCCGTGACGAGTCCGTGACCTACGAGGTTTTCTGTGGGTTCATTAAAGACGCTGTCCACTGCCAGAAGAGGAGTATGAGGCAGACACAGGACTCCCGCTCTTCCGACCGATCTCGCCGCGCGCCGACTAAGACTGCTCCGACTACCGCCAAGACTCCGAACAAGACCGGCTCGACCCTATCACCTCGCGTGATGCTGGCAGAGCCTTGACCGACGATGAGAAAAGGGTCCATTGGGATAATGGCACCTGCTTTATTTGTGGAAAAACAGGGCACCTCTCTCGCGAGTGTCCCGACCGCACCCATGCTGTCTCCCGTGTCGCCTCCGTCCCTGTCCCTGCCAACGACTCTGATCAGGATTCGGGAAACGAATAGGACCATCACAAGACTCCTTGATGGTCCCTAAGGTGTCACAGATGGCGAGTAGGTCTAGCAAGTCATTCACTCTGCCAAGTCAAGTCCAAGTGGATGGTGTGAGCTTACCTGCCCGCTCCCTCTGTGATACCGGAGCCGAAACCCGTTTGCTGGTTAGCCCAACCTTCGCCCAGTCCGCCGCCCAAAGACTCGGAGCCCAGATTAAGGAGCTCCCGAGTCTGATTCCCCTCCAAGACTTCCGTGGAAAGCCAGCCGGCTATATCCAGAAACAGCTGGTCGCCACTTTCGTCATCGATGGCCGTTCGTTCGCAAACGAGACATTTGATATAGCTGAGTGTGGCCATGATATCTTTATCGGTCTTTTCTGGATGCGGAGAAGCGCCTCCTACTTGACTGCGCCGCCCGACAGATCATCTGGCCAGATGATCTTCCTGCCTCGCCAAGTTCTCCCCGACGATCCAGCTCTCTCGTCAAGCCCCGCTCTCGGGTCGGATCGACCCTAAGATCCAGGCCGACGCTGAGAGGCGGAACCGCCTGCTCGAGAAAGAGGAGAAACGCTACCGGATCCTCCACAAGAACTGGCGCCGCTCTGATCAAGCTCCTCCGGCCTCTGTCCCGACCCCGTTACCGACTCCGTCTCCGTCGTTTCAGTCCAAGTCTCCGTCTGCCAAGAAGTCTGTCCGTTTTCAGCTCACGACCGCCCCTGCTACCGACTTCGTCTCCGTCGCCTCGGTCCAAGCCTCCGAAGATCAAGCCCTGATTAACGCCCTGGTCTGCCAAGTAGAGTCTCACGAGAGATTCGAACAGTGGAACGAACTCGAACCGTTGATGCCCCGGGATCCAGTCCAGCTCGAGCCAAGCTCCGGCCTTGACCAGACCGTCCCTAGTGCTCGAACCGTTGCTAAAGTCTCCCGGATCAGAAGACCTACCAGGGACAAAGCATTCCGTTCCTCAGGAGAAGACCCTGAGCATGTTGCTTGTGTCCGTAGTCGTCTACCGCCCCAGCTCACCCATCTAGAGGGATTCTTCTCGAAGAAAGAGGCCCACACCCTACCTTCGAGCCGACCCGGTCACGATGTAGTCCTAGAGCTTGAGAAGCCTCTTTCGCCGACAGTACCCCCATCGTACCGCACGCCCGTTAAGTATCTGCCTCTAGAGAAAGAGACTGTCGATCACCTCCGGAGATAGACTTCATCGAGCCCGATCCGAGTCCGCACGCCGCATCCGTCCTCTTCGCTCCGAAACCGAACACGACCGCCCGCCGCTTCTGCATCGACTACCGTTGGATGAACGATCATCTTAAAAGTCGCATCACGCCCGCTCCGTCCCTCGAAGGTACTGCTTTCGGTTGCCGTGAAGCTCAACGCTTTACGAAGATCGATGTGATCCAGGCCTTCCACCGTCTCCGCATGGACCCTGACTCCGAGTATTTGACCGCCTTTCGCACCCGTTTCGGAACTTTCCGCTGGAAAGTCCTCCCGTTCGGTCTGAAGGTAGGTCCCGCCTGGTTCCAGCAGTTTATCAACGCGCAGCTTCACGATCTCCTCGACCGGTGCGCCAGCGCCTACGCAGATGACGTCCTGATCTACTCGGATAAAGAAGAAGACCACTGGAAAGACTGTCAAGAAGTGATCTGGCGACTCCATCAGGCCAACCTCCAGGGAGACATCAAGAAGTCTAGATTTAACGTGACCAAGGTTGACTACCTCGGCGTTCTGCTTGAAGCCGGTGTGGGCCTTAGTGTCGACCCTCGGAAAGTTCGATCGATACAAGACTGGAAGCTTGAAGACCTCCGAGACCGCACCGCGATCCGATCATTCGTTGGCCTATGCAATTTCATCCGTGTTTTCTGCTACCACGCCTCGGGAGTGGCAGAACCCTTGAACCGGTTGCTTAAGAAGGATGTTGCCTTTGTGATGGGCCCGGAGCAACGCGAAGCATTTGATCAACTCAAGCGCCTGGCTATCGAAGCCCCGGTCCTCGCCTTCTTTAGACCAGAACTGCCGACCCGACTGGAGACCGATGCCTCCCGGAATGCCACAGCTGGTGTTCTATGGCAGGAACAGCCTGATCGGACCTGGAAGCCCGTTGGATTCTTCTCTAGGACCATGACCCCGGCCGAGCGAGCCTACCCAATCCAAGATCGAGAGCTCCTCGCCGTCGTACAGAGTCTAGAGCACTTCTACCCAGAGCTCTTAGGCCAGAAATTTGATGTGATCACCGACCACGAAGCCTTAGTCCATTTCTCTACGAAGCGCCTGCTCTCGGTACGACAGATCAGATGGTCCGACTTTCTCGCCCAGTTCGACATCCGTTTCCTCTACCGCCCCGGTCGACTGAACGTAGTCGCCGATGCCCTCCAGGAAGACAGCCGAGCTTCCTACCGTAAAGGCCCGGGAAGCCGAGGAACGCACGGTGACCCTGATCCTCCGGAAAGGCTAGGCTTCGCGACCGACTCGCTAGACCCTACGGCCGCCGGCCACCTGCCCCCTCAGAACTTTAGTCCCGAACCTAAGCCTACTAGACCATTAGTTCTGAGGGCCACGAGTGCCCTACAGACCCCAGAAGACCAAGGGATACAGCAGACGCCCGATCAAGACCGCCCAGAACTAGACCCGAACTCGGTCCCGAAGGAGCCGAACTCGTTTCGTTGATCCGCCAAGAGAACCTCCTCCAAGACCTCGGCACCCATGGAACACACCTGATCGTACCAGCCCAGACCTCAGACAAGCAGACGTTTCTTCAGACCGCGCTCATTCGCGAAGCCCACGAGCCCCAGATCTTCGCTCACGCCGGACAGAACAAGGTAATCAAGCTGCTCCAACGAGACTTCTACTGGCCAAGGATGAAGGAGGATATCCGTCGTTATATTCGGAACTGCCACGACTGCCGCCGCAACAAAACCCCTCGAGACAAGACCCCTGGACTGCTCCATCCACTGCCCGTGCCGACTTCTGTTTGGGAGCACGTCGAATGTGACGGGAAGGATATGCCGAAAGACCGTTACGGATATGACTATGTTTGGACCTTCGTCTGCAAGCTAAGCCGGATTATCGCCACGCTCCCAGGAAAGAAAAACGATACAGCAGAAGTCTTAGCTAGCCGCTACTTCCGCTACCTCTATCGTTTCTTCGGTATGCCCTCGTATGGATTTCTGACAACGCTGGACAGTTTATTTCTGCCTTCCTCGCAGAGATTAACCGGCTCACGGAACGAAGCATCGTCATGGAAGCTCCCTACACCCTCAGACCCAAGGGGGTGTAGAAGTCACAAATCAATACCTGGATCAAAAGCTACGATTCTACGTGACGAAGCATCAAGACAACTGGAGTTCCCTGCTGCCCGCCCTCGACTTCGCCCATAACTCGTCTTGGCACTCTTCCATCGACATGGCACCGTTAAAAGTAGCCCTAGGCCGAGATATCCGGAACCCCCTGTCACTGCCCCCGACTGACAAGACCGCTGCCACCGGACCCGCCGCCAGAGCTAGGGAACTTGTGCAAACCGCCCAGGAAACCCAGGAAGACGCCAGGAATGCTGCCACCGCCGCTCAAGAACGTCAGAAGGAACAGGCTAATAGGAAACGACGACCAACCGACTTTGCCATCGGTGACCGAGTTTTCTCAGCAGGAAAGGCTTCGCCACGAACGCTCCGACTACTCGGCTAGATAACCAATGGTCAGGTCCGTTCGTAATCCTGGAAGAACGCGGTCATAGCTACGTACTGCAGCTGCCCGAGTCGTACAAAATGAAGAACCTATTCCACGCCGACCGTCTTCGAAAAGCAGCCGATAACCCCTTGCCCCAGCAGATCCAGACACCTCCGCCACCCGAGGAGATCAACGGAGAACCCGAGTGGGAGGTTGATCAAGTCCAGCAGTCTCGAGTAACCGGTAGGAGTCGACGACTGGAATACCAGGTCTTATGGAAGGGATGTGACCTGATGAGACCTGGTACCCGGCTAGGAATTTCCGTAACGCACCAATAGCATTGAAGGTATTCCACGATGAACATCCGGACGCAGCAGGCCCACCCGTCAACCTGCAATACTGGATCGAATGTGCTGCAGCGGAGGAGGGCTGCGAGGAACGAGACGATGATGACACAGCCGAGAAAGCCGTGAAACCAAGAACCCGCCGCCACGACTGACTACCTTGATACGCATATCAAGGCCTTAGACGGGGGGTAGTGTCACGACCCTGCGCGCCAGCGTAGAGACACCAGCGCAGAACGTCACCAGTGTCACGTGCCCAAGCAGCATCACGTGCCCACGTGCGACCTCGTGCTTACCTGAGCGCTGCTGAGGTAACCTCGTGCATATGCACATAAGGGCCAGCTCGGTCGTGTAGTCTAGTCTTTCTTTCTTGCTCCTTAGCTTTGAGTCTTCGTTCATAGTGCCAATACATCTTTATAGCCGTCAAGGCTCGTATGTGCCTGGCCGTAACACATTCTATAGAATAGCATAAGATATAGCTAGAAATAATATTTAATTATGTAAAAAAATAGTAGTAGTGTGGGTAGGCACCTGCGGCAGCTGCTGCAATGAGACGGTACTAGGGTTAACCTGTGATGTTGTATTCGTCTTGTTCTCTATCTAAGGAGGCAGAGGCCAGCGTGGAGAAAGGGGGCACGCTGCCTCAGCCGCACACGTGACCGTACGGGTCACGTGCCAACCATGGTTGGTCACACCACTAGATAGATACATTCCTACACAGGCAACTCTTCTTTTGCTGTGAGAAGCACAGCAACACCTTGAACGGGTCTAAAGGATAGTAGCGTTAAGGCCGTGAAGGAATGTGCCGTGAGGGCGTGTGTCATTATTGCCAAAAGTGGGTCCGACGTCTTGTTCTTAGCTGTAGATATCGGGGAAGAAGTGAAGGGTCTTCCTGATAGGAGCAATCATTTGATCATAGGGATAAGGAGCGGTTAGGAACGTTGTACGTATCCTTCGACTCGAATTGTCAGACTATTGGTATCGATGAAGCGTTCCAGGGCTCGGTTTGGTGATGCTTTCGTCATTGCATCTGCTGGGTTGTCTGCGCCGTTGATCCAACGAATATCTGTTATCTCTCTCTTCTCGTATGACTGGCGAAGGGCCATGATATCAATCATCAATCGTTTTTCCTTCGTCGTACCGAGCTTGACTAGGCATTCGTAGAGAGTACGAATCCGTACAGACGATGAGAGGGATAGGAGGAAGGTTGAGTCGTTCCGTAATTATCTTCATAGTCATCGCAAGGGAGATGCCTATGTCGAATCCGTTGGCCATACCGTAGATCTCTGATGCTAGGACGCTACGGGTAACACGTTTGCACTTTGTTGAACTCCAGTGTACGATGTTACCACTAATCTCGAACTGTTTTTCTTTGTGGTTTGTCTCGTTAACGAGGGTAATGACGAATCCTAGTTGGGAGGATAAGTCCTTGTTGTTTGCGAAAGAACCATCGGTGAAAACCATCAGCTTTGCAGTAGCTAGATCAATTGGTTTGTACGTGAGGCCACGTAGTTGGTGATCCATTTGCCATTGCAGTCGCTTGTTCAAAATTGCGTAATCTTTATCCTCAGGGGTCTGTACTTGGGCGGCGACTGAAACATCGAAAGAAGCTTCCGGTTGAGCAATTGAAGCAATGTATGAGGCTCGCGCTCGTTCCTCAACGTAGCGCTGGTGACGATCAATTGCTTTAGGGTCAATGGTGGTCATTTTGCTGCTTGTCCCTTCTGTTGAAGTAAAGGATCCTTTCTTAAGGGGTTATTATTCAGCAACGTCAGTCTTGCACCATTAAAGTCAACCGTTGTTCCGTATGTGATGTCAGTCTTGGGCTTGGAACGAAATTCTGCCTTTTTAGCTCTTCTTCTTCACGGGTAGAAAAGTTGTTCGTTCCAAGGATGAGGGTGTCATCAGTTTGCATTCCAACAATACCGAGCGTGTCAGGGCCAGTATTCGAAATCAGTAGGCAGGAGTCATAGGTGGAGGTAGACATATCCAGCTTTTCGAGGTGATGCTGCTGATATGTGCGGAACCAATGGACTCCGGCTTCTGCGATACCGTACAGGGGCTTAATAACACGAATAATTGTTCCGTTAGGTATTTGCCTTGTAGTTCCGTGGGCAAATACGTAAGAATGGTCCGGAAAGCTTGGTCTGGGATTGCGGGTATGCCTGAGTGATATCACGGAGGGAGAGGGTTATGCCGTAGTTTTGAAGAAGTCCGGGGCAATAGCGAGGATGAGTCTCTGGCTAACGCGTTGAATTGTCGGAGATTGCGTCAGGAGGGTGGTCTTCTCAAAGTCGTTATGTCCTTGAATAACAAGTCGAGACTTTTCGTAGGGCTTAGTGTTGATTCCTTTGACTTCACGAACCATTCGAGAGCGAAAGATTCTATAGTTTCCATGACTCATTTGATCGTATCGTTCAAATTGGAATACACCGCGCCAACGAGGTCAGTAATCTCTTTGTTATCGGATTCTTCGAAGGGGTCACCAGGAGAGGTGATTATGCCATCAGAATCTTCTCTCTCCAAACGCGAACTTCACTTTGCAGCGGGAGGGATAGCACTTCTGTCGTGCTCGGGCCGTTGCGTGCATGGAGGGCATCCTTAACTCGTCTTTCTGCCGAGAGTTGGCGGAGCATTTTCATCGCTTTCTGCATAGCTTCCGATCTTTTGAGGGTAGAAGCGGAAGGGGGCGAGTCTGTAGATACGCGAGGGTATGCGCCGAAACAAGCAACGTAGGCACAAGACCGTCAGGTCCTGCCGTATCATTGATTGCTTTAACAGCCATTTGAAGGACTGTTTCGGCGGAAGTGGTGTGGCCAATCTCAGCATGGAGGATGTTAAAGGCGCGTCGGAGGGGTGCGTGATAGCGTTCAATCTTTCCAATGGACCAATGCGTCTCAACAGGTACTTGAGAGCATTTGATTCCCATAATCTTTGCTTCGTTCCGGAATTCGAGAGAAGCAAAGTTAGTTCCTGCATCATGACGGAGGGTATCAGGAGGTCCAAGATACGTGTCGATCCAGAGGGTCCGGAGGGTCTCCCATGTATCTTTAGCTGACATTGACGGTAAAAATCTGGCTCCTTGGAAAGCAGTAGCTGAGTCCACAACGTGTAGAACAGGGCGTTGTGGTGTTCCTAGGTGCATCACATCAACGATGATTTCGTAGTTGAACTCTTGATCATCGTTAAGGGTGAACTTGAAGCGGCGTGGGGCTTGTGAGTGCATTTGACAGTGGTGACAGAACTTAGAGATAGTCTCTAATGTGTCTATCGAGACGTCACTGTGCCCGGCTTGCTTCAAGAGGTGATGGAGCCTAGGGACTGCTGGGTGTCCAAAGCGTCGGTGAAGTGTACGAATCTCTGTTTCCGTAAGAAACGAGATGGACTCTTCATCTTTCGTAAGGAAGAACCAGGGATGTCCCCATTTGCGTACGACTGGAATGCTTGTAGGGCGATTAGTACAATGATTAGTACAATTGATGGTATCTGTGATGTTGTTGAAATAGATACCAAGTCGATCCATATCAGCAAGGCAGAGCAAAAAGGGAGTTGGGGTTTGAAGGACGTGGAACGTGATCCTTCCGAGGGTGTTTTTAGGCAACTGTGCCAAGGAGTTAATCGTGTCGCCGTTGCCAAATTTGATGGAGGCCTGGCCGGATGTAGAGCTGTCGAGAGCTACAGAAGGATCTTCTCGTTGTAGGGCGATGTACTGAGAATATCCTGCTGTGGAGAATGTTGCTGCACCTGTGTCGATCATGATACCTTGGAATCTATCCCTTGAATAGCGATCTTCAATAATAAATTGCGAGGCTGGAACAACGGTTTGATCCGTCTGATAGACGTCTTCTCCTGTGATCAAATGATTGAATGCCTGTTGACAGAGCATTTGGCTTGCTTGCCATTGTTCCGGGTGATCGTTGGTGCTATTGTCATGTTCTTCCCATGTATCTTCAGTGTCATCAAAGCTGCTCATCTCATGACCTTCGTAGTCTAGAATATAGCCTCCGATGTCCGTGAGTTGTACACCTATGAAGTGACATTGAGTGATATGTTGGTCCTTGGCCTTTGTCGTTCATCCGTAGAGTGTTTAGTTGACCAACAGCCTTCTTGTCCACAAACAAAACACTTCTTCGTCCAGTTTCGGTTACTGTAGCTATGATTGTAGTTACTACGGCTTTGAGGCCGGTAGTTTCCACGGTTGTAGCTTTGTCTGTATCCGCGGCTGGGTCGTTGACCTGAATATCCGTATCTACCTCGAGAGCGGTTGTTATTGTATCGACGGTCGAGGTAGTACTGATGGTGTGGATCGTTATGATCAAATGATCCAGCAAAGTCAAGGGAAATTGAGAAGTTGTTATGAGGGCAAGATGGGTTTCAACGGATGCACGAAGATCTGCAAGAAGGTGCTCGACGTTATCGGCGGGTTTGAAAAGAGCGTATTGGAGTTCGGGTACTCCACGGCATGCTTTCATAAGCGTTGTACGCAGTAGAAGGTCTCCTGCGTACTCCCTGCCAAGGGCTCGTTGGCAGAGCTGAAGCTTATCAAAGAGGATTTGAAGCACTTCGTGGGGGGTCTTCGAAGCATCTTGGGCACGGATGGAGTTGAAGGTTATTGTTGTCCAGTCAGTATGGTAGTGGACATGGTTGACTTCCGTGTCAAAGTGTTGTTTGAAGATATCATACGCTTGTCGGAACGTCGTAGCCCATGTGATCTTATCAAGATAGAATCTTTGGGCTCTTCCATCAGGATCCGGGGAAAGAGTGCGTGAAATTGTGATGGTTTCACTGGGATATGAGAGCAGTTGCTTAAGAAGAGGCGGAGCTTATCATCAAGGAGATCGTACGGCTCTCCTGTGTAGTTCCGATCTTTGTTCCAGGTCTTCATAAACTTCTGCTGGATGTCGCTATCGACGATAGCGTTCGGGATGTTATCCGGGGGGAGTTTCATGTATTCTCCAAAGGTTGCAGGGCCGGATAAGTGTTCGGGGATGGAGTTGGTGACGGTTGGACGAGATCGGGGTTCTGGAAGCGGTAGGAAGTCGGATGAATAGTAAGAGAGGTCGGAGCAGGTTTATCTTGGATAGTCGGAGCAGGAGTAGGTGCGTTAGGAGGGCTCGTTAGGGTCTTAATAGGTTGTGGTTCGTTAAGACCTTGATGAGGTGCTGCTAAGGGCGTAACTGATGGTGAAGGAGGTTGAGACGGATGGGGATTAGTGGAAGCATTTGATCCTAGTAATGCTGTCTGCCTCCTGAAGGCAGCAGTCCTCTCATCAAACACCATCTCCGTAAACTCCTGCTCTGGCCAGGTTTGTGGGTTCTCGATAGTTTGTAATATGAGAAATTGTGTTGCGAATTTTTCGCATATTTCTTCGAGCTGGGCTTCTGGGGACATAGCTCGGGCGGTCGGGGCTATCGTGATCAAATGAATGAGACGATGTGGGGTTCGTATTGGTCTCTTCGTATACGAGTTGTCGCTAATAGGAGGTCGAGCGTCGCGTACTAAGTAGGTCGTTCGCGGCCAGACTGAACTGACGGGGATCTTGCTACTTAACGTCAAGGGTCGAACGTTCTTACTAGTTGTTTGCGATGTGGTCGCCTGTCGATTCCGGTGCTCACGGCTAGGCAAACTAGCGGGCGATCGTAATCAACAGTTGGAAGGACTCTCGCGCGGCTGGGCAAACCAGCGGGAGATTCCTTGTTCTTAGCACAAATAACCTTCTTCTGAGCGCTACTCAGGGCCACAGTAAAGTGACGCGGACTATAGCACCTTCGAAGGTTGAGGAATTTGTCTCTTCTACTTAGCTGTCTGTGACGGGCGTGGGCCGGTCACTGATCAGTGTGGGTAGGCACCTGCGGCAGCTGCTGCAATGAGACGGTACTAGGGTTAACCTGTGATGTTGTATTCGTCTTGATTCTCTATCTAAGGAGGCAGAGGCCAGCGTGGAGAAAGGGGGCACGCTGCCCTCAGCCGCACACGTGACCGTACGGGTCACGTGCCAACCATGGTTGGTCACACCACTAGATAGATACATTCCTACAAGTAGCTTATATAAATAAGGCTTTTATATACTTTTTATAGCTTTTATCTATCTCTATATATATATATATTTATTTATTTATTCTATAATATATTCTCTTATACTACTAGTACTTATAAAATAGATTATAAAAATACTTTAAGCTAGTTAATGCTTTTTCTTAGCTTTACTACCAGGCAGGCTTATTTATTAAGAGTTTTACTATTCGGCTAAGTAGAAATATATATTCGGCCAAGTAGAAATATCCGTTCGGCCAACATTAGTTAAAAGGCGGGGTATCTTAATGTTCCCGCATTCGTACCGTCCTTTTACTATTCCTTTAGCGAAAATCCTTAGAAAATCCTAGGTAGCTCTAACAGAATAGCGTACGTACTCGAGCGCCCGAGCTAGTAGGGGAGGGGACCCCCTTCGGGAGGGGCCCTACTGTGGGGGTTTATCCCCTGCGCGAGGTGAGCGCGACGGATAAGACGAGTACTTAAAGATACTTAAGATGCTACTTTAATGACTAAGATATAAAGAGACCAATTAAAAGAGGAGATTTTAAGAGACTCTTCGCCGAGTAGAGATTTCCACTTAGCCGAGTAGCAATCTCGTATAGGTACCTGTGCTGACGGGCGGCTCATTAGGTACCGAAGTATCCGCTTATCCGCTTCGCTTAGCGTACCCCGGTCGTTCCACGCAATGTGGCACTAATTACAAAGTAGCAGGCGATTACGATGTATAATTTCACGAGTGGCGTTACGCAAGGAGCACGCAGAGTATCGAGTAGACGTGGCAGCTGTACTGTAATGTACGTACTTTGAGACATTCGAAGCAGTGGTTTCTTCACTGCTCCGGGAGCGTTGAAAGAAGTTACCTACCGGAGTAGTCAGTCAGGTAGGTTGGCTACTTTTGGCTGGCCGCTGCACTGCATGTACAGTACGTAATCGCAGGTGCTCATACTTGAACCAAATCGGCAGGTCTCCCTTTTATGTAAAGTACCGAGTAAATATAACATAGCCCATTAATAACATGTACTCCGCACCGTAGGCAAGCCCGACAGCGACGGCCAATCAGACCCATGCTTATGGGGCTTGTGCTTCGCGATGGGCAAGTAGCGACACAAGGACGCGACATCGATGTGCTTCTTTTTCCATTGTGGAAGAAACCTTCCTGCAGTTCCGCGACGGAGGGTTTTTCTCTTTCGCTGTTGAACCCTGACACATGTTTCTCCTCCGTCTGTCTCTTCTCCACGCACGTCTTTGCAACACCTCTCACTCTATCAGAAGCAACCTCCCACTCCGCCTTCACTGATGCAAAGGGCCCCCGGTCTCTTGTGCTCCTGCGTCGTGGCAATCCAACGTCACCGGCGCGCTTCATCAGCATCGGCGACGACGCTCTCCCATCGCGTCGGCAGCACCGCTCACAACTCTCTACCGGCCCGCGCCGCGCCTGTGAACGCTCGCACACGCGCCCGCATGATAGGAAACCAGTCTGTGTCAAACCGCAGGCCTTCTGTGCAGCATTCACGCCTCTCTCCTTTCTTCAGGCAACCCTCTCCGCTCAGCTCGATTCCCGCCTCGCAGTGACCCGCAAGCACCGTCGCCATGAGCTCGGCTGCCGTCTCTAGTCAGGCTGCCATCGAGCCGGGCCAGCAGCAATCCTCCTCCGTCTCTCCGAACCCGGCCTCCACACCTCTCCCGTGGCAGACAACTCTTGCCGACAACCATTCGCAGCCAGTCGTGCTTGCCTCGCCCCAGCCCAACGGCTTCGACCCGCTAGGTCTTGGGCCTCCGCAGCAGCCGCGGTCCTCTTCCGCCGGCTCGTTTACCCGCTCCCCCTCACAAGCCGACTCCCAAGGTCCCGTCTCAGGCCCACCGCCCGTCGCTGCCCCCATCAATGGCCTACCATCCGCCGTCTCCTCAGACGGCAACGTCGCGCACTCCTCTCCTCGAACGCAGCATGCGCCCTCCGTCTCGACCCCGGGTCGCTTTTCGGGTGCCCTCCGTTCGCCCAAGAGTGCTCATGCCGCTCTGGAGACTACGTCAGAGTACCACGGGCTTGCAGAAGCCATCAAGCGAACGTCGCCCCAGATCGTTCGCCAGGTGGTTCGTGATCTTTGGGAGAAGTGCCTCCTGGGGTCCGAATACCACCTCGCGTTTCTTGTAAGCACATGCCCTGTCCCGTGAAGCGGCCCGTCACCCGCGGTCCTGACCAGAGTGCTCACATCGGCACCACAGAGCTACACAACCATTCACCGAGCCTCCTCGTCGACACTCGATCGCGCGGTCCAAGACTTTGGCGAAAGGATGGTCAAGTCATCGAAGCGGCATATCATGGCGCACTTGTCGGCGGAAGACTTCGATGAGGTGGCGGATACAATATTGGCCCAGGTCAGCAACGAATTTCTTGACAAAGCAATGGCCAGGCGCTTGGAGACGATCCGTGCTCGCCAGCTGGTCAACGCCCTAGCTCGGGCTGAGCGCCTGGGCTATGATGTTCAAGACATCGTGGAGGAGAAAACGGCCAACGGGGCCGAGCATGTCGTCCCGTCCCTCGGTCCCATGGGCGCCCTGTCACTGCCTACGCATCCAACATCGTCTCAGCCGCCCCGAACGCAGCAGCCGGGCCCGGCGACAGCACCGGTGCCGCGCCGCCAGGTTTCCGGGGCCCAGAGCAGTCAGGCGTCGCGCGACGCGAGCGCCCCACCGCCTAAATCTACGAATCCGCATGGCATCGTTCACTGCACCAAGTGCGCCCGCCCCTGCAGCGGCGAACAAGCATTGCGTTATGTAAGCTGCCTCCTGGCCCGCTTGTGGACACAGGCTCGCTAACCTTTGTTTCCCTTGACGCAGCACACAACGAGGCGTGCATGTGAATACACACGCATGGTTGAAAGAGTTGGCAAGGACATATGCCCTCACTGCGGCTGCCTCTTCGTCAGCAGCGGCGGTCTGACTTACCATGTCAAGAGCAAGGTCTGCGGAGACTACCCGGAGGCGACAGAGAAAATGGTGGTTGCCCAAGTCTACGCCAATGGAGCTCGGAGCAGCCCTGTGTCTGAAGCAGCCCCCTCGGTGCCGACGGGCACCCCTGCATCGTCGCAGCACAAGACGCCGGGACAGATGGTGGCGGCGGCGACCGGTGGTTCCGGTCCGCTCAGCCGGGTCACCCCCAGCCGCGGGGCCGCGTCACCGGCCGAAGACCCCTACGCAAAGCTGGGCCCTGAGGAGAGGCGCGTCTTCGAAAGGGAGATGAAGATGGCCGAGGACAAATATGGCGGTTTGATGCGAGAAGCCATGAAGCTGCCGGCAGCAGAGCGGGAGAGTGAGCTCGTAAGGCTCAAGAACAGCTACAACACGAAACAAAGCGTCACGCGCAAGAAATACGGCATCCGGCTGCGTGAGCGGCGCCCCAAGGCGGATATTGATTCGGAACGAATCCGCCTTTTTGGCACGCTACAGAGTGACGCGCCTGCTCCGTCACCCAAGAGGCCTCGTCTCAGCGAGGGCCCGGCTGCTTCGCGCGAGCCCGAAAGCCGCCCCGCAACGGCATTAAGCGGCTTGAGCGGCGGGCTAGCCGGCTCGTCGGGTCCGGCAGAACATACAGATCCGACGACACTGCTCACGCCGTTGGAACCGCGAAGCATCGCGCATGTGCAAGCCCAGCTGTCTACCTCAAAGGGGACGCCTGACGACCCCATGCAGATAGACGACGACAGCAGCGACGAGACGGATTCCGACTCGGACTCGGACGACATACCTGCCAACTTACCCGCCAGGACGGCTTGATATGCAAGAGCTGCTGGGTAAGCGAGCGGTGGCGTGGTAAAGGTGGGCCAAGAGTCGGCGACGGGCATGGCAGAGGCGCTCGGATGGAGACTTGATTTCTGGGCTCCCGCCGTCGGCCCAAGCCATGGGGCCTGCATGGAAGACGGGCGGAGGGACGTTAGCTATATATCCTTTTCCTTTGCATTTTTGTCGACTTGCCACCGAGGAGGCAACGGGAGCGCACTGCCTGGACAAATGGTTGTCTGCTTGTGGGCTCGGGGCATAGCAAGAGGAGTTGGTTGCTTGGACGAGGCGGCGACGATGAACAGCTTGTGCCGAAGCGCATGCCGGGCACGGCTAGTAATACGAATAGAGGCCGTAGCGAATCTTGGCGTTTGCCAGCAGAACGAGACCGCTATTTGCTACCCAGCTTTGTGCGAACGACGCGAGCCTGGGTGACCCAAGTAAGCTCTCTGAGAGGCCCTTGGCGTGACAGGTGAGTGGCATGATGGGCGTACTACCATGTAGCCCGGCTGGAGGAGCGGCGAGTAGAGGACGAAGTGGCAGTCGGGCACTGCCAGTAAGGGGCTCCTTGATAAGTTACACCGCGTACAGGAGAGGTATGTCTCCTAGATGTCTCCTAGAGCCCACAAGCATTCATCGCTCGTCGAATGAGAGGTGCCCGCATACCTAAGCCTCGGAGCGGCGGCGGCAGCAGCAGCAGCAAGCCACCGTGACAAGCCAGCGAGCCGGCCCGAGCAGCAGGCAACGCGGCGGGGGCCGCTGGCGGCCTGGGGCGTGTCCGTGTGCGCGCCACACGCGCTTGATGGCCGGCCGTCTTCGGCGGCTGCTCTGCAAAGCCAATCGCTTCGACGGGGCCGGCCGGCCGTGCGGTCTCGCGCCAACGCGGCAGCGCGTGCTAATTCCCCCCCTCAACGATGAAGCGAGGCAGAAGGAGGTAGGGCAAGGGGGAGAAGCCCTCGAATCTCACCGTCACAGCACACCCTCGCCTGCACCAGACGTCGATTCATTCATGTTCAATCATCATCATTCGTGAGCGAGAAGGCGAATCAACTCGTCGGCTCCTATCCTACGGCGCAGGCCGCCTTTCCAAGACGGACGAGCCCCGACCCTCGGGTTCGGCATGTACATCGTTATCCGTATGAGGATTCCTTTCCTCATCTTTCGTTTCCATCACACAACAAGGCGTTTTCGATTTAAGGGAGGGAGAAGGGAGGGAGGAGAAGAGAAGAGAGCACGAGGCGCGGCGTTCCAAGGTACCAGGGAGATGCGCCGAGGCAGCCTTCCCACCCAGCATAGGGAGGGAGCTGCTCCGACGCCCCGTCCGAACCTTGGTCGTCATGCAGTCATCATATCGTCATCATGTTTCCATGCTAAAAAGAGAAGAAAAAGTCGTCTTGGAAAATGAGCAAAAAGCAGAAGCAACAGCAGAAACTCAAAGCTCAACAACCCATGATTCCGTCTTGTCTTGCAAAAAGTCTAGAGTAGATGGGGTCCGCCCTGATGCCTCGACAGACAAGGAGAAGCTCGAGTGGCCGGTCGATGCATGTATGAGACATAGAAAATGGCCCTCCGCGACTGGATGCGTCATGCGACCAGCCAGGTTTGGGCCGGTTGCGCGGTAGGTCTGTGCCACTCCAACAATGGAGGCCAAGAGATTGGTGTACACCGGGAGAGGAAATAGACAAGGATATAATGTGCGTGACTCGTGAGCGGTCGTGAGGTACATGAACATGAGCGGGACGTGAAGAGAGCGACGATTTCAAAGTGGGGAGTGGGACCGTCGAGCCTGTGCTTCCCGGCGGCGAAAGTCCTTGAGCCGCTCGTCGATGTAAGCCAGGCGGTTGGCGAGGGGCGGCCTCGCAGAGCCGGCGGCAGCGTCCGACGACTGGTGGACCGTCGCAAAGGGTCTTCGCGCCGCAGCGAAGCCCATGACGGACGAAGTGTTGGACCTTCGACTGGGGAAGGAGAAGCTGGTGCTCTTGGCGGAGAAGGGCGATCCGAGCCGGGGGGGGCACACGGCCGGGGGCGCCAGCGACAGGCGGAGGGGGCCGGCGACGGCTTCGGCTCCCGACGCCGAGGGGTGCGATGCCTCAAACAGCTCCTGAACATTTGTGCGAGGCACAAAGAGGTTGTCGCGCAAGCTGGAACTGGTTGAAGAGAATTCGGCAAACGGCGCAGCCGGGTTGGCCTGCGCCTCGGTCGTCGAAGACGACGGGTCGGTCCAGAAGTCGGAGCCGAGACTGGGTCTCTTGGACTTGCGAGGCTCCAGCGCCGGCTGTCTGGACCGGCGCTTCTGCGTGCTGCTTCGGCTTTGGGCAAGTCTCACGGGTGATCCGAGGCTTCGCCGCGTGCCGACCGTGCGGCTCTGTCTCCGGGGCTCCGCGACCAGACCCAGACTGTCCGCCAGGGCATTGGTGGAACTGGGTCCATAGCTCTTGGCCGCCAGGAAAGGGGACCCCAGTCGCGCCCTCTGCTGCTCGCCCGAGTGGTCCGTGACGGAAATGGCAGGCCCAGGCGGCCTGCTCTCCAGGATTGTTGGCTCGGGCAGTGGACCTGCGAGCTGAGCCAGGGGGCCTTTCGGCTGCATCGAATCCGACGTGCACACCGTCAGGGACATGGCCATGTCGGACCCGGAGAAGACGGAAGGGGAACGGGGGGGCGCAGAGCGACGGTTCCGGTAGCGAGTCGCCGTCTTGCCAAAGGGCGTCGGGCTGTGCGCCAGGTACTGGACGTTGCGGGTGGCGGTTCCGCTGTTGGCTTTGCAGAGCTCCCTCAAATGAGCGCGCGTCGCCGCGCAAGTGTGCGGCCATTCGACGTACGGCGCCGCCGTCTCGGCGGTTGGCGTCGTGCTTCCGCTCTTGTTTTCGGCCCTAGCCTGGGACCGCGACCCTTTCCAAGATCTCTTGGCCTCGCGGGCGACGCGCAGACACACGCCCGATGGGGGAATGCCGCTCTTGCCGATGCGAAAGGGCGTGACCTTCGGGTCTTGCAGATACATCATGTACGTCGACCAGAGATGCTTGCCCATGGCTCGGGTCCAAGGCGCTTTCCTAAGCGTGGCGGGACGCGCCAGGGCCTTGACGGTCTTGTCGGCATCCTCGGCCGGTAGCAGGGACGCGAATCGATCGATCTGACTGCCCTCGGGGCTCGCGCACTGGCTCAGGTCCTCGGACGTCAGGGAAAACTGGCTGAAGAGGGACGCGGTCGTCTGCGTGGATCGCGCAGTCGAGGGGCGGCTCGACTCGCAGTCCGGGCTGGACTCGAGGCTGCTGAGGGAGGCGCCGAGGGACCAGTCCGGGAAGCGCTTTGGCGACAGAGAGGGCACGGCACGAGGGGCAGGCGTCTTTGGTGACGAGAGAGTCCTGCCGCGAGTCGGCGGGTGCTCGTCAAAAGCGATGCGATTGAGGCGCGGGGTGTGGGGGAAGACGGGCGTTTCGAGCATGTCGTCAAAGACCTGGGGCTCCTCGATGCTGGGGATGGGCACGTCGGCAGCGGCGACAGAGGCGAGGAACTGCTGAGTCGGAGCGCTAAGATGCGACACGGCGCGCTTCTTGAGTCGGAATCGCGGTGGTCGCGGAGGGGGAGTTAACGGTTGAAACTGGCCGTCTTGGACACACGGCTCGGGGGTTTTGAGTGCTGAAGAAGAGCGTGGGCCACACGGGCGAGGGGGATGCAAGGGAGAGTCCATGGCGCGGGGACGGTGTGGAATGCACAAGTGCTCGGGGTCTGTCAGGGTCCTGGCACGGGGCTGTCCAAATACGCGGCCGATGCGCCCCAGCAGCGGCGTCAAACAGAAATGTCTCGACTTGTTTTCGACGGTGGATGCGATGTCGCAGACGAGTCTCAATCGCAGGCCGCAGCAGCAATGGCCGAGGATGGCGAAGCGATGCGCACGAGGGCCGCCAAGAGCATCCAAGCAGTTGGTGTTGACGGGTCGCGAGAAAAGGGAAGCGGTCGTCGCGAAGGAATCGCAAAAGGCGCGCGCGCGAGTCTGCTGCCGTCGAGAAAGCGGCCAAAGGCCAAGCCAAGCGCCGTGTTGTGCGCGCGCGCGAGAAAGAACTGAGGCAAGGAAAAAGGGCGTCGCGAGTCGAGTCGATTGCTGGGAAAAGTCGGGTCGAGCAGCTGGCGGGCCGTGCGAAGCCAGTCGCAACAGCTGCTGACGGTCGGTCGAGGGCGCACAGAGGCAAAGAGGGACTGGAATGGGAGAAGGGGAGGGACGAGGAGGAGCGGGAAGGATTGTACCTAAGTATGTATGTTGGATGTGTGTGTGTGTGCAAGTGCATGCAATCTCGAGCACGGGCGGGCGTGGGGAGAGAGAGAGGAGGAAGGGAGAGGAGGAGGACGAGAGAGAGGAGACGGCGGCGGAGGCGGGCCAGCAAGCGGCGGGCGGGTGGCGCGCGGACCCTGTTGGAGGTGTGTGGGAAGGAGAGGTGCGGTGCTGAGAGACGCCCCCCCCCCCCTGCCTGCCCGCTAAGAGTCTGGGAGAGAGCGAGAGAGCGAGAGAGAGAGAGAGAGACAGAGAGAAAGAGCGCTCCACTCGGTCCCGCCGCCCGGCGGACAGGGGGCCCCTCGCTCCAGTTTCAGTGGGGCGTGCGTGGGCAACGCCAAGGCCTCGCAGTTCTGCTTGCCGCCGGGGCGGGGAGAGAGAGCCTGGAGAGAGTGAAATGGAAATAATGGGGGTGGAGACGCTGCGCATGCATGTAATGTGTCCAATAAGTTACATGACAGTTGATATACTCTCTGTGCAATGAAGCAGCTATTCGCTCTTTGTGTGCACTGTACTGTAGACGAGACTGTGCAGGGTACCGCAAGATGTCGCCTTCACAAGGGACGACGGCATGTACCGGCACAGTGCCAACCAGCCGGTCTTGGTGCAAAGATAAATCGACCAGTCGTCTGTGGCTGGCGATAAACTGCAACTCAGTTGCCTCCTTCAACTTCACGTACAGGAGCTGCATACATACATCTCGTACTCGTGTCGGCAAAGGCAAGATGCCGTACAGGCAGGCTAACGTGATAGAACACACGGGGGGTCAGGCTGCGGACCAGACTCCGGTGACGGCCTTGTCAACGCTGTCGCCCGATGCGGTGAGAAGCAGCCGGGGGGTTGGGCCCTTTGCCAGCCAAACTCGAGCCTAGACAAACAACACTCCTCTGTCCAGACCAACAGCCAGCCCGGCACTAGTGGTTCGCTCCCAGGAAGAGGAGCTCCGCGCATCGGGGCCCAGGGCACGAGGGCTTGATAGGGGTAAGTTACGACAAGCCGCCGTCGTGGACGAACATGGTGGGACGGTGTGCGCGCTATCCGTATATCCGGTGAGCAAAAAGGGCTGGGTGGCCGTCGGTGACTGAGACCCTGGCTGGTTTCCTTTGCCGTCTGGCACTCGTGAGTGGCAGTTCGCACCCCCCGGGGCCCGGGTTGACGCCGGCGGCTGGCTGTCATCTCGCCAGTAGCGGAGAGGCGGGAGGCTGGTCAATGTGGCACTTGCATCCAGAGTCGCAGTCGGCAGCAAGGGTGGATGATTGGGGCGGAAATACCGCAACCCATGGTTCGTGCGTCTCGTCGCGTCGTCGTCGTCGCCTGCTTCACTCGTTTAGTCTTGTCGCAATGGAGGCATGCGAAGCGGGATTCTAGGGGGACGGAAGACGGCGGTGGGAGGCAAGAGGCATATGTCATATGTCATGCGTGCAGGTCGCTGCGTGCGCCAGACGAAGCTGGTGGCAACGCTCCAGTGTCACCAGGGACATCGACTGCCATTGAACCACATGTTTGCAGGGCTGGGGGTGTCACACGAATCCATGACTTCAAAGGCAAGACGGCGCTAACGAAGGAACAAGGCTTATTGTTTCGTTTCGAGTCGACGCGTTGAGTGAAGATGAAGAAGACGCGAAATATGCGCGTCTGCTTACGCGTCCAGGGCGCGTTGTCGGGGTGTGGAAGGGAGAAAAGGGGGGGTCTGCATGGCTCCTGTGATTGGCTCCTGAGTGTGCAGTACTGCCTACTTGCCACTACCTGGCGCCTCGAGATCTAGACCCTTGATGGGCATTTGTTCCGCGCGGATACAAGGCTACCCGCGTACTGTAAATGCCCATGTATGTAGAGGTACCTCAGGCCTTTGTGCAAGGATTTTCTGACAAGTCGAGCTTCGTCGACAAAATAGAGAGGGTGGGTGTGGGTGGTGGTCTCTGCAGTACTGTCTGTACATCACTTGATCAGCTGCTTTGGGTAAGCCAGTACAGATAATTACATGGCGGTACAACAGAGAATGGCTCGGCAAGAACTTCCATGGTCTTCCCTTCCTGGAGCCGCTGTTCAAGTACCATCAACGAGGCGCGTCAGCTCGCTAAGGTACCTAAGGTACGCAGCCAGCACCGGGCTTAATTACTGTACTCCGTAGAACTCTGGCAAATGTACCTTTCGGCACGCTACCAAGTACAGTACTTCGGTAGATAGCAAGTACGTCCTCAACCACACCACAAAGCCCACCACGTACGTCCCTGTCCGCTTGTCAAGGATCAGCCACGACTGCTCGCGCATATCGTACTGAGCGCATGTGCCCTCCTTTAATCTTCTCTTTGGGCAGAAGAACCGGACGAGCGCATGGCTCGAAGCGCCCTTGGAAGCAGTGCAAACAGCCAAACACCAACCGACTACCTACTTAAACCTAGTCAGTATATACTGGGTACTCGCACCCATCCGAAGGGAAAAAGGGGAATCCATGCATCCATGCATCCGGGGAGCGCCCCTCGTCGCCGCAGCAGGCAGGACAAGGGCCTCCGGCCGTGGCCCATCGGTTGGACGGCGGGTGGTTCATGTCCTCGTCATCCGTGGTTGGGTTCGGTCCCCAGAGCCGACGAACGGACACGCGGCAGGCCCAACAAGCAGAACTGTTGCTGCGCGACATTGCGACTTTTCTGTGCCACCTTGAGGCGCGGGCAGAGGGACAGCATCGTGCATTTCAGTGGTCAATTCCACACCCAAGACCAGCGTGACGGCCCCCCGAGGCGGGGAGCCAGAGCCACCAGCCAGAGCCATCAACGACAGAAGGCTCGTCGTGTGTTTCAGCTCAGCAGGGCGGGCTTGTGCTAACCAAACAACGCTCGCCACTCCTGGCTCCGACGAGCAAAGGGACAAAGGGACACCCTCGATCCGCCCGCCATCCGTGCCCAGCATCCGCAGACGCCACTCGAGCAGACAGCTGGTTGGGCACCGCCGCCGACAATTGGTAGTCGTCGGGACGGCGCGCTCTGCCTGGCTCCCGTCGCAGCCGCTCGCTCAACAAGCCTGGCCGCCCGCCGAGACACGCAGCAACGGCCCGCGCAGGTGTGTACTTGCCCACGACGCGCCGCCTCGCCCGTTCGATTCGTGGCATGCGTGTCTCTGTCTCTGTCTGCGTGCAGTGCGTGATGCCTGCATGTGCGGGCACCCCACCCGCTGCTAGACACTTCACCGGGGAAGGGAGGCAGCAACAGATGTGCGCGCGCATCGTATCCGCGCCTCACCCTCCCTCCTCATGGGCCCTCGGTGTGCATCGATTCCCAACGCTGCTCCACCCGCCCGGAGGGAGTCGCGAGCCCCCATCATCGGCACCATGGCCATGGTCCAACTGCCGCGCGCCAACCCCGGTCCCCATTCCGCCCGCCCACCGTCGAGGCGCCGACCCGCCGCCGTGCTTTTCTTCTTTCCCCAGCCTGCTAGTACTGCTGCTTCTCTCCGTTTTTCCTTTCCTTCCAGCTTGCACCGGGAATGGAACGGGCCGTGCTGTGGCCACCAACACGACCATGACGGGAGTGTTCGCAGCAGGTGATCTGGGGATCCATCCGAAGGAGCGAGAGGGTGCTCGTCGGGTCCGTAAATGCCTCTGTCCCCTTCTTTGTATAGACATCGAGCGAGGCCTTCGCCACATACGGTAAACCAGGTGTCTCGAGTAACGTGACCATGGAGGCGGGGCTTCGTTCCCCGTGTGGGATTCCTCCGTAAGTTACATACGTACTTCCATCAATCTGATCTGCCTGGAAGTCCGATTTTCTCCGCGCCCTTGTCGCCCGTTGCTGTTGGTCGTGCGACGATGATGCCGGGATCCATCTGACAGCGAACCCTGCTTGCCGGCCTGTGCAGCGCCTGAAATGCCAACCAGAGCATCTCCGATGCGGCTCCTCCTCCACCCGCCCCTCCGCCCGCAGCTCCTCTGATGCGTTCATCGACGGCGGATCCATCCAACCTTTGAGTTTGTATTTATTACCCGTCGTTGTTGTTGTTGGCTTCGGCGCCACCCGTGGTTGGGACGACTTTGCTCAACACCCCATCGCCATGGATCCCGCCAACCTCATCACCCTCGACAACCTCTCCGAGCAGTTGCCGCAGTGGCGGCCCGACGACGAGAACCACTTGCATGCCGTCGTGGACATGGGCAGCAATGGAATCCGCTTCTCCATCTCCTCGCTGGCGCCCCCAAAGACCCGCCTCCTCATGCCCGTCTACACCACGCGCGCCGCCATTTCCCTCTACGATGCCCTGGCTTCCTCGCCTTCCGGTCACGATTTCCCCCAAGCCACCATAGAAGCTGTCTCGTCCACCCTTGCGCGGTTCCGTCAACTGGCTCTGATGCATCGAGTCCCGCCCGCCAACATGGCCATCCTGGCCACCGAGGCCATGCGCCGCGCCGCCAACGCCGCCCAGATGCTTGACGCCATTGCTGCGGCCACAGACGGCCTCCGAGTCCAGGTGCTTGACCCGCCCGTCGAGACCCTCTTTGGCGCCGTCATGGGGTCGAGAAGTGGCCTGGTCGACGTCAGGGGCGGTGCCCTGTTCCTGGATCTGGGCGGCGGCAGCGTGCAGATGACCTGGGTCGATACCGACGGTGACCTCTATGAAATGGACGCGGCCGCTGCCGGAGAGAGCCTGCCCTATGGCGCCGCAAGGCTGATGCGCATTCTCGATGAAGAGCCCGACGAGGTGCAGGACAAGGAGATCGGGAAGCTCCACGGCGGCATCCGGCAGATATATGCAAACTTAGGCGCCAAGTTTCCCGCGCTGCAGGCCATCAATAACGCTCACGAAAGAGGCGACGAGGGCGCCGTTGTCAACGTCTACATGTGTGGCGGAGGCTTCCGAGGCTACGGCAGCATGCTGATGCACAACGACGCCATATCCCCCTATCCCCTCTCCTCGACCAACGGCTACTCGGCCCCGTGCCGCTTCTTCTGCCAGACGGCCGAGATGAGCCGTGTAAATGAAGAGTACGACGGCAAAATCTTTGGCTTGTCCAAGCGACGCCGCCGCCAATTCCCGGCCATTGTCGCCGTCATTGACGCTTTCGTTGCCGCCGTGCCCAACCTCGGCCGTGTCACCTTTTGCGGCGGATCTAACAGACAGGGCGTTTTGATGATGAAGCTCCCTTTGCACATCCGGGAGAGCAACCCGCTCGACGTCCTATCCCCGGTGTCCCAGGCTGAGAGGAAGCCGTTTGATGCGGCGCTGCATCTCCTGTCGGCAGCCCTGCCGGCAGGGCTGGCATCATCCGGCGTGCCCACCATCTTCAGTCTCGGCCTGGGGCCACTCCTCGTCCGGGAAATTTGGGACCGGGCCGGGCACGGCGCGGATGCCAATTCCGCCTTTGCCCTGCACACTTCCATCGTCCGCGACTCGGAAAGCCCGGGCCTCACACACCTCGTCCGCGCTGTTCTCGGCCTGAGCGCTTGCGCGAGATGGGCATGTCATTTGTGCCCCGCCGATGCTCGGCTGTTTCAGGGGTTGCGTCGTGTTGCCGACAGTCACCATGAAGACGCCTCCTTCTGGGCCATCTACGTCGGCGCCGTCTCCAGCATCCTTGCTTCCCTGTTCCCTGTCATGCCCCAGGACGCTCGCCATCTCCTGGACACTGTCCGGTAAGATCCTGCCAACATCGTGGGAAACAGCCCGAGCTGTGCTAACGGCGCTTGGAATTAGTTTTGACACGCACAGGGTTCCAGGTAACAAAGGCAAAAGGGACAAGATTGTGCTGAAGATTGGCGTCGCTTCCGCCTGCGCCGAATTCGTCGACACGGAAGGACTTGCCGACAGCTTCGAGTCGACCATGAGCAGAAAGGAAACAAGGCACACTTTCAAAGTCATCGCTCAATTTGCCGCCCTCTCATAATGATTGTACGTTAAACCTCGCCCAGCCCCCTGCCAACCCAAAGATAAGGCCGTAAAGAATCATAAAAAGTCGTTTTCGTCGAGACTGTTACAGTCAAGTTCCGCCAGCCAAAGTTCTACTGTACAGTGACGCAGACAGCCCAATGTTGCCCGGAGCATTCATTTGACAGCTTCAATTTTCCGCGGCGTGATTCCTGGACCCCTTGGCTTTTGCCACGTCCTTTGGCGCCCGCCTCCGAGCGGTCAGCTTTTTCAACTCGTGATCTACCACGAGCACGCGCAAAAGGCAGTCGCCATCATCCTTGGAGGATTGGAGGGCTTGGTCTATCAAGAGTCAGCGCGCGATCGACTCCATCAGCAACGCCGTGCGTGCACTCCCCAGAGGACTCACACATGTCCTTTCTGGCATCCAACAGCTGCTGACCGAGACGACGAATCTCGGCCCTCTTCTTGAGGGCCTGCCCAGCGGCCAGGCCAGCCTCGAGCCAGTCAAGGGATAGGTCCAGGCTTTTCTTGGTGCGAAACTGGTAATGATAGAAGATGGCCACGAGCGGAAAGTAAGTGTCGGCAAGTTGTCTATAATAGTCCATGTACGGATTGACTATGCCGTTGTCAGCTTCCCCTTCGTTGTCTCCCATATCCATTAACGTACCGTCGTGAGCATCTTCGCCCCCCTCCCTGGTTAGGCGAGTAATCTTGGCCTTGCACGCAGTCAAGAGGTCACGATACATGAGGATGAGCTGCCACAGACAAGCCCAGACGGCCATCTTCTCCGCAGGCTGTGGCTGGGCGTGCTGGCCAAGGCAGTCATCGAGGCTCTTGAGCACTCTGTACTCGAGCGATTTGAGAGCCTCCCGGGCAATGTTCCTCAACCGCGCTTGCACGGACAGGGGCAGATTCGCGATCCTGTTGGTGGGATCTCGACACCAAAAGGACGACATTCTCCAAATCCTGAAGAAGCAGCTCATTTTATGAACGTTTTCGACAAGATCGTGCTGAACTGCGGTTAGCCCACTGGGGACGGCTCAAGAACAAGCTGCGGCTGCATACTTTGGGGAGACTGCGGCCGCCCTCGGAATAGGCGAGCAGGAACCTCTGCAGCGTCTGGGCAAAGTCGGGTTTCTGCTCTCTCCTGATCTGGCCCTCGACCCAGCTCTGCAGCGTCTCATAGCTCGGGACGTGGTCGCGGGGGAAGTCGGCCTTGCTCGGGTTGACAGTCTCGTCCCGGTCGTCATTGGATGTGTACGGCTGCACCGTGGCCAGCAAGGCCGGCGAGGTTGTGTCCTTGGTCAGAAAGATGGCGATCTCCTTGGGCTTGCCAATGTGTTTTCGAGGGCAAGAGCACAGTTTCTCCTCTTGTCTGGCGTTCCTCGACCACACATCTGGTACGCGGAAAGAAGGGAAAGGTCAATATCGAAACCGCTGAGATGAAACGGGAGGTGAATCAGGGGTAGCAAGTGAGAGGCTGTGGGCTTACCTGGACCGTGGGTTGCAATCGGCCACGCCATGGCAGGGGTGATACGAGTACAGACCAGGTGAGAGTGGTTTGGAAACGCCTTCCTGCAACTAGGACACACACCGCTCTCATGGCACTGGAAGTGGCTGTCAGCTTCGAAGCCCAGGGCGTACAGACAGCGGGATGTGTCTTACACGAGTCTTGGTCACTCGGCACGGCAGGCATGCTCCACTCTTGCGGACGTCCGCCGTCTGGACCGGGTCGACCAGCTGCCGCTGCCTCTTCTCCGCGTCGCTGCCAGATCGGCGGCGCTTCTGGCCAGCCGCCGCTTGGGCGCCTGCCAGGCTCCCGGGCTGGTCTCCCTGGACATGGATGTGCGGCGGGTACCGGCGGGGGGCAGCCTTGGTCGCCGGCTCCGTCTGCGGGTAGGTCCATTCGTCGTCGTGGGCCTGGGCCTCGCGGAGAGTGACGTGGGGGCGGTGATGGGAGTCCTCGGGCTGGTCCGGGAGCAAGGAGCCGGAGTGGTCCGAGGGCGAGGTGCTCCCTCCCTGGATGAGCTCCGGAGTGGTCTGGCCCGAGTAGTCGGAGCCGGCGGCGGCCTCGTCAAAGGTCCTCATCCTGATGAGGCCCGTGCCGAGGTCGTCGAGGGAGAGGTGGTGGTCCAGGAGAGAAGCGGAAAAGCCGGTGACGAGGGCAGACAGGTCCTCCGGGGCGGCCGGGGGGGAGCCGGGATACTGGCTGGAGGCAGCCTTGACGAGCGGCTGGGGGCCAGCGGAGAAGGCAGGCCAGTCGAAGAACCTGTCAAAGAGATCTTCCAGGGCCGGGGAGGAGGAGGGAAGCCGGGGGTTTTCTGGCTCGTCCATGATTGATATTGTCTTTCTCGGTGTAAGTCACGGGGATGCGGTGGGACCTTGGCTAGCACCTGCGTTGGGCGAATCGAACCTTACCCCCCGGGTGTTTGTCTGGAGAGTATTATTTTTTTTGGGCAGGCGGCACAATAAAACAAAAATTGGGTGGAAAAGATGCCCAATGCTTTGCACCCAGGTCCTTTGTGTAAGAAATATCGGGTTCCGTCGACTTTGCCTGACACAAGGGAAATATAATTCCATGGTTTGGGGGGGAGGAGAGGAGGCTCTGCAGTGCCTCGTCACTTACACGGTGCCGCTACTGGCGGGTTTCGGTGAGAGCCGGGGGTCTGATTGGCTGCAGGGGGGCCGGGACCCCATGGCAGGTAGCCAATGGGGACCCTGGCCTTGACCGATTTTGTCCTGCATCTTATCTAAGGAGCCGGTCAGGTGACTCGGCCAACGTCTTTCCTCCATGTTGAAAGAGAGATGACGCCTTTGCCCGAGGGGCTGCCGTCGCCATGGGTGCCTATTCGGTTTCGCGTCTGGGACTGGTTCCGACTTCTCTGCAGAGCGGGCGGACATGGCTTTGGAGCGGTTTGTGGGGAAGACGCCGGATGAGGACAACGAGGGCCCCGGCTGGCGTCTTATATCGTCCCGCGGCCGGGGTTGGGTTGGGTTGCAGGGGGGCGTGCGACAGAGTCTCTCTCTTCTAGCCTTGGGTGTCGACGGCTACGTGGCCGGTTGCTCGGGAGGGTGACGGAGCACAGTCCCCGGGAATCGACGAGCAGGGCTCTCTCTTGGGGGAAGTCCGGGTTCAAAGAGTCAAGGTTGGCAGACGGATGGATGGGATGGGCGTCACTAAACAGAGTGGAACACGGCACGTTCCAATATGCCTGCGTCTCAGTCTGCAGAATGGATGGATGGTGGAGACTGCAGATGCGACGGGATCTGCAGGTGCTGGGGACTCGGCCCGCGGCGCACGTAACGGGACCACTGCCGCCGACGGGGCTTCAGTATACGCCCTGTTTCTTGTCTTATTGACGAGTCACTCCCTCGGGCATCTCGAATCTATACCTTGTACCCTTGGCAGATGTCTGCATTTACTTGCGTCTTGACTCAAGACAACTGGCTACCTCGGTGTCGGCGTATCCCGCTGCAAGAGCGAGATGAACTACCGCATAACCATTGTATATTGATTGAATGTAACGTTTGTGTCGTACTTTTACTGAATTGATGAGTTCCTACAGCTGGCTCGGACCAATCCACCGGCGGCAACAGACCGCATTAAGGACCCTGATTCGCGCCTTGACTTGACGGATAGCCCGACTGTAAGAGCTGCCCTGACGGGCTCTGACGGCTACGAGGTACAAGAAGAGGACTGTGGAGGATTTGTCAAGAAGACGGCGATGGCTACGCAAGCATGGAAAAGATGGCCGCTCGACCTTGGAACAGATACAATGCTGGTGCAGAATAGTTGAAGTATTGGTAATGCTGACAGTAGGCTATAGAGAAGGAGGAATATTAAGGACTCCTCAGGGCGGGCTGTTTCTCAAGGATGGGTAATTGTTACAGAATAACACATGTGCCGGAGATCTCCTAGATAAACACGTGCTCCAGGTAACAGTGCCAAGGTAGAGCATTATTATAGGAGGTGAACTTAAGCAAGCGGCTTGCGTATACTTGAACTACTCGCTACGAGGGATTGCACCTTGATACAGGTAGCTCCTCGAGGTTACAAACCCCCCCCTTATAGAGTTATTCGGGCAGTAGTAATAATATTGAGGAGCTAGCTACGTTCTACTTGGCTCTCGTACTTCCTCTTTGTATCAGAAACTTCCGTTGTTCGCACCGAGGGGTACCAAGAAACATAAGGAGCTACGCGCCGTCTTGTATTGTAGAGATGGGAGTTGTCGAGAGCGATACCATCGGTCCTGTCTTAGGTGTGGCAGCCCCTTGGTATATCTTTCTAGAGATTACATACCTAGCCACGCAAGTTCTACACCTAGATGACAAAGTATATAATATCTGTGCATCTGGGGTCTCTTTAAAATCAAGGGTCCTATATCCAAAAAGACGACACAACATAGCAAACACCTATCGAAGAATGATAAAACAGGGCTATTCAATGCCTATTGCGAGTTATCATTAAATATGTCTAGATATATATACTATGGTATTCCGTTGATAGAGCGATATTGAAGAAAATTCATCATTTATTACATCTTATCACTCTTTAAGCCTCCAACTCACTCAACCTCTCTTGCTAAACTCACTATAACGACACAACTTTTAGTTATCACCAGCGCCATAGTTCGTCTATCCATCTCAACGCTCGGATAGCTTACTACGGCGGCGACCCCGTCCGCCATACCAGCAGAGAATCGCACCTTGCCCATGGTAAACTCTACATTGCCTACGGTGAATTCCACCTTAACCGCCGGCGATAACCGGGGGCAGGTAAGACATCCTCGGGGCCTTTATACGCGAGTGCGGGGACGAGCAGGCCCCAGACACGCTCATCGAGGCCGGCGTCAGTTATGTCCCTGAAAGATCGGGGCTTTACCCTCGGTGGCCCCAAATGTAGTCGTCGAAGTGTATATATTCCGCGCGGTGCCGTTGGGCAATAGCTTGTTGCGTCGTGATTCTTTGAGCGTGTCAGCCTTGCGGTGCTGCGGCGGCTCTACCTCCACGTGTAATACGGACTGATTACCGTGTAACAAAGCAAGTGAAGGACCCCCTTCTCACAGCCCGTACATTCTACGTCGTTTGGGAGCAAAGTGACTACTAGCTAGAAGGCTGACATTTCACCAACCACGGACTCGGTACTCTCCGCCCCGGCCAGTCAGAGACGATTGGTGTTTCCGCCTTGTGCGTTCTCGTGTCCATGGCGACGGCTCGGAAGACAGTACCACTTTCCTCCCGGCATCTCCAGGCCAGCAGCCCGGCCCTTGCGGACATGGTAAAACAGTTGCCGCCACCAGCTCTTACCTCTTCGCCCTCGGATACCTAGGCGAGGTGGTTTCTGCCGCGCGTCATGGTCAACCGAGGTCGCATGGGGAGGCTGCCGTTCAGTCATTTCCGTTACTCTTGAGTCAACGATGTCAATTACTGTAGCAGAATGCTGCCCACCAGTGTATCAAGTTGTGTGTGTGTGGTCTCAGACGCCCCGGTTGTCAAAAGAAAGCTGGCTACCCTGGACCCTGGCCCATACAAATGCGGAGCGACATGGACGACGGCACCTTGTACGGATAGTCGCCGGGACAAGCTTACTCCGGACAGGCCCGACATTTGCATTCTAGAAGCATGAACTAAATTACAATGGACATTCGAATCAGTCAAGAGCCGAAGAGGCAGTGGAGTCGTGCAAGGGCAGCATGGGATGAAGCAAGCAGCACAGACCCCCAAAGCAGCTTAGCTCGGGTCGGGTCGGGTCAGCTCTCCCAGGATGTGCATTATACTGCGTCACGTGCTCTCTCCATGACGGCGGACAGAGGACAGAGGAAAGAGGTACGAGGTACCTGGCCAGGTGGCGGGCGGCCCCACGTGAGGCTCAGGCTCGCGGCTATAGGCCATGGACATAATTAGGTAGGACAGGACTGTGTGGAGAGGGCACATGCGGCACGAATTGCACGCATATACGAGTATTTATTAGTAATGAGGGAGGGCAAATCGTTGTGAGGACAGGACCGCTAGGTACTGTATATCCCTCGTTCTCGCAGCAAACTACCTGTACTCCGTACAGTATCTTACTCCTCGAAAAAAGAAGGAAAAAAGGGGGGAGTGTGTGGAGGAGGAGCAGGGGGAAATGAGGTGGCTCCCCGATATGGTTCATGGGTTGCGCGAGAAGTAGAAAAAGAAGATGGATAATTAAGTTAAAAGGGTACGGATACTGTAAAGCATAAACAAGGTGCTGGAGAGGGTCATGCACAGGCGTTGGTCACACCAAAAGCAGGTCCCGCGGGTCTCGGGCGGCAAAAATAGACGGCGTGGCGCAGCTCGCACAATCACATCACCACTTTGAACTTGCGCATGTATACGGAGGCTGTCTGTCGTCTGTGCGACGAGAAAACTTTTTTTTCTCACCCTGTTCGGACATTGGGCTCGAGTCCGAATGCCGTCGAGGGCCAACAAAGGGGAGACCGCTGCTGCGTCTTGACTGGGTGCTGAGCGAGATTGAAGAAAGAAGAAACCACAAAAGTTTGCCGGTTCACCAGGGGAAGAAGAGGTATCCACCCGTCCGTCGTCTGTCTGTCTGTACTCGGTACTCTCGGACAAAAGGTCGATGGAATGAACATGATACACATACTACGTACCTGATAGTACGTACAGCGGACAGAACAATGGAGATTGGCGAGATGCCTCCTGCGCACACAGTATGGGGGCTCTTACACGGTATGGATGCGTGTATGTATGTATTTAAGTTATGTATGCCTTTGGATGTCGCCAGTCGTCCAACAATGACTCCGTTTGCGACCGGCCGGCCGGCCACGCGGCCGATGAGCAAACCGACCGACTGCGCGTGGTTGTGGCTCGTGATATTGGCTCGTATGTCCTCGTCCGCTGGATCCGAAGTTCTGCGTGTCTGGGCATATCTGGGCACGTCACGTCACGTCACATAGCAGCCTGCGCACGACTCCTCCCATGATCGGCCACTGACACCACACTTACTTGCAACTGACGTATGCATGCAGCGTGAAGCCGTCGCAGGGTGACATGGAATGGCATGCTGAACGTCTATTTATATCGCATCGGCATAACACACTGCATATGGTAATAGCAGGCCGGCCATTACTCTTTGCAAAGCACGCCGCCATACAGAGTACATGAGGCTATACCGAGCCTCGAGCAGTGCGCGCAGAAGAGTCATGAGCAAAAAGGAAAAGCGCCGTTCGGCAACCTCTGGATCGAGCGCACATGAAAAGCAGGAGGAGAAGCCGGTGGAGACTCATGTACCGTGTACCTCGCCGCCCCCTGAAAGTGTACCGCCCGCGTGTCGGTACGTACATGCCCTGGACACCGGATACTGGGACTGTACCCACAAACTACCTACCTACGCCCACATGTATCGGCCGGACGCCATGATTGGCTGCCGCGACCCGTCGAGGTCGGTTCGAGGACACTCACTCACTCGCCCGACAGAGGGACAAAGAAACAAAGCGCGAGGAAAGAACAAAAAAAAACACGAGAGAGAGAAGACCGACGGTGTCAGACATTTCCCAATATCACGGCTCAATGCAATGCGCCGCGGTGCAGCATGCACAAGCCGCTTCGTGATGCCGAGTGCTAGTGCCGCAGGGCAGACTGTATCCGGCGTACCGGGTACAATGCACCAGCTCCGCACCGCAAAGGGGCCCGGTACAGGGACCCGGTACAGGGACTTGGGGTGCTCGCTTGCCTCTGGGGTGCCTTTACGCTAAAAAGGCTGAGCATTCGTGTCACCCTCCGCATTCCCGCCCACTGCTGGCACTCCTTTAGCGCCTTTAGCTCTTTAGCAAAGGCTGCCGTCTCACATGCGTCCACGTTGTGTTCCGCCATCAGTCTGTTGCAGGTCAGAATTCGCGCGCGTGCGCGTTGAATTACTTGCCCGTGACCGGGGCTTCCTTGCTTGCTTTTGCCTCGTCGGCAGCCGCATCCTTGCCATGGGATCCACGAAACAGTGGTGGTAGCAAAACGCTACACTGGGAGTGTGTGGGTGCCATGCGTGCATGACTAAGGTGGAGGAGAGAGGGGCGACGGGCTCCTGGATCCCGGCAAGGGAGCAGAGCAGCGCCTTCGTGTTTTGCTGCTGCTGCTGCTGCTGCTGCTGCTGCTGCAGTTGTTCCGAGTCCGCCTGGGCTGGCTGATTCAGCCCCATCCGAGCCGCCCAGAGAGAGCCGTCAGCGCCGACGGCTGGCAGGAGGCGTTGGCAATACTCTGGGCCTCCACCACCAACTACCTAAGCGGGCAAACGGCAAGGACCAGAGGCCCTTGTAGTGGTACCCCGCCGCGCCAGCCACAGGGGGCTTGGGGAGTCGCGGAGACCTCGCAGCGGGGCGCGCCAAGGGCCATGTTTTGTTCCAGCAAGTACGTACCGGCTACTCGCCCGCGCCGCGTTGTCGAGTCGCGGTCGGGTACTCGTACTCGGACCTCGCTAGTCGTTGCTACCGTTGGTCATCAAACCTCTAATCACCCGTCAGCCATGCTCTCTCCCGTGTCCATCCCGCGCGTTTCCTTTCTTCTTTCCCAGCCGTCGTTTCTTTTTATTCCTTCTGCCCGCCCCTCCTCTGCACCAACGTCGACGGAAAACACACGCTGCCCCTTTCGCCCTGCTTCTGCTGTGCGGATACTCCGTACATACTGCTCGAATCCTTATGAGACATACTCCCCCTGCCCTGTTGCCAAGCCTACCTGGGCCAAGCCGGGCCTGAAATCCAAACCCTCTTGCCACGAAACGTCATCGCGTCTCCACCGCGAGTCGGCCATTCGTACCGGCTACCGCCTGTTCCTGGCGCTTTTCAACGGTACGGAGCCCTGTGCGCGCTCCTCTCTCAGGTACCGTTGGCTCGTTGTACATGCCTTGCCCGTCCAGGCCCTCGAAGGCGTCGCTGCGCCTGGCTGAGCTGCTTCTCTCCCATCAGGGCCCAGCATTTCTCCCTGCACTCCCTCCCCCCCAAATCCTCTAGGTACTCGACCTCCAGGTACCTGCTCTACTACAGACGGCCGTGGTGTGAGCCTGACGCGCGCGCTCTCACTCGATCCAACAAGCAGCACTCGCCCCGACTCGCCTCTCCTGTCGAACCACCCACGCCCCCGCCCCTTTTTCTCGCCGCCACCTTTCGACTCTGATTGATTACTTCCGCAACTCGATCCTCCTCTACTGCTGATTCTTGCTTGCTCTTCTTCGCTGCATGTCAGACTGGCTCGTGGACGGATGGTCATCTTGCCCAGTATGACCTCGAGTAAGTCCTTTCGAGCCACCATGCTCCCTTCATCCTTTTCTCTTTCTGCCCTGCGATCAAACTCCGACTCGGAAAAGCGCTCGCGCAAGTCGTCTATCCGCGACCGAGGAAACCTCGAGCCCACCCGCTCGCAGCGCCATCGCCAACACGACGAACCCGTCATCCTCCACTCCAAGGAGGCTCTTCAAGGAGAGCCAGTGCCTCCTCCCAACCGCCTGCGCAGCAAGTCGAGGACTTGGAGCGCCCGCGTCTCCTCCTTTCTTCCTCCGCTCATATCCTCGACCGCAGATTCGCCCCCTCAGCCCGTCCGCCGAAAAACCGCCGCCGAGCCCACCGAGCCCCGTCCGCCTCTCCCCCCGCCTCCGCCTCCCTATGCCTCTCAGGACTCACCAGCCTCGCCTTCTGGCCCGCCCACCAATGACGCCGCCAGGGCCGAGAGCCTCGAGTCGCCTTCGTCGCCCTCTTCATACTCGCCAACTGATCTGAGCATTCGACAGAGCTCGGCCGCGGCCGCATCCATGCCGCACCTGGACACGGCCAGCATCACTCTCGTATCCAGCCCCGAGGCCACCCCGACTGCTCCCTCGTCCACTTCGTCGCCCGAGTCTCGGCCCGCCGCCCTAGCCCGACTGGAATCCGCAGCCCAGACGGGGGCACGCGGAAGCCATGTTGCCGAGGGCAGCGCGGATTCTCAGAAGCAATCGAAACTGCAAAAGGCGGTCCGCCAGTCCCGGCGTCGAAGCAAGTCCCTGCACCAAATGCCTCTCATCTCGGAACCGCGCCCCGCCCCTGGAGATGACTCGACGTTTCCTCCGGAGCTCAGGGGCAGACGGAGCTTTTCCGCTCAAGCCCCGTCCATCGTCGCGGGTGACACACCGGGTCTGCGGCTCACCCCGCCGCCGCCATCTGCCAACCTTCGACCACGATCTTCAAAGGGCAGCAGCCAGAGCCCCTCGAGGGGAAGATTCCGCAGGAGCTGGTTCCCCGGTGGACTGAGGTCTCGCTCCAGCTCCGTGGATCCTTCCAAGAAGAGCAAATCGTACGCCTGGATCATGTCTGACGACAAAACACAAGTCGAGTACAACACATCGTTGCTCAAGAACGGTGAAAAGGTAACTCAAGGACAAGCCGAGCCTACCCACAGCCTCTGCTGACGTCCTGCTTGCAGGTTCCCGAACTTTGGAACGAAAGCGGCGTCGTTCATGTCTACCTGTACCCAAGAGGAAGCGGATGTGGACCCTCGTTCAAGGTGCCCGAGTTCACAGTGAGCTCTTCGTACGTCTTTTTCGAACTGATTCAATCCGAATTCGACGAGTCCAATTTTGAGCCGGGTTTCGATCGAGGTTCCGCCAGGAGTTCGGGGGGAAACGACAGCCTCAACCTGAATGATGCCACCCGAATGGCCTCGCCACCCGTCTCCCCGACGCTCCCCGAGTCCCCGGGCTGCATGCGATTGTACCTCCCCGCCGCGCTTCCCACGGGAAGCGGACACCTCACTGCTCCGGGCGAAGGATCGCACGCGGAGCTAGACCGCTTAATTGCCATCAGGAACCTGTTCGCCTTTCTCACCGGCCAACCCCTTGTGGGCACAAAGTCCAAACCCACCACGTTTCATGCTTTCCTCGAGATTGCAGAGCTTTTGCAAGAATTCGGCTTCTCGGGCGCTAGCGAGGAAACGTTTGGCGAAGCCGTCGACCTCAGCTTCGGTTTCTACTCGGATCAACTTGGTCTCGCCGACTGTCGCCACAGCCGAGAAAAGACTTTGGAGGCTCTGGTTCTGGGCGAGCGCATGCGCAGCCTGGACCTCTACAACGAGGCGTTTGCCCACGCTGCGGGAAAGTACTCGGCCATCAAGGACCTGCGGCTGCCGCTGTTCGAGCAGATCTCGCCGCACACCCGCGAGCGACTGGAGCGGGCGCATTTCGATCTCGTGAACCGCCAACACAACGTCAACGAGCATCTGGAACAGTTCGAGTTCCCGTCTCTATTTGCCGGCATCGCCAATTCTTCGGCGTTTCCCGAGCTGCGGCAAGTCCGGTTCAAGGTCTGGAGGAACTCGTTTCACAGAATGCGGCAATTCACCCTGAACTACTATAAGCACACGTTCGGTAGCTGGCCGCCCAAGGCCAGCAGCAAGAAGAACCCATTCGCAGAGAGCGGCCTGAACAGGCTAGTCCTCAAGGCCTTGTATTCCGACATGTGCGCCTTGTACGATATGCTCGTGGACCGGAAGAACCTGACTTCGAGAGTCATTGACGAGGTGCCCGCCATCTCGGACGCCGCCGACAAGATGGCAACGTCGGCCCTGCGAAATATTCTGTCCGAGTTTGACCGCTCCAAGCCTCCCGTGCTGCCCCCCATCCCATTTGACCTCCCACAGCTGCCGTCCATGACGGCGATCCACGAGACCTTCAACAGCCTCTCTGCCAAGGTCCAGAACAGGTTCGAGAAGAAGATCAAGGAGCACGAGCTGCTTCTGATCCTCAACAAGGCCTACAACTACGATTCCAATAGTTCCAAGCTGCCATTCCTCCAGCATTTCAAGGACTTTGAGATGCGGGAGTCCAAGGGAAAGATGTGCCAGGACTTGGTGGATCAACGAATCGGCTACTGGATCTTCCTCTCCGTGGTCTTGCAGTCGTTGCCGATGCTGGTGGTGGACGCACCGGGGTTGCAATACAGCGACGGGGTCGAGTACTTTCTATGTCAGCCGCCCATGGGCAACCCGCCGTGGGTCGAGGACAAGAAGGTGCGCAAGATGTGGTACGAAGTCACGGGCGGTGGCGGCCGCCTCGTCGAGCTCTCCGCCGATGCCGTCATGTTCAGCGTCGAGGCTACCTACCATCGAAGTCATTGCTGGCTGGCGGCGCAAAAGTGGGAGGGCATCGAAGACGCAGACGGTCCGCCGCCCGAAGAAGCCGTTATGTCGCCTCTCGACCCGCCACGTCCCGTGTTTCCCGGCGAACGCGACTGGGTACCGCTGCCGTCCCCAGTGTCCGCCTCGGGCACGCCGTCACCACCGCCCGGGGCGCCTCAAGCGGCATTGCGGCCGCGGAATCTCTCGCCGGGCTTGAATCGCTCCAGTCAGGCCTGGCGTTCCAGTATTGCCATCGGCTTGGAGCCGGTGCCCATGGAGCCCCCCAACGTGTTTGGAAGCCACAACCGGAGCAGCTCGCTGGGCCCGCGACCTGCGAGCAGCCACAGGGGCTTCAGGAGCGCCTCTTCGGGAAACTTTGGTGGGGTTGCAGGGAGCACGACTTCTCTGGCTGAGCCAATGATCACGGGCGCCACGTTTGACGACATCCTCGGCGCCACGCCGAAGAAGGCCAGCACAAAGAAGAAGTCGAGGTTTTTCTAACCGAGGTCATGGTCGGATACGGCGTTTGCGGCCGGCAAGGTGAGTGATGGGTGAAGAAACGAGTGATATTTTGTGCCGGCGCCTAGGGGAGTCATGTCCCCCCTCGTCGGGCCGTGGGGGATTTGCTACTTGATTTTGCCCAAAACGGCTTGCATTCTGTCGAGGAGTTTTGCGTACTACGGTTTTGGATATGATTTGGGATGAGGACAACGACGCTTGTGCTGCTTGGATTGCCGCAAAGGCAGTTTTCTTGTTACACGAAGGGCGAAGCACGATATAGAGCAGTGTGCATCGCATTATTAGATAATACATGCGAGGCTTGCCTCCCATTCACACTGCGGGTGGTTCCTTTGGACTCGAACACGGCCTGCTGCATAGGAATCGTGTCTCTGGTCGGAGGCGCACGCCCGCCACCGTGTTCTTGAGTCTGCTGAAGTGTGCTTGCAGCTCTCAGAGATCAAGCCGATCTGAAGCGCCAGAAGCCGCGCGAATCTTGCTCACAGGACGGTTCCACCGGGCTGGTCTTGTTCACGACAAGCAACGCGCAGGATCCCGTTTGCAGGAGCCGCGCCGGGTGCGCGTGCCATTCACAGCACACGTGCTGCCGGCCCGTCGTCGTCCTCGCTCGCCGCACACAAGGCGACACTGGCCAGTCCGGCTCTCGATCAGGGGTGCAAGACGTCCCAGGAGGCGGGTGGGGAGAAAAGGTGGGCTTATCGCGGCTGGGGCGCGGCGCGAGGAGAAGGATCGGCCGTCGTTTGCCGCCGCTTCTTGTCCGACGCTGTTCGGTGAACACGCGCGCGCGGGAACACGAGCGGCTCTGCGCGCTGTTGCTGTTCCGCTTCGGCGCTGTGAAGGGGGGTTGGGCGGTGTTTTGTGAAGGCGGCGAGCGTCGGGGCGGACCTGGCGGGCTGGTTGTTCTGTGCTCCCTTTTTGATTCTTGCACTGCTCGCCTGCCTGGCCATATAGGTCGGAACCACGTCGTTTTTCTCGCGCCGTCTCCCTCTTTCTCACCCCTGCCACCTCGACAGCTGCCCGAGCCTCGCCATCCCACCGCGACGCCCCAAGCATCCCATCGCCAGAGCACACCTCCTCCGCGATCCCATCCCGCCTCGTCGAGCGCGGGACAAGAAAGCTAAGCCACCAACCAAACCGAACAACCCAAAAAAATCTAACAAAAAAGCCCCCCCCCGGGACAGGAAGAGCAAACCCCGTCAAAGGACACCATGTGCAAGCTCCTGGTGCTGGAAAAGGCGTGCAGCAGCCAAGAGTGCGGCAACAGCTACCGCGACAGCAGGATCGACCTGTGCCAGGAGGCCTTGGACCTCGTGGGCATGCCCGACCTGTGCGACCCGCCGCAGGACGACGCGCTGGCCCACCGGCTGCGCATGGGGGGCCACGAGGTCGTCGAGCTGAGGGACGAGAGCGTGCCTCTACACTGCAACCGTTGCCTCGTCATGAGCGGGCTGAGAAAGTCGCGCGTGCCTGCGTGTGGCTCTCGTTAGGAAACTGGAGAATCACGGCGAAAGTGCGAGTTTTGACGACATGTGTAGAGTGGCGGATATCAGTCGGTCTTTTGAGCTGTTCAATAATAAATCATTGCGAGTGCCCTTCTCAGCCAACGTCAGCCAACGCCGAGAGTCCGGTGAACAAGTCCCTGTATCTGCTTTTACCCTCTTTGTTCTTTTTGTACCTCGTGAATGTCGTGTTTCACCCGGTTTTCGATTCCCCCCTCTCGCTGCCTCCGGTCCCCCAATATCCGCCCGCGGCCTTCGTATACGTCAATGCCATCAACAACGCTTCAGTCGAGACTGACCCTCGTCCAGCGCCCCCGCTTGGTGTGCCACCACCGCTCCCTATTCCTCCTGTCCCCCGCCGCGCCGCCTCTCCAGTTCCAGCTCCCGTCGCAGCCGTCTCGCGCCCCGGCGGCGCCCTCCCCGTCCTCGGCAAGCACGTCCGCCATGTCGACCAGGCCGCCCTTGTCGTCTGCGGACCCGGCGTCGGGCACGAGGCAGTAGTCGATGTTGCTGCCCACGGTGCCCACGTATCCGCCCATGCCGAACGCCTCCACCACCCGCCCGTCCTCGTCCTCCACCTGGACCCGGAACCGATGGGCGTCCCGGGCATTCTCGATGCGGGACTGCGCGGCGAGGCGGGCCATGAGCAGGTTGGTGCAGGTGGGCGGCGCCGTGGACGTCATGGTCGGGAGCGAGCTCGCCGTCGGAGACTTGGCCAGGAAGTGCCGGGTTGGCGAAGTGGGCGCGCTGTCGGGCGAGGCCCGAGACATGGCGAGGCCGCGGAAACGGTCGTTGGGCAAGTCGGCCCTCTCGACCGGTCGGCACAACGCCTGGAACACGCCTGACGGGTCGTTGGGCGCCCGCAGCGTCCTCAGGGCCGGGAACCCGCCCGCCTCGATGCTCCTCGCCAGGATGCGATCCGCAGCGTTGGCACCGTCCGCCGGACTCGTAATGGCCCAGTGCAGCTTGGTGACGCTTGCCGAGGCGAGGTAGGGCATCATACACAGGACAAACGAGTCCGTCTCGGGCATCAGCGGCGCAAAGGACTGCACAAGGGAAAAGGTGACGAGAGAGGCCAGGTGGGCGAGGATCCGAGCCACGGTCGGCAGCGAGGTGAGCGGCGTGTGGCGGAGGTGGAGCTTCCGGAGGGACGTGCTGTTGGGCCGGGTGGCAAAGGACGAGAGGCCGTTTGAGCTGATGCCGGGGAGGTTGGTGAGAGACAGGGTCCTGAGCCGCGGAAGGGAAAGAAGGGTGACGTCGTTGAAGACATTGGCGGGAAGGCCGGACAGGTGTAGATGTTGCAGAGCGGGCAGGGCAGCGAGCGTCGTCGTGAGCAAGTTGTCGGGCGTCAACATCGCTCCGGGCACGCAGTGAATCGCCAGGCTGCACAGCCTCGTCCAGTTCCTGTGTTGCTCGACAAACGGAACATCTTGGTCCTGCCGTCGACGGGCGGGCGTCATGTCCTCGCCATGGGCCTCGCCCTTGCAAGTTTGCTGAGCCGGCTCGCGCGACGACTCAATGAGCCACTGCATATCCCTCAGGTTGCTTCGAGTCGCCAGGGCATGCAGCAGCCCCTTGAGCGGGCCGTCGTAGCTCAAGACGGGGCCCAAGAGCCGCTCGAGGTTTGGACAGGCCATGACGAGCGCCGCCACCGACTCCTCGTACTTGTCCATCGACGGCGCCGCCTTGGAGCCCGACGCGCCAACAAAGACGTCTGGCTGCGGCACCTTGAGCGACCGGACTAGGCTTGCCAGATCCGGGCTGGCTCGCAGGGTACGGCGCAGCAGCTCCATTCTGTGAGTCGTCTTGGGCCTCTTTTTGCGGGCTGCCGAGTCTGGTCCGTCCAGGCGAACATCCTCATAGCTGTCCATCTGGTTAGCCACAGATATCCCCTTAAAAAGCACCGCTCAGATGACCTACAGGGAACGGCGCGCAGCTCGTGAGAGGTTGGACGAGCAAAGAGACAGGCTGCAGAGGTCGCGCATCCAGCACGTTGCGCAGCTGTCGCTCCGCCCGCCCAGATGCAGCCCCTTGAGCATCTCGAGGATGACCTCGAGGACTTCGCCGGGCAGCGACGCAAGTATGGCGTCCGGCTTGGCCCTGCTCGTCATTCCCTTGGTCGGTGCGCCTGGCGCAGGCTGCCGGTAGCCCGCCATCAAACCCGACGACTGGGGCCCTTTGTAGTTGGCCATTGCCCCGCGCGGAGAGTTGGTCGCTGCCAAACTCAGGTTCTCATGGGACCGACTGGTCGAGCATGAGCGGCCTGAAGCTCGCGATAGTTTCTTTGGTCGCTTCAGTGGCATGGGCATGGGCATGGAATCTGCGGACTTGTGGCGGTCCAAGGATGGAGGCTGCAGACCCGAATAGGCGGAATACATTGGCGCCAGTTTGCCGGCCGTCGAGGGACGCGGAGCTGTCGATGGTCTCATGCTGGGGTGGAAAGTCGCACTGTGATGCTCGGGGATCATGTAGAGTCTTTCTGGCAGGACGCCTAGGGGCGCGACATGCATGGGCCGCATCGTCATGGTTGGGCTCATTTCGAATAGACTGCCTGCCGAGCTTGGTCTTAACGGGCTCTCATCTCGTGCCACGGCCGGGTTTTTGCGCCTCAGTTTCCGGGGTCCTTGTCGTCTGCCAAAAGGAAGAAAGCGACAGTCAGTCACGAGAGAACAGAGGCGGTTCCACGGCGACTGTATGGACGATTCTCGGGGAGGAGGATGGGAGGCCATGGAAGACTGAGATGTAATATCGTCGGCACGCCCCTGCCCAGATCCGCACACAGGTCACTCGGCCTGGCGTCAGGCATGGAGGCAGTGACGTGTGAAGCAAGGCTCTGCGCCCCCTCGGGGAGCTCGACGAATGCGGATGACAATGGTCTGCGCTGGGCATGCCGGACCAAGCGCGAGGCTCGAGGCTCGGGGTGGTGGGAATTAATCAAAGCAACCAACATGGGGAAGTGCACAGTCAGTGCATAAAGAAAGGACTGCCTTGAAGGGGGGGAGTGGTTCGCCAGCCGAGACATGGGGCACTGGCCTCGTCAACGGCTGACTGGCGTCCTCAACCCCGGCATACTGCTGGGTTTACCGAGGGTCAAGGAGATTTGGCCGTGCTTGTACGTACAACACTGCGAAGCGGGAGTCTGTCGCCGAGACTGTTGGTGCCGGCGAAGAGGCGGTTCGACCGACCATGCTCACGGGTAGTGGCTTGGCATCGGCCATGGTGACGGCCCAGACATGCCGTCGAAAGTCGCTGGCCGTTGACGTCGGCGCACCCCGCCCGCCAGGGGCAGCGTATGCGTCGGCGTCGTGGAGGAATAGACTCTTGTCCATGTCTCATCAGCCCCCGGCCGCGTGGCGTGCGTTCAAGGGAGGAGGGCGTCGGCAGCTGGAATGGCTTTCCGCCTAGCTGATGCGCCGCATGCGAGAAATGAATGTCAGCTGTTGGTCCTTGGTCGTCGAGCTTGCCCCTGCTAGAATCCAGATGGACAGAGGGCGTTGGATGGAGGCTGTCTTCGTACGCTGTGCTATACGACAATGACGATATAAAGGGAGGCGGGCAAAATGCCAGTCGGCTCGCAAAGACGCAAGGACATCGATGATTTGGGAGAACCGACTTACTTTGTAGAGAGACTCTGCCTTGTATCGTGCTCCCTCACCCTCACCATCCTCCAATCGATGCCTACTTGGTCTCGCATCTCTCTCACCCTCACTCCCACCCAGTCCTTGTGACCCGCATTGGTAAATTGACAAGACGACTGGTAAAGCGTCCCCTTCAAAGGCACAGCCAGCACTACCCGCGCGGCCAAGGCTGTACTGAGGCTGAAGCGCGCGACGGCGACGCGCGCGGCAGTGCTGACGCTGTGCAACGCTACCTATCTGCCATCTTTCTGTAGCATCCAAGGAAACACGACACTTTTCCCCTGACGGCAGGCTGGCAGGCTAGGCGCTGGCTCGGACTAAATGCAACCGATCAGCAAGACTAGAAACGCAGCCAGGGTTGTCCCGTGCTTACCATTACGAACAACGAAGATCGACTCAACTTATTGGACACCATCACCCTAATGGATGCGCCAAGTCTGTCAATGAAGCCACCTCGGACTCGATCCTTGCACGTTACAGTGGTTACCAACCGCCCACCACCCTCAGGTGCCTTTCCTGCCATGTCCAGCGTCATCCGGGGTAATACGCTCACTCTTCATCAGAGTCAGCCATAAACCGAACTCGTCGTGCTGGCCGTGCGACAACGTCTCGCATCCCCGGCGAATCTCCGGGAGACTCGAGCTGCGCTTCGCTTCCAGGGCCACTGTCATGCGGCCTTTTCGCACCGGCGCTGGTCATTGAGCGAGCAGACGGCGACCCTGTCCCCCCACACTGACTTTTCTGTGCACGCCCGCCTCCGGGAACGAGACCGTCGTCAGGGAGTAGAGGCTTCCCGAGGCCTCGCCCGAACAATGCCTGAGGTGTACAAAGTTGGGCCATTTCAGAGAACCCGTCCCCGTCCATGTCCGGAAGCTCCACCACCCTTGCATTCTTGATCCAATTATAGATCGGTCGTATATCCAAGATAGACTTGACTTGCCGATGCTCCGCTTGACTCATGTGCTTCTTGCGTTCAAGGATGACTTCGTCGATGCTATTCCTCAAAACGAGCGTCTCAACCGAGACTGGCCTCTGTTGGCTGATGCGCCGGACCCGTCCGATTGCCTGCGCTTCCACTTGCGGGTTTAGGACTGGGTTGATGAAGTAGATCCGCGAAGCCTCGCGCATGTCAAGGCCAAAGGCTGCCTGGGATAAATCCATGAGAAGGACCCTAAGAGCGGAATTAGTTAGAGGAGTGGACTTTTGAGAAATCACAGCCCGGGGGACTTGCCTGAATGCGGGATTGCTATGAAAGGTATCGACATAGCGTCCTCTCCGCTCACTTGTCAATCCCTTGGCATAAATCAGATGCTGGATTTGAAACTATCGAGTGTGAGCTGATCCCAGGCATGGTCCAAGTCTCGAACTAAGGGGCACATACCACGTCAAGCATGCTGGCAAGGTACCAAGCAACGTTTTCGTTTTCGTAGAAGACAATCATCTTCTCATGCTCCTGGTGGTGAGCGATTGAATCAATCAGATATGACAACTTTGCCGAGACCGTGGATGTGATTTTGGCCAGCTGCAGCGGCGCTGGCAGGTCGTCTGGCCGAACCGTCTCCTTCGCTTTTGCAGCACCAACGCCATGGGAGCGAGCTTTTCGAGGGCTGTCGCTGCCAAGTTTGGTGTTCCCGGCCAGTGTCTCGGGCCTCTTGCCCTTGCCATCAGAAGTTTCGAGCGGTCCCTGGGCCGCCAAGATTCTGTCCTTTTCCTGCCTGCCCTCCAGTATCAAGCGGCCGTTGAGAAGTGAGTTGAGCTGCTCCGGCGACCCGGCTGCGTCGCGGAGGAGTTTCTGCAGGGACAACAACATACTGGGTGATGTGCAAACAGTATCGCCGGCCTTCCCATCAAGTGACCAGGACTGCCCTGCGTGTCCCGGGAATTCCTCGACGCAGACGGGAACTTCGTGGAATTGGTTGCTGAGGCCCCTGAGCTTGTTTTGGATGGCCAGGCGGCCGAAATCGATTGCCTCACGGAGCAATGACTCATCTTCCGTGCTAATCGGCACCTTTTTCTCTCGCAAGAAGTCTTCGGCCGTCTCGACTGCCTTGGCAATTTCCCCTGAGGAGAAGAACGAGCCTCCAAAGAAGCTAGTTTGCTTCAGGTTGTGCACGATCTGCAGCAAGCTCTTCCTCTGGCGCACGTGGAAAAAGTAATCGACGTCCGTTCTCTGCGATTGCACAGAGTTGAAGATGATCATCATCGCAAAGATGTTTAGCGACAGCCTGTCCTGGTAAGAGCCATCGAGCAAAATGATCTTTTCGTTGACGGGTGGCAGAAGGTCTCCGACCTCTGCAAGCCGATGGCGAATGATGAGGGAACTCAGGGTCGACTCCAAGCTGTCCCACCGCCCATAGCTTCGTGGGTTGTGCTTGGGGAGCAGCAAGTATGTATTCCAGTCTGCCCTGGCATCCTCGGCATCTGTAGGAGCGTTCGCCCATGGACGCGCCTTGAGGTAGAGTGAGGCTATCGAGCCCAGGCGCTGCAGATCTTTCTTTTCCATTTCAGTGGGCGAGTGGTCTCTCTCCTGCCCATCCTGTGGTTCGAGCGGTCCACCGTCGGCGCCATCGTGCTCTTCGCCCGAAGTGCGGGTGTCGTCCACCCCAAACAGCCCGTGAGAGGGCGTACCAGTGACAATCCAGCGGGAGGAAAAGTTCATGGCGTCCAAGCCGATCAAGAGGTTGCTCCGATGACCGATCCTGGAATTGCCAAGTTTGTGCCCCTCGTCCACGATGCAGCGTTTGAAGTGCACACAGGCTAAGGAAGACTGGCGAAAGCCTCCGCGCTCCTTGGCAATCCTCTCGAATCGCGACTGGGAAAACAGCATCATGTCGTACTCGAGCAAGTCTTCGACTTCAGGCAGCGTATCATCCCTGGTTAGGACGACGACCCTAAGTCCCATGGTGTGCTTGTCTATTTCCTGCAGCCACTGGGCTACCAAGTTGTTTGGAACGATGACGACGCTTGCTGGGCTGAGGTAGATGGTAGTCGGCTGCCAGTGGTTAGGGTCCCAACGACGCCCTCCCCGTCGTAACTGGACTGCCGGACGTTGATAGTAGGCGGGATTGCGCCTGATGACCTCGGCACATTGGGTGAATTCGTAGCCAAACTGGGCTTTCCCGTAGCCGAGATGAGGCCTCCATGGAATCGCGTGTCGGCTGACGCACGAAGCAGCCATGTCGGCTAGCGATGCGATCTTTGCGCGTACTGGCAGCTTCCCGCCCGAGTAAAGCTCGGGGGGCTTGGTGGGAAAATCTCTGGTGGCCAAGATGAGGACAAGACAGATGATAGTCTTACCCGACCCCATTTCCTCGGCCAAGATGCCACCGGAGATGCCATCGTAGAATCGAGGTTCCGCAAGGACCGTGCCCGACATGGGGTCGAGATACCACGGCGAGCCGGCTTGACTTTCTGCCGTGACGAGTCGAGGATCAAGCACCTTGCCAGGGTTGGACTCCCTTTGCAGCATCAGCGCCGTCGACCGCCTTTGATAGGGGTGCAACTGTGTTTTCAGACCTGAAACGACGCTGTTCAGTACATCGTACATGGAACTCTGAAGGTAGTATTCGTTCACCAGGTTCGGGTCAGGGCTTGGCGATGGTATCCGGTTGAACACTTGCAGGAGAGAATCGTCTTGGCTGTCATCGTGCTGGGTGAAACCTAGGAGAGAGGAAAGGCCGGTAGGAGAAGAAGGAGCATCTCCTTGCCACGCGACCTTGGAGTAGTCGAGGGCTCGAAGAAGCTGCTTCCTCGATCGGATCAGACTTGGATGTGACCGGTCGACCACGTCCCGGTAGGCGTCGTCTGGAAGCAGGTATACGCGGACGGTGGCCTCTCTGACATGCCGAGAGCTTACCCGCAGCTCAAGATCGATCCAGCGTGCTCTGAAAAGAGGCAGGAGGGCTCGTAGACTCTCCGTCTTGAAGAGACATTCCTGCACATGGCGCGGGAGGTGTCGACTGTTGGATTCAGCTTCAATGCGGGCCTCGAGCGGCGAGACTTGGCAGAAGCGGTTCCATGATTGAAGATATGGCGCTGACCAGAGCTCTTCTACTAGCCCGGCTTCGTCCTGAGAGATGCTGAGGCTTCCAGCAGGGACGAAGCGGTCTCTAGAGAGATGCATCATGAGGTGGTGAAGAAGGCGGGTAGCGCACCGTGCCGGCCGTCCTCAGATGCTGGAGATGACTGTGCAGCCACTGTTGCACCCGAGGTTGTAGAAGCCTACAGTGGGGTTGTAGCGCTCTCTAGCGGGGCTCCCTCTAGACCTTAGCTTATGTGCCACCGTATCCCTCGGCTGCTGCACACAGTGGGGTGCAGATGTGGAATTGGCTAGCGGTTATGGTTATTTTCACTGGCAGCTATCTGTCGGCATTCCCCTTCTTCTCTTGCTCACCAGGCCGGCCCCCCCCCCCTCCCCTCCCTTACTATCAGTCTCTGTAGTCGGCTGCCACTCTCTGCTTGACCCGTCACCGATGAAAATTGCCCTCGAGTGGTTAACCGGTTATCTTGCGTCGAGGATCTCAATGGTTTCATTTTCCAGCACGGTGGCTCAAGTCTTTTCACTGTCTGCATACATGTCCGACTGTATTTGTGAATCGTTTCTCGATGAGTCTCATTCATATCTGATATCTGACAGAAAGGCAACGAGCACAGTCATTCGGAAGCAACCGAAGCAGGCCTGCAATGAGACACGGAAAGAGACCCGTCAAAGAGCCCGCAAGACAGGGAGAAACCCTACTTGCAGCCTAGGTGCTCGACTGCTAGTCTGATTGTATGTCAGCTGGATTAAATGCTGGGTTGACTAATCGTCTTGCTGCTCGTTTGACGGTTCAACAAACTGCTCGACCGACTGCATACTCGTTGAACCACCATCAACAGTTAAACTACTATCAACCGCTTGCCTCTGCCGACCTTATACGTAATCGCGATCTTGGCACCTCAATGACATTTAAACGAAGAGACGTATCTCACGTTCTTGGTCAAATAGAGAGCTGCTTTGGGCCGAATACTCCTCGTTTACCTGCCTGGCCTCGGTTCGTAGCCAAACAGCTCCCTGGGCGCCCAGGTAGAGAAAGTCGAGCTAACCGGATGGAAGTTATTCACTCACCAAGTTGAGGCCTCAGGCCATACATAGAGCACAGGTTCAACACGTTGTGTGATTCACCGCACCAGCTGGAACATATAACCGCAGCTGCCACCGACCTCTCCCCCTTCCCCCTCTTTCCCCCTCGTTTCCACCTTCATTCACTTCAGAACAGAATCACATCTGGTGAAAACACCGAGAACTACTTCGTTATGCCATTGGCAGAGCCCTCGTTCCATTTCTTTATATCGTATCCTCTCCCAGCGGCTCGACCGCGTGCTGAGATCTCCAATGGCTAGTGTCAGCGCGCGCATACCTACATGCTTAATGTTGCGAACGAAGGCGGTTTCACCCAGCTTTCTCAAGCCTGAACGAATAATATCTTGAAGAGAAAATGAACACGCCAGACTTGGCCCATTGTTCGGAGCTATGATACTCCAGTAAAATGCTACAACCCTTCATCAAACAGTTTTGGCAAACAGTTTGGGACGACCAAAGAGTCAAGAGGCTCAACTCCAATCATGGGCTATATATGGCCATTCGACATCTTTTGAAGCCCGATGAGGTACGAGGCGGACATGGCCAGCTCAAGTGCCAAACTCAGCAGCCATACCATCGGCACGCTGCTGGAGCTCGTTCTATTTTGGCCTGGTCGGATGGTTTGAGAGATCGGTCAATCCGACCGAAACGTGGTTTTTGGTCAGAGCAGGCGAAGGAGATGAAAGGAAGGGGGTCCATGAGACCGTCGGAAAGAGCAGCAACCTTCATAACACGCACCAGTAACGCAACTGCTTGAGCTTCCACTTTTGCCTGGTCAAGCGGTATTTTCCAGTTCGATAGCTACCTACTTTGTACTCGTGTTGATGTGCTAGGGGCGTCCTCGCTTGCCTGCCCATCAGCCTTCATCGAGAGCAGCAGGACAGCAGATATTGCGACTACTCCCATTCTTGCGCCGTTCCGGTGGTTTTGAGAGTGCTGCTGACAGCCGACGCTGTGGAAGCCCGGCAGACATATACACGCAACAGTATACAGTCTGCCTTGCGCTCCCCAACACGCTTGCCCGCATGCCTGACTCGCCCTCAGATCACGCGCATACGAAGCTCTTCATGCCGTCGAGGCGGGATTTGGTGCATGTAGTCAAATTTCTAAACTCCACCGCTGCAAGAGACCGGCGCTCCAGCCCTTGAGCGACCTTTCGCGCTCTGGTATGAGGATGGTGCTCGACTTCAGTGCTTCTCGGGCTGCTTCGACGACACTCGTTGGGAGGTTGATCTCTTGCACATCCGACGTCACGGAGTCCACCAGTTTGTTGCCCTCGTCTACGCTAATGTCTCGATACAATATCTTCATAGCTGCTGTTTTGCCTTGTAACGCCGAACATGTGTAGACAACGTTGGAGTTCAAGACCCAGAGATGAAGCGCCCGTGCCGGAACGTCAAGTCCATCTGACGCATGCGGTGCAACAACCGACTTGGCATATCCTGAGCGAGAGATGGCCGTAAGCAAAGTCGAGGCTAGGCATTCAGGAGCGCTCGGGTTCCTGCTTGGCGCTATAGTCTTGCAAGAAACCTGCCACTTGAACAGGGTCACGGAGAGCGCAGACTGGCTGTACAGACCAACCTCTGCGCTGCATCCGCGGCAGAGGACGTGCACATATTTCGTCGACAGCTCGTCTTCCATGGCCTGGGCGCTGGTGCTGAATGATGCCCCTGAGGAAGAGGACGAAAACTGAGGCACGTGTAAGCAAGCGAATCGGCAGCTTGATGCATTGGATACACTGCGCCCTCGGGAAAAGAAGAGGGGAATGTGCCTCCTTTAATCTCCCGAATGCCACGACTCTGGATATCTGGATTGAAGAGGAGGTAACCTTTTCAGCCGTACCCAGGGACCCGTCCTCGCTCGCGTGGGGAGGGTCCACCAAGGACAGCTGCCCACAAAGTGGGAACGGTGATGATGCTCGCTTTTGGGGAATTGTATCGGTGACCACGCCATTGATTGGCTCTCAGCGCCGGCCTGGCCACCTTCTCTTTTCCCGATGCTCGATGACGGGGGGAAGCGCTAAATGAAATCGCAGGACACTTGACGAAACTCACCAGCAGATTGTTGCAGTCCGATTCAGAGAGCATGAACAAGGTTATGTCCACGAAGCCGATACCTGGCCGCGCGGTGATGGTACTGTTTGCCCCGTAGCCCCTATTTGCAAGCCCTTCGTCCTCTGGGCTGCTGTGGTCATGCGGTTTATGGCAGTGCCAAAACTCCATCATCTCAGCCCAGTTTTCGCTCGGCAGGTCTTGCCATGCCTTGACCTGGCCCCTCTGCACGAAGCCGCTTCCGCACCCTCTGCAGCTGATGGGGGAACCCGCCTTCAAGTCAACCGAGCTCCACGGAACGGCCTGGCTTTCGGGTGCGGAGCGCAAGGCACCGGCCTCGGCAGTCGACACTGGCAGCCTCCAGCCCAGCTCTGAGCCAGCTGCCTTGGGCACTGCGGGCGCTGCAGACGTCGTGACGGTCGCGGGCAGATCCACGACCTCATAGCAGCCCTGGTGAGAGATGCGGAGACGGCGGCCTTCATCGACAACCTCTGCCGATGTCGTCGCGTCCGAGGGCGAGGGAAGGGCGGCCCCGACAGACACCTGTCGTATGTTTGGCAAAAGCTCCGCATATATCGAGATACCCGTGGCGGACTTTGGCGCCGCCATGGCCTCTGCCCTGGCGATACGAGTGCGAGAGGCAGAGTGGAAGGATTGGTTGGGGATGAATGAATGCGTCGCGGAATCACCTGTCCACCGTACTGTAATTTACCCACCTACCTAGTCAAGGCCTGTACTTTTCCTCTCCTCCCTTCCAGGTTCTCAGGCACGGCCCCACCTCTGACGAGATGCTTTGTACCCATATACTTTGTACCTCTTCACCACTCCGTCCTCTTCTCCACCCGCTTTCCCAACGCGTGGGGACCTCATTCCATCCGTGAATAGTGTCCGATTGCACTCCCGAGAGCGAAAGAACAAAGAACAAAAGGGACAAGAAAGTGGCGGAATCTTGGCAAGAGGACAAAACTCAGGGGGAAAATGGCAGGAATCCTGTCCTACGTCCCCGTCGCGGGCAGACTCGTGGGATCATCTCAGCCAAGACTCGGATTCGTCAACATCCCTCCAGCCCAGGTTCACCAGATAGAGACCAATCCGGACCGGCGGGCTCGATGCCTCAAGCACCTACTCAAGGCAAACCACGTCAACTACTCCATCGTGTATAACAATCTCCTCTCCGTCAACCACAGCCCACACCTCCTCAGCACCGCCTACCTCCTCGGCGCCAGCGAAGCCCAGCTTCACGCCCTCTATGAAGACGGCATCAAGGGCCTGGAACCATGGAAGCCGTCTCCAGCTGAGATTGTAGACCTGGACTGGGTCGACTTTCTTGGAGACAAGTGGTACCAGAGGGCCTATGTCGACTTCTTCGAAGACAAGCTTGCAATGACGTTTGCCTACGACTGGAAGCAAGAGGCGGAGCACTTTCTATTCAGCGGCGAAAAGCCCTTGGTTCACGGGCTGATAGGCGGCCGTATGATACTTGGACACCCTTGAGCTGGCTCAGGAAGCTGACTTGCCTTAGTTGGACACTCGCTCGTTCATCTGGGTTATGCGTACGAAATGGACTGCAAAGAAGTTGGCATGGAAGCCCTCGGCTTGGCCTGTGTTGAGTATGACTTTCTCCACAAGTATTTCGACGACGCCTCTTACACGAAGCCGTGCACGCTTGCCTCGGGCTCACCATTGGATCTGCTCACGAAAATGTCTGAGGACAAGAGGTTCGACGAGCTGCCCAAGAACATCGATGCGGGCCAGCTCGAGGCTCTCTTCGAAAAGCACGAGGATCTCATAATGGAATACTGGAACGCCTGGGAACTGGATGAGCTGGCGCAACAGTTTCAACAATCTCAGGAAGCAGCCGTCTCGCTGGCGGTCGCCACGGTCGGACCAGACACACAGACGTACGACTTTCTCCTTGCGCATCTGCTGACCGCTAGCCACGCGGCTCGGATACTACTGCCATTCTTCCCTCCCCAACATCACACCACCCTCGTCCGGGAATGGTGGCTCCTTGCCATCATCGTTTTCATCATCAAAGGGCGGCCACGACCAAAGCCGGATAACATTCAAAAAGAACTCGGCGGCAAAGACTGGAAATACGTGGACAACCAAGCTCTCACTTCTCGGTGGTCGACCGACGCTCAATACATCAAAGGTGGGAGAATCCTCTGCTACACTTGGAACAACTGAGAGCTCACAGAGACACAGCGATTCGGGCCATGAGGGAAGCTTCCATGACTTGGGGGGACGCGCAGCAAGAATACATCAGGGCTGCTGTAACATTTGTGGATAACTTTGGGGGGTGGAAATTTTGAAGTTACTGGCTACAACGTGTCGATCCAGATGTTTATTGATGCCGTATATCAAGCACGTGGACTGTCTTGTGTCAGTTGGCGTGATGGGAGGCCTGCGGTGATAGAATCGTCTACCAAAAGTATAAAGGACGAAGTTCTCAAAGGCAATCAAGGAATGAATTCGCCTCCTGTCTATCTCGGGACACATCTGTGACCTAATGGCGTACTTTGAGCCGCGTATCTGGGATATAATAGCGAAGACGCTTGCTATACAGTACGGCGAACTACGCCGGGGAGGAGATACAGTGCCAATGTGGTCATACTGACCTGTAGGCGCACAGTACCTAGTGGTGGGTCCGGTAAGCCACAACAAGCAGTCGACTACCTCGATCCCCCATCATTCACTAATGCCCGCTTGTCCGGGGAGTACCGGGCTTGCCATCCTACCGTTTCGCTCGATCCGGCACGAAACCCCGATAAAGCCAGGGTATTTCCGCATGGAAGCCCAACAACACAAATGCTCCAGTCGCGGTAATGGCACCGCCAGCGAAGCGCCGCAGGCGGAACCCCGTTGATGACGACGACGACGACGATGACGACGAACAGCCTCGAACCAATACCTTGGCCAACTACCTCGTCACATCCCCGACCTCGACTGCCAGTAGCCGAATCCAAACAGCGTCGCCCAGTCCTGTCAAGAAGGGCGTCGGCTCCGGCGAGCCTTCTGCCATCACGACCCCGAAGAAGGCCCGCAGAGCACCGCTGCAAAAGAATGGCGCAAGTATCAGTCCTAAGAAACTCCGGGCCAGTGGCAAAGCCGAAGATAGGGGAAAGACGGCAGACTTGAAGACCTTGTTCTCGAATCAGGCTCAGCGGGCGACAAGGACGGGCTTTGGAATCGACAAGAGGAACGCTCCAATCGAAGACATAATCAGTGACCCAATCAGTGACCCCATTTCCGAGGAGGACGAGATATCCGAGCTCAAGACTAGCTCCTCCAGCCTAGTCGGCCAGCACGTCAAGAAGCGCTTGAGAAAGGGGGCCGAAGTGGCCTCTGCTGAAGCACCCAACGCGAGCCAAAGGTTTCTCAGGCCGCCAAAAGCTCCTGGCTTAGTGGTGAATGACGACGACCTGCGACCGTGGTCTGAGCGGTTTGGTCCTCGGAACCTCGACGAGCTCGCAGTACATAAGAAGAAGGTCGCGGACGTCCGGAGATGGCTGGAAGATGTTATCGCAGGCCAGATGCGACAGCGAATCCTCATCCTGAAGGGTGCCGCGGGCTCTGGCAAAACCACGACGGTACGACTGCTTGCCCAGGACATGGGTTGTGAGCTCCTGGAGTGGAAGAACCCCGCGGGATCGTCAGCGCTTGGCTTTGTGTCAACCTCGGCCCAGTTTGACGAGTTTCTGGGGCGAGGGGGCAAGTTTGGGACCCTGGATTTGGAAGATCCATCAACCCCCTCAGCCCCCAGCAGCTTCAATGGGGCTGCTCAGGACCAGACCAAGAGGATGATACTCGTTGAGGAATTTCCAAACACCTTTTCGCGATCTTCCTCGGCCTTGGCTTCCTTTCGAAAATCCATTCTTCAGTATCTCGCAGCGCACACTCCATCTCGGCCATCGTTCGGCCGGAACACACAGAGAGAACCTACCAACCCCATTGTTCTGGTCATCTCGGAAACTTTGTTGACTACGACATCGGCATCGGCGGACAGCCTGACTGCTCATCGACTGCTCGGGCCTGAGATCCTCCGGCATCCCGGCGTGACCGTCATTGAGTTCAACCCTGTTGCCCCCTCGATTCTGACCAAGGCTCTGGAGCTCATTGTTCAGAAAGAGGCTCGCAAGTCTGGTCGCCGGAGGACGCCAGGGCCACTGGTACTGAAGCGGCTCGGCGAAATTGGAGACATTCGCAATGCCCTGTCGTCCCTCGAGTTTCTTTGCCTCAAGGGAGACCAAGAGGTGGACTGGGGCGCCAAGGTGACATTTACGAAGCAGAAGCGGGGCGTACGAGACGCAATCGGCCTGACGGAGGGCGAAGCGGAGAGCCTCGAGTCCGTATCTCAGCGCGAGGCTAGCCTCGGAATCTTTCACGCGGTTGGCAAAGTGGTGTACAACAAGCGAGACGAGGCGCCTCCTCTGGGCGACACGGTTGAGAACTTGCCGGCGTACTTGGCGCAGTACGCGCGGCCCAAGAGGTCTCAGGTCGCTGTCGACTCCCTCATTGACGAGATGGGAACCGATACGCATACTTTCATCTCGGCTCTGCACGAAAACTACATCTTGTCCTGCGAGAGCACGGGACCGATGGACCTGTCGACGTCCATGGACTACATCAACAAATGCGTCGAGTACCTCTCTCTCGGCGACCTGCTCTCCCCGTCTCGAGATGTCTTCTTTGGCGGAAGTCGTGCGGGCTTTTCCGGGCGAGACTCTGGTAGCCACCACCTCCGGCAGGACGAGATGACGTTCCAGGTCGCCGTGAGGGGAATGCTTTTCTCGCTACCGCACCCCGTCAAGCGGAAAACGAAGTCGGCGTCCAAGGGCAGCGATGCGTTCAAGATGTTCTACCCGACGGGCTTGAAGCTGTGGAGGGAGAAGGAGGAACTCGAGGGCCTCGTCGAGCTGTGGTCGTCCAAGCTGCTCAAGGGAGAGAAGGCGCTGCCGACCCAGGACCTGACGGACGGCGCAAACGCCTTTCGGAAGTCGCGGAAATCATCGTCCGGGGCTTCCTCGTGGATGCAGCGGCAACAGCAGGGCAAGGCCAGCGAACCCAAGGAGGACGCGCAGGACACACCGCCGCCGCTGCTGTCGCTCGGCAGCGCCGCCCGGCGCGAGATGCTCCTCGACCGCCTTCCCTACATGGCGCATGTAGCTCGCGCCCGCAAGACGGGCGGTATCCGCCTGCGCGACCTCGAGAAGGTCGTTTCCTTCCACGGTGTCGCCACCCCCACGGATGAGGGATCAGACGCCGATGCCGACGACGACGCGGCCGCTCCGTCGGGCGAGGCCTGGGCGACGGACCGGCCATCGGAGGAGGCAACGCCGCGCAAGAAGAGCGCCGGCATCAAGGCTGGCGCCGTGTCGGGCTTGCTGGCGCAAACGTTGGTATTGAGCGATGATGACATCGAAGACTAGGCGGGGCGACTTCATTTGCTCCTTTTATTCTGTCCTGGGTCTTTTTGGCTGCTGTGTAACGATGACCACGTTGGCCTTAGAGGGGAAACTACCGTATTAAGGGGAGTATTGCTATTCGGCTAAGTAGAAATCTCTATTCGGCTAAGTGGCCCTTGCGGCCCCCACTAAGATTTTCCGCGCCTACGCGGCCACACGCTATTTGCCTGCAGGCGTATAGCAGCGAGGAAACATTCGTAGAGATTAATTTTTCCCCCTCTCAACGCCTCGTGCCTTTATCAACGCCTCGTGCCTCTATCGATTATGGATATCCTATTCCTTCTTAACCCGCCGCCCGACGAGCCTGCCGACGAGCCTGCCGACGAGCCTACCGACGAGCTAGCCGGCGAGCTTGATAAATTTAATAAACCTAACGAGCGTTAAATCCCTCCCTTACCGCCCTCGCTAGCCTTTAACTTATTCGATGAGCTCTACGCCTTCCTCTAAGCCTTCTATCGCGAGAACGGCGCCGCCCTCGTTAAGCGTAGGGGCTAGGGTAAGCGCGAGGTTAACGGGGTAACTTAATTTATAGGCTATATATTGATCTATAATCGTAGGCGTAAGCGGGCCTCTAAGAGCGTCGGTCTTCGTAAGGCTTCGACCTAGAAAATAGACTATACCTTTAAAATTATAGCGTTAGCGAAAGAAAGCTCTAACTAGAAGTAGACTTTCCGCGTTAACGGTCGTTATAACTACGGGCAGTTAATTAACCTATCGGTATATAGCATCTATCGCTAGCGGACCTTATTATAGTAAGAGCTCGAGCGAAGCCTTTCTAAGTATCGTGCCCTCCTAGCCCGTAAGATAACCTTAATTATTAAGGATATAACTAATAAAGAGACCTTCTTTTAATAACGGGATATTTATAACGATCGTTAGAAGATTCGTACTATAGCCCTTAGCGGTAAGACTACTACGTAGACCTTTATTAACTACCTCTAGCGCGGCGGCCTTAAGTATATAGTTAAATTTAGCGATAACGATAAGTAAAAGGTTAAGGCCCTCTTCTAGACCTACCCTTAGTATAAGTAGATATAGAAGCGGTTTCCGGAAGTCTTAGGACTTAATAATATATATAAAACAAACTACTTTAAGATATATCTCTTCTAGGCTACTAGAGTTACTAATTAGCGGTCTATCGCTAACTTTATATTCGGCCTTATTAATATAGAGAAGGAGGAAGGGTTTTAATAGCTTTATAACCGCTTTAACGAGCTTTAAATTAAGGTTAGGGCCCTAGCGCCGACTATAGTTATTATAGATAAGGAAAAAGCCCTTAAAAATATACTCTTACGCGTTTTCCCTTCCTAATAATAGTAACTTTACGTCTATTATATTAACGCTAATATTAACGCGAAAATTAAGTTACGTTAAAAGGAGCCTAGCGGCGTTAATAATACTAATAATACTAATAATACTAACGCTAACGCTAACGCTAATAGTACGAACGATCCTACTAATATCTTCTATAGTTAAGTCGCTATATAATAAGAAGCTAAAGAGGAAGCTAAAGGTAAGATCTTAAGCGTATAACGTATATAACCTATATAGCTTAAAGACTATAGCCGCGAGGGTATATTTACTACTTAAAAGACTATTATCTACGCCCTAACTAAGGCAGGCTTCCTATTAGCTTAGTAAGCGCTTAATTAAAAGTATAGATAATACTAAGGCTATATCGTAAGATATATTTCTAAGGAATATATACTATAGCGTAAGTAGTAGGCTTATTACTATATTAGCCGCTATTATAACTTCGGCTAAAGGGTTAATAGCTTAGTTAAGACTACCTATAAAGATATAAAGTTATATTTACTTACTAGTACCGGCGATCTCTTCTACCTTTATAACGCCCTTAAATAAATACTTATAAATAAAGAACGCTACTATATTTAAGAGGCAGCTCGCTAGAAGGCATAGTAGCGGCTTCTTTATCTTAGCTAAAAATAGCTAGGTAGGCTAAACGTTAAAGTTACCTATTAAGCGGTTAACCTCCTTACTAAGTAATACCGACTTACCTTAGCCGCGATGCCCTTAAAGCTAAGGTAAAGATAAGAGTAAGGGTAAGAGCGGGAGCTACGGCCGCTGCCTTCTTATATAAGTCGATTTATATAGTAGTATAGGCTTCCTTATACCTATACGATCTTTTAATGCCTTTAAGCTAACGTTCCGCTTATAAAGTATAATATTTACCCTTAGTAGTAGCTTAAGAAGCCTTTAGTAAAGACCTACCTTATTTTCTATATAAATTATACTAATCTTTATCTATAGGACCTTAACGAGCTACTTTTTTAAATCTAAGATCTTAATATTATTTAAAACCTTTATAGCTAGCCTCGCGTAGCTAAAAACACTCGCTTACTTATACCTTAAGACCTATAGCTTAGCTAGGACTAAGTTAACGATACCCTCGAGCCCGACTTATAGCCTACCTCGCTATAAGAGAATATATATTATAGTATAATTAGTTAGGTAGTAGAGATAGCTAAAGGTACTACGCTATATATATTATATTCTCCTTATTATAAGACTAAAGCTTATAAGAAGAAGGATTTTTCCTCTTTTTTTAAAATAGTAAGTAGTCTATAATATATAAGTAAGGTAAGTATAATTCCTTACTAATACCCTACTAATATATTAGTACTATATACCTAAGTACTTTATTAGCTTATACCTCTTAGTAGCGCTCTTATAATTATCTCCCTTTTTATATAGACGTCTTAGCTATATCTTAAATATATATTACTTTCGCTATACTATATATATTTAGTAAGAAAGAGAGGTAGTTTTAGTTATATATCGCGTATATATACCTATATAAGTATATATTAGTCTACGCTTTATAACGTTAATAGTTATTATACTAGTAGTTACCGCTAAGTAACCGTTATAGTATCGCCTATATATCGGCCGCGTAATTATAATATAAAGAGCGTATATATATATATCTCTTACTTCTTTTATTTTCTTTTCTTCTTTAACTCTTCTACTTATAATTACTATAAAGTTTTATACCTTTTTTTATTAATCCCTTATACCTTTTTATATTACTTTTTATTAACGATTTATTAATAATAATACCTCTTACGCTAAAGAAGATAAAGAACTATAATGCTAATTTCTTATACTATATATAAGAGTAAGTAGTAGTAGGTTTACCTTTAAAGTATAAGCGATTAGCCTAAAAGTCTTATAGTAACGCTAGTTCCCCTTTAGTAAAGAAAGCTAAGAAAAGTATAAGGGAATCTTAGTCTTAAGAGACTTTTAGTCTAAGACCTAACGTTAATAAGGGTCGCGCCCTTATTACCTTACTAAATACCTTAACTTTAACTATTAATAAGCCTACCTTTATAAGCTAGGAAACTTATAAGTTTATTACCTTTATTAACGATACTAATACTAGTAAGGAGATTATACTTAAGCGCTCTTAGGTAAGTACTAATAACTTAACTACTCTATCTTAATAGGGCGGCTCTAGCTAATAAGAGATTATTACCTAGGCCGCTCCTTAAAATAAGTAAGCTAATATTAATAATAAGGCCTAGCTAAATAAGGGCTAAGATTATCTTAATACTTAGCTAAATAAAGGCTAAGATAATAATAATAGTAATAATAGAGATAGCCGCGATTTAACTCCTTTTACTAATAAACCTAAGAATAGCGGCGCTAAGGATAAGGGTACCTAGGTAGCGGTATAAGGCGGTCGCGCTCCTATAAAGAAGCGTACTTAATCTAAGGCTAAAGCCTACTTAGTTAGGGCTTAAGGGGTTATCCCTTATAAGCTTTAGTATATATATTATTTTAGGACGGTTATTAAGGAGTATAGTATAACTAAGCCTAAGCTTATTAAGGTACTCTTAATTAGCTATATTTTCTTAGGGGTTTCCTTAACGCGCTATAAGTAGTATTATAGATATACCGCGACCTATAATTAAGTAAGTTTCCCTTTAACTTTAAATATTATAATTAATAAGCTAATCTTTTTTAAGGCTACTACTTTTATATTTAGTAACTATTATAGGCTACGCCCGCGGAAGGCTAAGGCTGCGCTATAGCGACCGCACCGAAGTTAGGCCGAAGTAGACCTACGCACGGGCAGAGCTCGACCCGAACTTAGGCCGAATAGCACCTAAACACGGGTCGAGCTAGGGACCAGGGAAGGCAGATAACTATCGCGACTAAGATAGAGTTTTCCTCCTCTTTCCTTAGCTTTAGATAAATAATTATTCGGCCCCGTACTACTATACTAAGTATACGCCGGCCCTTAATATATCTAAAGCTCCTTTTAGATAAGGCTATAAAGCCTAGAGAGAGATCGGACTAAAAGGATATAATACGTATATCCTAACGACCTAGAGGAGGGAGAATAGGCCTAAGGACGGCAGGGAGCAGCGACGGGAGGGCTAGACGCCCGGCTAACGATAGAGTAAGCGATACTCTCGCTATAGGTAGGAGAGGTAGAGATAAGGCATTAGGTAATATAGAGCTAACTATAGATATAGGAACTAATTAGCTAGATTAAGAGGATATACTAAAGGATAGATAAACCGATATAGACGGGTATATAGGAGGGGGCTAAGGGCGGGGTAGGTGGTATAATGCCGCCCTTAGGGGCAACGGGGGAGGCAGCGACGCCTACGACCGAGGGGGAGGTAGTAAGGAAGAATAGCTATAGGAAGCCTCTCCCGAGCCTAGGAAAATTCGACGGACAACGACGGCACTATACCCTATAGGCACGATATATATAGGAGAAGTGCGAGATCGACGAAGAATTCTTCTCGAGCTTAAGGGAAATCTTCTACTTTATCTATAACTACCTAGACGCCGGGCTATAATAAACGGTCGCTATATACTACGGAATAAGGGCGGAGAGGGGCTATAACTAGAAGGAATTCCTAAAGTACCTCGACTTAATCTACCTTAACGTAGATATCTAGTTACGCGCGGCGGCGGCGATCTAGATA